TTTAATGGTGTGCCAGGAGAAAACCCGCGAGATCGGACAGGTGACCCTACTCCTTGTCAGGTCCATGCTCGGATCAAAACCACACCACGTGACTCTATGACAGCCCTTATGATCTAAAGCGCACCCTACGCAGCTCTTTAAAAATACTAGGTAAATATAAACCAGTGAACTTGTAAATTGTTACATCAACACGACTCTCATAGATGTAGAGACACTAGTTGTATCAAGTATAGGAGTAAACATACACTGCTTCGTGTACTCACTCGTCAGTATTTGTATTCTACGAGAGATAAGACAGTCATTATCAAGATTACAATGGTTAGTTATTGACGTCATAAACTGACGTGTTATTTTATAAATATGACGTAGTTGTACTTACTGGGGTGGCCATTCTTCTTGTGCTTATTATTCTATGACAACTTTCTTCCATTAGGGTTCCCTTAGAACCTTACTAAAGACAAACAGAACTGTATAACACTAGATCAAGGGGGTTCTATAAAAATTACCCATTGGAAAAACACAGTCTATGTATAGTGTATTAATGACGAGTTTTAGTCTTGTATAACCTGTCTCACTACTATTTACGTTAAGCGAGATCAAGTACGATAAATAATTATAATATTTCTACACTCATGAATATCTATTCTCGATAAAGAATATAGTCCCGACTTGTTAAAACGAATATAATAAATCCCCGGTGTTTAAGATAACCTAAATATATCAATATAATAAATAGTGTTGTAACTATCTGAATGAATACTCCACAATTGTCTGTTCAGTAGGTGTTTATTTATGTCTGGGTAACGTAGTCTATTCTATACTATAGTAACGGGAAAACCAGTCTATTTATACGTATTGCGTAAGCTTGTAATATGGGCAACGCCTTTCAATAAATAAAATGAAATGAAATGTGGTTTTATAGCACCTCAGCTCCAACCGGGCTATAATGCTATATTGCGCCAAACATATGGTGAATATTACGAGACCGGCTAAATTATATCACAGAAAAACATTATATGCATAAATACGTATATTGACTTGCACGTTCACGTGTAACTATAGAATACTTCTACGGTTTATTACCGGGCAACGTTTCGACTAGAATTCTTTATCAATATACTAATTGACAAGGGGAATACTCTTGATGTTGTAGTTTAAACTATTCTGCTCCGACTGGGTTACGTCATACAGTGTGCTGTGACGGAATTCCAACTTCCAAGGGAATGTGTACACGGGACACCGGTATTCCGTTCTATCTAGATAGATAGATAGATAGATAGATAGATATTCTTTATTCACAAACCGTACATAAATACAGTGTAGAAAAAATAACATATTTACATCAACATAAATATAACATATATATATACAGGTGTAAAGAGGGTATACCACCTTTGTGTTATAACCTTATTAATCCAGGTAAACTGTTCAATACACAAGAGTGAGTACAATTAAACAATTCGGTCGGGGTGGAGGGGGGAACCTTGTTATTCCCTTGTTAATCCGTGTAAACTGTTCAGGTCACAAGAGTGAGTACAATTAAACAATTCGCTAAGTAGAAAATAGGCGATATATACAATTTCCTGTTCTTTAAAATAACCGGATCCGCATAAATAAATAAATAAATAAATAGTTGAATTCATCGCCAATTTCATTTAGTTTGCATAGTTTATAGATTCTATTTTCTCTTGGAATTTTCTTCCGAAGGCCAGTGTATATGGAGAGTTTTTGATTGCAAGTTCTAAATCTACATATTAGTTTAGATTTGTAAATGTGTAGGACTGATAGATATTTTCCAAAATCAAGACAATGTTTAAATAGTTTATAATTCAAACCTGGTGGAGATGCTATGATTGTTAAAATTGGTCTTAGTTTCGATTCCCCGGTTGTACGTGGCAGGGAGTAGCGTCGCCTGTCCAACCTCGTGGCTTTTCCCCCCTCTGCTAAAGATCCCTACGCGCAAGTGAAGACGCAGACGCAGCAGTCTGCAAGACGTTCCCCAAGATGTCTCCACACACGTTGACGGCCATCAGCGTGATAAAGATGAAAGCGACTCTTTTCACTGAAGAGCACACTTTGCCAGTCTACTCTTCTCCATGTCTGGTGTCCTTGAGCCCATATCAAACGCCGCTGACGGTAGTAATCCCTGAGGATAGCTCCAACATAAGGTCGTCGTGCACGGAGTCCTACTTCTCTTAGACGGCGTCCTACGGTGTTGGCACTTTCTGGTCCTTCTCTTCCGACGACTGCTGCACCTGTTCGAGTTGCTGGGCGGAATCTGTCTCGCAGATGAGTGACCCGGATGTAGCGGTCTTGAGCCTCGATTGTAACGCGTTGTGGACCAGGACGTTGACGGTCACGTGTTGATCCAGTAACACGTTCCACCAACCTTACAATAGTGGACTGATGACAATTGAAGTGTCTGGCAATAGCCCGTGTAGACATGCCAGCCCTGGACATTCTCATGGCTTCATTCCGTTGATTTTCAGTAAGTCTCGGCATCTCTAGCTTGAATCCTTCGCACGTCCAACAACAAATTACGACAGATTGACGTTTCACAGTTCATGTACTGCACATTAAGTTGAAAACATGCTTTTAAAAGGCTCACACACAATGCTGCACGTGAATATTGGGTTTTTCATGTGCATCTTGTGCAATTTTTTTTTTGAACTCGGGCCGATATTTTTTGCGTTTGGGAGCATTGTGTGAAACAATAGTTCATAGTATTGCATAATATTATACATACAAAACCACCTAGTAATAAAATATTTGGGAAAAAAAAGTGATGCGTTTTCCATGGCGCTCAGTATACATTGAATTGTAGTTATCAGTTAATTGCCGAACTATGAATATAATATTGTATTGTAGTTATCAGTTAATTGCCGAACTATGAATAGTATCGAGATCAGTGATACAGATGATAGTATTTGTGACGTCATATATTCCGTTACGTAAAGATCGTATAGCCCCTCCTAACCTAATGAAAATGAAATGGTGTTTAACGTCCTACTCTGCTGCACCAACTGGGCTAATAACAACTGGTAAAACCAATGTGCTATGAAGTTATATTTCCCGGTCTGTGTTCCCGCATGCTCTTCACTTCTTTGATGTATCGTGGCCCCCTTACAACTTATCAACATATTTTACACTGTGACCCTCTTACAAGGAACACAAATTACACACCGTGACCCCCTAAAAGGAGCACATATCTGCGTATTATAAACTGTAAATAGTAAACATTATGCATGAAGTTAATATTCACATTTGTATAACCTGTAAAATATTATATTTAAAATAACAGAGCCTTTGGTAAATTAATTTCCTATTGTGTTGTTCAGCTGAGAAGTGTTATCAGTTGATACAAGTTGATACAATGGGGGGCTGATATAACTGTATTGAACTAAAATAATTTGTCAGGTTAAAAAAGAGTTATCTCCCTCTCTACGGGACTTTTATATACAGGTAGGTTGATGTACCATAGATTTACTATAGTATGGACGACAGGTACTGTTATATACAGGTAGGTTGGTGTATATAGTACATAGAGTTACTATAGTATGGTCGACAGGTACTGTTATATATTAGTAGGTTGGTGCATAAGGTACTATATAAGGTATTATATATTGTCTCGTTCGGTATAGTGTATGCATATATATATATATACGGGTAGAAGGTCAGAGGTTTGCCGAATGATAATGCACGCACTCGGCAAACCTCAGCAGATTCCAGTACCCTACATCTAGCCTCGGCTGTATGACAAAGTCCACAATTGGAACTACTTTCAAGTTCCCGGATTACCAACGGCGTTGTCCATGACGACGCCTTTGAAGAATGTTTTATCATACAAATATTTCAAAGTCTGAAGCTGTTTTTCTTTCAAGTTTATCCGATTTTCTTTAAACAACGGCAATTTTGCACTGAAAATTCTACACACGCTTCGAACGACGCAATTTTGATAACTTCTTTTAAAAGCGGCAAGTTTTGCTAATAAGTAAACCGGTGCCGCATCGCAATTGTATAGGCGTAGGTACATATCACTTACCGTCATACAGCCGAGGCCAGATTAGAGAATCTGCCGACGTTTGCCGAGTGATAATGCTCGCAGCGATCCATCTACGTCATACTTCGAGAATACATGCGGAGCTAGCTGTATACAGGCAGCCAAAGTTTGGGATTAGCATGCGAGTATATCCAGCAAGGTGGTGTATTTTTACGTTGCCTTATTCGGTTGTCTGATTTCAAATTTCATTATCGTCATCACCTTAAGACGACATTCCAAGTCTCGTAAAAATATGGTTGCTACCATCCGTTTGAGAAATAATGATCTGCGTTTAACCGTAACCGTACTCGCATCAACGTTTGTTCTTGTGAGCTTCGCCCTGCCATCAAATGTAAGCTCACTTGTACAAAACACGGTGTCAGGCTACGACACAAACACCAAAGAACATTATCTTTAGCATGGTGACTAAGTGGTTAAGACGCTGGCTCGCTAGCCTGGAGGTCGCTTGCTCGATCCCTGCATTGGTCGAGAAAGTTCATTGGGATTTTCCGATGCGGTTTCCCCTTGTCAGTGGTGCAGGACGGAGAGGGCCTGGCAAGGACAATTGTCTAGTCGTGCGGATGGGAAGAAAAAACGGGGGTCCCGTGTGCACATTGGCGTGCACGTAAATGTTTCCTTGGCAGTTGGAATTCGATGTAAGAGTAAGCCATAGTGCCGCTTCTCTGGCAAAATTTCCCCCATGGCACACTCTATGGCGTATGCCCGTCTTCATTATTCCAGTCGGAGCAGAACAGTAGGATGTTAAACCCCATTTCATTTCATTTTCATTATGTAAGAGTTAAATCTACTTGAAATACAGATGTGACGTCATCCTTTGATGTTGGCATACCATTATTTCCAATAGTGTACGGGCAACTTGCCAATCGTACATTATCTATACTAGATGAAATATTGGACTCGCGTGACGTATTTCATTGAAAAGCACATGCGGGATAGTGTGTGTATTTTAAGTTGTTTAATGGTCTCGATCTAAAGACATTGCGTAATATATTGAAACAACACTCGGCTAACGCCTCGTGCAGTATCAATATATTACTTAATTTCTCGCTCTCGAGCATTAAACCATACCTGTTAGAGGTTTTTATTTCGGCTTCAAATATTATATCAATTATTATTCAGACATTTATTCACAAGACATGTCTATAATCAATTCTCTAGACCACCGGATGGCCGAGATTTAAATGGATTTTAACACCCGCGATGTAGCTCAGTAATAAAAAACAATTTGCGATTCAATCAAACACTCATAATCTCTCTCTCTCTCTCTCTCTCTCTCTCTCTCTCGTACATTCATGAAAGAGTAAACAAATCATACAAAACAAACAAAATTATTTAAGACATAACAACAATCAAATCCTTTAAACATGATTTCCTAATCTTAGTCGGGTATACTTTCTGTCTGAGAATACTGTTTGACTTATGTCTTTCATTATTAGCCCAGTCGGTACGAAAAAGTAGGACGTTACAGCCCCCATCTTATTTCAAAGTAAGTCTATAAATCGTTTCAATGGCACTTAGTAATTGAACTGAACATATACAATTACTGCTTAATACTGACCGATGTTTCATGCAGGACAAGGACAGCTGTCTGTCTAGTCGTTCAGATGGGAAGAAAAACCGAGGTACCGTGTACACATTGGCGTGCACGTAAAAGATCCCTTGACAGTATGAATTCGATATTTATATAAGAGTAGGCCGTAATGCCGCTGTCCGGGCAAAATTTCCGTCATAGCACACTGTATGGCGTATGCCCGTCTTCGTTAGCCCAGTTCGGAGCAAAACAGTAGGACGTTAAACCTCATTTCATTTCATTTCATTTCATTTATTATATTTTCATATTTTATCATTGCTTGATAATGACTAGAGAAGCCCAGTCGAAACGTCGCTCAGTAATAAGCAGTAATTGTATTCCATAGACTTGTCACCTGTGTAAATCTATAAATTTGTATTATTATGAATGTTCTTCAAGGATGTATATCATTTCTATAAACTATAATTCTTGAAAGATTCAATGCAAACATTGTGGTTTTGTGTTTGTTAAGACGACGGAGAAAGCTTCGATCAATAACTAGTCTCTTGTGTAATCCTTTCAGGCTTAAAGAAAATTTTGGTGTCAACCAATATTACTTAAGTGATAGAACTGGTTAAACACATTCCAAATATTATTCTAACACAGAGATCATTGCTATGGTAGATGCGTAACGATGATTTGAAGAAACGGGAAGTGACGCAAACAAAAGGAAAACCGTAGAGAGCGATAACAGATACCGGGTAATACATCGGGTCCGTCCAGGTGTAATATCGGGTATACTGGGCTTTGCACCGGGTATATTGGCTGGTCTATTGGGTATTACACCTTGAATACTGGGTATTACACCTGGTCTACTGGACATTACACCTTGAATACTGGGTATTATATCGGGTATACTCGGTGGTCTACTGGGTATTACCCCTGGTCTACTGGATATTACACCTGGTCAACTGGGTATTACACAGTGTACACCGGGTATTACATCTACCTTCTGATAACCAGATAGTTTTAAGGCCTAGAGTTTATAGTTTTCATGTTATATCTATTATTCAGTAATTGTATGTTCTTCTTGAACTGCTTGTCCTTGTTGAATTTGCTGTCCCTCCTCAAGGCGTGTAGCTAATCGGCCATACCCCGCTTTATGCAAAGTTTCCAAGAACTTAGGAAAAGCGGTGGCACCTGAATGGTATAAAATCTCCATAATCTTTACTGCACCCGCTGTACGTCCATGTCTTTCTTGTTCGGCTCGAACTCGTTCCATGTCCTCTTCATCGAAGAGAAAACAAGCAAAAAGCTGGTGTATGAGGAATCTAGGGTCTATTTCATTTATTATTTCTACATGGAATTTCCGGACAATAAAATAATCTTCTTGTCGCATTCTTCCTCTGTCTTTCTCCTCCATCCCTGAAACAGAAAGGGTAAAATGGGGTTTTACGTCCACTAATATAGGGTACAATTTTATTTGTCGATTAGGGGTCTTTAAGAGTTGTGTGTGAGGTGGGGGGGGCAAGAGGAAACCCACCTGACAGTACTCTCTGTCACGAGCAACGGGGGGGGGGGGTGATAACCACGACGCTTGATTCAATGGCAGATCTTATGATCTAAGGAGCATGCGCGTTAGACCATTCCCACTCCCCCCCCCCCGTACGTAACTAACGTACGAAAATTAAATGGTAGCTGGCTTTTCACTTTTCTGCAGATAGGGTGAGTCTGTCGTTCAGATTGACTCACACCCTTTCCGACAAAGAGATTTGGCGATAGCTAACACGTTTGGCGTAATTCTTATTAAACAGGTCGTAAACAGCTAATGTAGTTGGAATATTGACCGAGTAGTGGCAAAACGTACATCGCGAGAGAAAAGGTCAACTGGAATTAACATCCTAGATTTCTGCTCCATTACGGCTAATAAATGGGAAACCACGAGCAAACCATGAACATTTGGGCAGAATTCAGAATCCCACCCCACCCGAGCCGCATTCCAACCCAATCTGTTTTACAGACCTAATGCGACATCCGTCTTTTATCTCTGTCCAAGATGACTGACCTTTAAAAGGTCAGACCGCTGTAGTTCTAAGGGTTACGTCACATCACAATATTTACCAACAAAGCAAGATAGCATCGATAACGCCAAAAAAGATTACTTCTGTGGCTTGTTTTTGTTGTTTTAAAACAAACACGAGCAGGTCAATCAGATTAGGCAGTAAAAAATGTACTTCTGAAAGAATTCATAGTAAACAAACAGAAAAAAACGTCAAATTGATGGTCACACGTGCGTTGTTTACATCGAACGTAGTAATATGAACTGGTACGGGCAAAATTATATCGTTTTACCCATTTTACGCCTCCGCGTACTATTTTCTGTACCTATTTACGCTAAATATGGAATATTATTTATCAAGATATACTTCAAACACCTTAATTTATTTTTCTAATGCTAAAAAAAAATGTTTCCGAATTTAATTTGTCGAAAGAAAAAAGTTAATATTTTGTAGTCGTTAAGTCGCATCGATGTCATCCTTATCAGTGATTGTAGCGGCCAAGCGAATATTCACTGCGGATCAGTGTGATTCCAACCACCGCATCTTTTTACATATTGACTGGTCGTCCAAGACTTTATGGGCTATTCGGTTAACACTCTTTCGTAGCCAATACAAAGTGACAGGCATCATAGCCACTAGACCAGAATGATTGACAGCTGTCAGCCTTCACCTTCGAAATATCAAGGGAAATAATTTGAACAACTGGGGGCAAACCACATACTCTACTACATAAATGTTAAAACCCGTTTACCTGCTATTCCAGGCTAGGAGTTTAAAGTAGAAAAATAAACTAATATAGCCTTATTTATATCGCTAACTTTGACAATCTGTCACCAACAACGCCATTAATCCCGCCCCCAATATAAACAAAAAAGTGACGAAAGAAATAAATATTCTATACACCCCCCATCCCCCACCCACAAACACCGTATTTATATCGTAGATTGGCTCACAGCAGCAGGATTTTTTTTAAATTTCGATTGGCCCCAAGACACGATTTTGTATTTAGATTCGTGTCACAGCAGGAATTATTTCATTGGTCCCAACCACAGGATTTTTTTTAAGGTTATCCCTCACGGCAGGGATTTTGCTCAGATTAATCTCCAGCGGGATTTTTCTGTACTCATTTATTGGCCTTCACAGCAGGATGTTCTATAGGTTGGTCCCAACAGTAATATTTTCTATAGATTACTATCACAGCATATTATATTTATTACTATTACAGCATATTTATTAATATAACAGCATATTTATTACTATTATTTATAACTTTTACAGCATATTTATTACTATTACAGCATATTTATAGTGCACCCTTTCATATACCGTGTTCAGGGGCACTTTACAAACTGGCAATGTAACCATATATAAAAAAAACAAAACAAAACAAACCAACAAGCAAAATTATGGACATATTATCAATCGCATACTGTGTCAGTTAAATCCTGTTTAAATAAACGTGTTAAGTTGTTTTTTAAAAGAATATAAAGATGTACACTATTTTATACTAAATGGAAGATTATTTCATAAAACAGGCAGTTAAAAACTAAAAGAGTCCCGGCGATAGGAGACCATTTAAACAGGGTTGGCCTTGAAAAGTAGTTTATCTTAGGCCCTATGTAGGCTACGAATGTTCGGCGCATCAGAATTTTTCGTCACAATAGCAATTACAACAGAATGGCTTTTCAGCTTGGTTCACACAGAAGGATTTTCAATAGATTGGTTCCAACAGCACCATTTTTCTTTAGAATATCCATTATATCAGGAATTTCGTGAGATTATCCATCACAGTAGAAATATTCGGCAGAATAGCCACTACACCAGACTAATTTTTTTGTCAGAATAGCTATCGCAGCAGAATTTTCTATAGAATGGTCCCAGCAATTGGAATTGTGATTAGATTATTCAGCAGAGCAGGATTTGTCGTTCTGCTTCCTCTAAGGAATTAAACATCTTTGTTGGCAGGTCCGTCGCCATAGCTGGCAGTTCCGTCGCCATATTTCTCTGCTCTGAATAATATCCAGAAAGCGACCTTCACCGATCATATCAAGGCGTGGTTAGGCTTTTTAATTCCCGCCTACAAATACGTTAGAATGTCTGTTCATTTAGCTATTGGTAGCTCCCCCCCTTTTTGTGTTTTTACTAGGTGCGATATAGCATCAACCGGGCTATTCATACTCAGGAACATCAAGTTGCCCGTGGGCTCCATGAAATATACATCAAATACTTCAGTGAAAGCATGAATGAAATGGTCAAAAACAATATTTGCTTACAGAATACAAGATTGGTCCTCCAAATTATTTATTTGTTTTTTTAAAGATACATTAGTTAAGAGTTTTATAAAGAGTTGGGCACTCTTGCTATAATAATTTAAAAATAGATGATAAAAAAGAAAATGTTGAAAATTTCAGTCAAATTACTTTGCTCTGAACGGAAATAGGCATTAATTGTGTCTGCACCGTCTATGAGAATTGGCGATCGTTTGATTTACAGACGATAAGTCCACCCACATATTCTCCATTATCAAATAACATGCTCAATGGCTATGGTAGCCTCGCTTGGCAGGCCTTTCATCGCCAGTTGCCGATAGTGACATCAGCAACTAATGGCAAACGTTAGCTTGGTCCGCCATTTATTGATTTAATTTTAAATGGACGACTGTTTAAATCCAATCTGTATCCAAGCCATCCGTGGGTTTACAGAGTTGATTTTGAACTTGTCGTGTAAATAAAGGTCTAATTAATAATTAGAAAAACATTTCAGGCCTAAAGAAAGACCTGCAATAGGCAGATTTGGCTCTTGCATAATATATGTTTAACCAGTGGCTGCCAGGCAGGATACGCCCACATTTTCGAGAGATGGATAGGGAACAAGCTAAAAAGAAAGTGATTTTTCCTACAATCAAGGGCCATAATTCAGGAAGTTACGGTCCGATATGCGCAAATATCGCAAGGAACCGAGATCTTTGGGTTATAAACTTACATTTCAAGTTTCAACAAAATCGGATTAAAATTGTGACCTCTATAGGGTCCACAACCTTGATATACCATATTTTTTACGCTATTTGAGAACGAAGGGCGGCCATTTTGTCTGTCAGTTTTGGGCCGATTTTCACGAAATTCGAACTCAGTCGTCCTTAGGGTGTAACGGTGATATAATAATACGTTTTTTTTTAAATCGGATAAAAATTATGACCTCTATGGGCTCCACAAGCTAAAAACGCGATTTTTCGTACAATCAGGGGCCATAATTCAGGAAATTACAATTCGATATGTGCAAATATCGAAAGGAATCGAGATCTGTGGGTTATAAACTTACATTTCAAGTTTCAAACAAATCGGATAAACATTGTGACCTCTATAGTGCGGTCATTTTGTCTGTCAGTTTTGGGCCGATTTTCACAAAATTCGAGTTCAGCCGTCCTTAGGGTGTAACGATGATATAGTAATACGTTGTTTTTTTAAATCGGATAAAAAATTATGACCTCTATAGGGTCCACAAGCTAAAAACGTGATTTTTCGTACAATCAGGGGCCATAATTCTGGAAGTTACCGTCCAATATGCGCGAATATCGCAAGGACCTGAGATCTTTGGGTTATAAACTTACATTTCAAGTTTCATCAAAATAGGATTAAAATTGTGACCTCTATAGGGTCCACAAGCTAAAAACATGATTTTTCGTACAAACAGGGACCATAATCCATGAAGTTTCGATCCGATATATGCCAATATCGAAAGCAACCGAGATCTTTTGGAGATAATGCTATATTTCAAGTTTCGTCAAAATCGGATAATAATTGTGACCTGTAGAGTGTCCACAAACAAATTGTGGAAGTCCGGTCGGACAGGGGCGACGACAATATACGTCCACATGAAAATGTGGGCGCATAAAAATAACTGGTTATAGAATGGGTGCCGTGGCCTAGCCATAAAGGTTGCTTTATAATTTTTAAAATACATGTACCTTTTGTACACCCGTGTGAGAGAGACCCACACATCCCATAGCAGACCCACTTTTCACTGGGTGGACACCATTTCTTTAAATCCTTTAACGAATTGCTCTGCCCCGACGTATGCTGATCGTGAATCATAAAATGTACAATAGTAAAAGGGGGGGTTGGATGGCTGAATGGTTAGCACGTGCCCGCTGTACCATAAAGTCTGTCATTGAGTCAACTGGCGTGGTTTCGAATCCACATATATTTTAGGAGCGGCGCGGGGGGGGGGGCTAGTGTTCTAGAGTGTCGACCTTGACCTCTAGCTGGCCGGTGACCTCTGGCTTGCGGTTGTGGTTTCGATCTCTGGTGTGAGCGTATGTGGCTTGGAGATAGGGATGCCTTCTCAACCTCGTGGGTTTACTCCGGGTGCTCCGGTTTCCCTACAGGAAAGACCCCTGCGCGTGCGCTAAGATAATGAAAATAAAAAAAAAAGACAACTTGTCTGCGATATCACCTTCGGTAAAAGCGGACGTTAAACACTAAGAACAACATATATGTTATCATTTGCTTGATAAAGACGAGAGTATGATCGTCGAAACGTTGCATGTTAATAAACCAGAAAATGAAAAATAGCCTTATTCTAAGTACTAGATGTGTTAGTGTCTTACCTGTTGTGTAAATTATCCATTAAATCATATTTTACGTGTCCAAAGGGTTCAAAAATATTTTTAAATCCAAGTCACATTTGAAAAGCTTTACGTCAGGCTTTTCAAATCATTTATTTAAACTTTTCCAATTTTTTGAAATTAGGTGTGTTAAGATGAAATTTGTATCACCAACTAATTGGAATATTGTAAAATAGTGCAATTTGTTGACCAGAATAAAGATTGGGACATATTATTCAGTTACAACAAGAGTGTTATTGAGCCTTTAACTATTGAAATAGTTTTCGTGGTCTATACTGCTTTAAAGTAGGTCAAACAGATATATTACATATACATACAGATAATAATATACATGTACAGGTAATAATAACGATATATGTTTGTTATTTATGTCCTTATATTAAATATTTTATTCTTAGGATTAATATCCAATAACTGAAATGGAATGAAACGGGGTTTAACATCCTACAATATTCAATAACAAGACAACATTTAATATAAATATATATCCGGTTTGTGTAATACTTCCCTGTTCGTTGCTGGTATAAATAACTGACACGCGTTGTTAATTCAACCGTCATTTTAAGTATTAGGGTTATTCGGTGGGTTATGACTTTCCTGACATTTTATAAGCCAATTATTTAGAGGTTTGTTACAGAAGAAAGGAGGATATGAGAACATTTGTTCTAAACCTCTTACCTTAAATCTTCTGTCGAAAGGGTATACAGTCCTTATTACGTGGTTATCTCCCCTTTCACATATAGATCCTGTCGTCACACGAGAATGACACGCCCACTTGAGCTAGATTTTAACGGTTGGTTACTCCGCCGGTTTCTATAATTAAAGAGATACATATACAATGACGTCATTGATACATATTCATGCATAGATTTGACATATTGATCAATGGTCGGCAAAATAAGTTGGTTTTGTTGTGCGGGATTTTACATAATCTTTGAGCCAAATATCAAGTCGACATTTTTTAAATATTTTAGAATTCAAATTCTAAACATATCTAAAAGTAAGTATAGGAAGACCCAATGTCGTAGATAAAGTTGCCAGAAATTCCTTGTGACGACATGAAAATATGACGTCAAGACCTCAAGTGTACAAAGGCGACATTTTTGGATTTCCAAGTGACTGCGCCTACTCACTATGTCGCAGTTGGGAGGTTATGTGTGCGCGTGTGTGTCTATTGTGGTCGGTGTGGGGGGGGGGGGGGGTGCTAGTGCTCTAGGGTGTCGTGCTTCGATCTCTAGCTGACCCGTCACCCCTATTTTGCGATCGCGCTGTGAGCTTGGGGAGTACCGAGCCACACAAACAAAATACCATGACATAAAACAAACCTGCGGACAAGCCACATAGGCCTACATTATAGTTGTACGTGACAAGGCGTAGGGTCGCCTGTCCAACCTCGTGGGTTTTCTCCGGGTCCTCCGGTTTCCTCCCACTGCTAAAGACCCCTACGCGCAAGCGAATTATTGAAATTAAATTAAACCATATGTTAGTTCCGAAATGACCTAGTTTATGTCGAGTGGACGTTAAACCCCATTTCTCTCTCTCTCTCTCTCTCTCTCTCTCTCTCTTATGCCTCTGTATTACATGACTGACTTTTAAAAGTTCAAGTATACCTTCTACATGTGACGTCACATAACACATCGTCGATAGCATTGTTTACATAAGCTAGAAGACCATCCCAAACGAAAGGAGCTTCTTCTTTCCACCATCCTGATCTCCCCCTATCCCCCGATCTCGCTCCCCCCCCTCTCCCACTACCCCCCTCCTCCACCCCTCCCCCCAACCCCAGACCTGATTTCTGCTGTCTTTCCCACTTTCTGTCTTCACATCTCTACCCCGTCTCTCCTTAGACAACCCCTCCCCCTCTACCCCATCCCCCACCCCAGACCTGATCTCGATCTGCCTTTCCCACTTTCTGCCTTTCCCTCTCTCCCGCTTCTCTCCTTAAGCCCCCCCCCCCTCCTCGCTAACTCTTTCTCTCTAAGTAAAGTACAAAGTAGTTTTTATAGGAAATTTATTGTGTTGTATAGTACATTGATATAGATAAATTTTATCACATTGTTTTTAAAAACTGATTGCCTAGACACATATTATTATTTCTGCGTATTTTACCCGGCTGCATACTATATTCATGGCATACTGGCTTGTCTACTAGGTATTACACCTGGTCTACTGGGAATTACACCTGCTGGGTATTACACCTATTCTGCTGGATATTACACCTGGTCTGCTGGGTATTATATCGGGTATAGTGGATGTTACACCTGGTATACTGGGTATTACACCGGGTATGGTTGGTATTACACCTGGTCTACTGGGTATCACACAGTGTATACTGGGTATTACACCGGGTATGGTTGGTATTACGCCTGGTCTACTGGGCATTACACTGGGTATGGTTGGTATTACACCTGGTCTACTGGGTTTTACACCGGGTATGATTGGTATTACACCTGTTCTACTGGGTATTACACCGGGTATGGTTGGTATTACACCTGTTCTACTGGGTATTACACAGTGTACACTGGGTATTACATCTACCTTCTGATAACCAGATAGGTTTAAGGCCTAGAGTTTATAGTTTTTGTATTTACATGTTCATTTCATATATCATTCGGTCAATCCACGCTCTTTGTTTGCTTCCTGGGTTCCTTTCTCAAGACGTGTAACTAACTGAGCGTACCCCGCTCTATTCAAACTTTCCAAGAACTTAGGAAAAGCGTCCGCGCCTGAAAAGTATAAAATATCCATAATCTTTTGTGCACCCGCTTTACGTCCATTTTTTTCAAGTTCGATACGAACTTGTTCCAAGTCATCATAATCAAATAAAAATGAGGAAAAAAGCCTATCCAGAATAAATTTAGGATCCAGTTCTCGTATTATATCTGAATGAAATTTCCGAACAATATCATAATCTTCTTGTCGCATTTTTCCCCTGTCCTTCTCCGCCATTCCTGAAACAGAGAGAACGAGTAAAATGGGGTAAATAATATCTGTAGGGGTCTTTAGCAGTTGTGGTTGGGGATTGGGGACCGAGGGCCAGGAGAAACCCCACTCGACAGTACTCCCTGGCATGAACACGTGTGTAATCGATAACCTTGAAGGGGACTATTTAGAAAAATAAATGGAAGCCATCGACTTCGTACAGGTCTCTCACAGATAGGGAGTCAGGTTGCTAAGTGGGTAAGACACTGGCTCTCTAGTCTGGGGGTCAGGTGATCGATCCCTGCATTGACAGAGAAAGTTTATCCAGATTTTCCGGCGTGGTCCCCCCCCCCCCCTTGTCAGTGATGCAGGACGGAGGGCCTGGCAAGGGCAGCTTTCTGGTCGTTTGGACGGGACGAAAAAACGAGGTCCCGTGTACACATTGGCGTGCACGTAAAAGATCCCTTGACAGTTGGAATTCGATATAAGAGTAGACCGTAGTGCCGCTGTCCGGGCAAGAAATCCCTGTTTGGCGTTTGTCCGTCTTCACTAGCCCTTTCGGAGCAGAGCAGTGGGATGTTATTGATTTTAAACCCCATTTCATTTCATCCCTCTGTCAGTGATAGTAGCGACCAAGCGACTATTTTCTGCTGATCAGTTTCACAATATAATAGAATTGACTACATACATTAACTATTGAAATAGGTTTTGTGGTTTAAACTGCTTTTAAGTAGGTCAATACATGTATTATACACCAAACGAGTAATATTAAAGATGTTTATGTTTGGTTTTTTATGAACAACGTTAACATACATGGTGGTGATAAATAAAACAAGTTATTCCAATAATAAGACGATTATAAATCTTATACATTTAATATTAAAACATAGCCGGTCTGTATAAAACTTCCTTGTTCGTTGATTAAATAAGTAACCCACACAGTTAATTCCACCGTCATTTTAAGTATTTGGGCTATCTGGTGGGTTATGTCTTTCCTGGCATTTTATAAGCCAATTATTTGGATGTCCGTTACCGAAGAAAGGGGGGGGGGGTATAAGAACTACCAGTTGTTCTAAATCTCTTACCTTAACTCTTCTGTCAGTAAGGGTACACAGGCCTTATTACGTGGTTATCTCCCCTTTCACATTTAGGTCTTGTCTTGACACGACAATGACACGCCCACTCGGCACGATAATGACACGCCCACTTCAGCAAGATTTAAAAGGGTGGTCCACCTGTTTCTATATTTAAAGAGATACATGTCCATGCATAGACTTGACGAATTGATCAATGGTCCGTAAAATAAGTTGGTTCTATTGTGCAGGATTTAATATAATCTTTGAGCCAAAAATCACTTCGACTTTGTATCGATGGCTTAATATTTTGCTATGAGAGAGGGAGAGAGAGAGAGAGATTGGGTTTAACGTCCACTGGACAAAACCTTAGTCGTTTCGGAACTAACATCATATGGTTCAATTTTATTTCAATAAATAGCTTGCGCGTAGGTGTCTTTTTAACAGTGTTAGGAAACTGGAGGACTAGGAGAAAACCCACGATGTTGGACAGGCGACCCTACTCCTTGTCACGTATTTTAATATGAAATTAGAGATTAAACATATCTAAAAGTAAGCCCAGGAGGATTGCGCTTCAAAAAGAAAACAAAACATGACATAAAACAAACCAAACTGGGGACATGACACAGGCATTATGACACAACAAACGTATATACCAAATCAAGTGAATGGATCCGGGAGCCAGCCGTAACCGTTCACTGCGCCGTACAGTCCCGAGGCTCCTGGCTTCACTCAAAATGAAAACAAATCACACTCAAACATAGAAAGCATATCAATGAATGCAACAAAGATTGAACAGAAATGGATGGCGGGAGCGGTCTTGGCGGTGGTATTCTGCTGAAAGGCGTTTCCTAGCAGCGGTAGTCTGCGGATTTAAATTTGCGAATCTTGCTATCCACCAGTAGCACGCTTATCTCACACTGATCCGCAGTGAATATTCGCTTGGCCGCTGTCGCATTAGGTCTGTAAAACAGATTGCGCTTATCTCTGTACCCAAACTAATACATGCTAACAACACCACACACGCCACTCCACACTGATTAGAAGTGAATATTCGCGAGGCCGCTACAATCACTGATAAGGATGACATCGATGCGACTGATTGAGCCACAAATATTAACCTTTTTCCTCCAACAAATTAAATTCTAAAACATTTTTTTAGGTATTAGAAAAATAAATAAAGACGTTTAAAGTATATGTAGTTAAAAATTATTTCCTTTTTAGTGTAAATGGGTATGTACAACGAGTAAAAGGCGCCATTCTGCCCCGACCAATCACATCACACAGACCCGCAGTGAATATTCGCTAGGCCGCGACAATCACTGATAAGGATGACATCGATGCGACTTAATGATCCACAAATATTAACTTTTTCCCTCCGACAAATTAAATTCTAAAAAAAAAAAAATTATGTATAAGAAAAGGCCGTGTATATTTTGCCGTCACTTCCGTTTGACATGCGGTATTTTCCCGTATACATGCTGACAATACCGCACACGCAACTCCAGTACTGTACTCTTTCAATTCTTGCGTCACGTGGTCTGTGGCTAAGTGGGTAAGACGCTGGCTCGCTAGCTTGGAGGTCGGGTGTTCGATCCCTGCATTGGCCGAGAAAGTTCATCCAGATTTTCCAGCGTAGTTTCCCCTTGTCAGTGATGCAGGACGGAGGGCCTGACAAGGACAGCTGTCTAGTCGTTCGGGTGGGACAAAAAACCGAGGTCCCGTGTACACTTTGGCGTGCACGTAAAAGATACCTTGGCAGTTGGAATTCGATATAAGAGTAGCTGTAGTGCCGCTGACCGGGCAAAATTTCCCACATAGCACACTGTACATGGCGTATGCCCGTCTTCATTAGCCCAGTTTAGGAGCAGAGCAGTAGGACGTTAAACCCCATTTCATTTCATTTCTGTCACGGGGTGGGAGGAAACCGGAGAAGACGACATAAACCAACGACGATGCGCAAAGGACCCTACTCCTTGGCAAGTACTAACTTTGGATCCCACGCCCCTTGGGTCAAGGTCAGACCGTATGACCTAAAGTGTACGCGTTAGACTACACCCCTCCCTCACTAAATATTTAAATTCGCATGTAGGGACAATGTGCACGATAATAAATCTCCTTTTACTTTCTTTTACAGCGAACCGACTATGGATTGAAATATTTTCTCGGACGTCATTCTGGTTTCGAGTATCGATTATTTATTTACATGCATTTCATTAATTTTTCGAAAATCGAAATTTCTGTAGATTGACTAATGCGTTAAAATTTAAAGGAAATGGTGTAATTGCCAAGTCAGCCTAATACATAACTTTCGTTTGGCCTCAAATGTTACATAATCATTAATTAGATATTTATTCACATGTCAAGCCCATTATTAACTCTCTAATCGGGTGGTTTTGATTTTCAACGGATTTAGACACGATTGCTAGTTAATGATTTAATTTAAAAATGGATAATCGAGACATTGTTTATTATCGAAACAAAGGTAGCAATGACAATCGAGACTACACTGTTCGTCAAACGGTCCTAACTCCAATCAGAATGCAGGAATTGGACTGAAATTTTCAACATATTCCCTCTTCATTATCAATTTTGTAACTATCCAAATCTTACATAATGCACCTTTAATCGGTGTAATAAAAATGTCTAGCGTCATTATTTGCTTCGACAAGCAAAATTTCTGGTGTCTGTCTGGAGAAAAAGTCGAATTTTGATTGATTGGAATACAGGTGGGTAAAAATAAGGCTGTATTGGACGACTTTATAGTTGTTGTAATAATCATTTCATGTCTATGAAAATATTTTTACAAATTTAGAAAAAACAGGACACTGATAATCCCGTAAACCACTTGGGTCTTTGTCATAATTTCTGATCTGGTTCCGTTTGAAAATGAGCTTAAAATATTATTTTTGTGCCATCAAATGTAAGTTTACACGAGTACAAAAAAGGGTGTCAGGTTACGAAACAAACACCAAAGAACAGTATCTCTATGTGTAGGATAAAGCATGAGACTGAGGTTATGCTGGGGAAAGAAAGACTGAAGAAAATAACCCGAAAAAAAGTAAAAACCGAGGCCAGCAGGCCGAGGTTTTTCTTTTGAGTTTTTTTTTTCTGAAGTCTTTCTTCCGCAGCATAATCGAAGTTGAGGACTTTATCTTGCTTATAAACCGTCTATGTTTACATGTACGTACAATGAGAATAGCCCAGAATTCCCGTAAGAAAAACCTTATATCATGTTTTCCTAGGGAAAATAAAAACCTACCTTGGAAGAATAACCCGTTACTACAGGTTAAAGAAAAACTTTCAGAAGAATAACCCCAAATTCCCCTGTATATATTCAAAGTCGCCCTCGACTTTCAGACCCCAAGTTATTCCGGGCATAGAATATACCCCACTGATCAAAGGGATTTACCGTTATAGGCTTATAACATACCATAATGCGAATGGGAAGTTGTGTGAGCTCATCAGCAACTCGTACGTAACTAACGTACGAAAATTAAATGGTAGCTGGCTTTTTTTTTCGCACGTATACAGTGAATGGCCATTTTGCTCAGTAATCCCAGCCAGAATTTGGCTATTTTTTTAAAATTGCGTTAAAGTTTTAAATTTTTGTTTAGAACTGAAATAAATTAACTTTTAGTCAATCCCCACGCTAAAAACATTAACAGAATTGATTGTGTATATCTGAAATAGACACGACCGAAGCACAAAATAGTGCCAATATGCCGACGTCAAATCTAGAGTTGTAGATGATGTTAGTTTTGTGAAAAATCATTGGAAAAAGCGATAAGACGTTCTGTACGGATTATACAGTCCTTAAGGCTGCAAGAAGGTTATTGTTTACAATGTAATGTAATGTCTTGTAATGTTGATAATGATCATAATGATGGTGTTTACATTTGTTTGTTGATGTGACCTCATGACCTGTGACGTTTAGATAACGTCATATGGATATCATGGCTATTCACTGTGTCAGAGTCACTTCTCTGCAGGTAGGGTGAGTCTGTCGTTCAGATTGATCAGCAACTGTGTAGGGTTTGTTGTCTATATGGCCACAGATCACTAATGATTTCCCCATTGACGTTAATGTTAATTCTTGTCTCTTAGACTGGCTCTAACTTTTTCCCAAATTGTCGTTGGGTAGAACACTTTCTACCACAGATGGAGCAACATGTGGCAACCTCTTGCCCAAAATCACGTATGAGGTTCTTCATGAAAAACTTGAGATACACAAGCTTCAAATTCATTAATATTCACCAAAACCTGGCAGAAAATGTATTTTCAAACCCTTTTCTTTGATTCTACACCAAAAAGTCAACAAAAATCGCCATGCAAATGTGGGAAAAAGGAAAAGGGAGAGAAAGACTAAATCTCAGTTCCGGAATGCCTTCTTGTCTGTCTTGTGACCGGAAGTCAACTAAAAATGGAAAAACTTCAATTACTCATAATGTCGCTCAGAATAAAGTAATTTAAATGAAATTTTCAATATATTTATTTTTCATTAACTGTATTATTTGAACTATTTATAGTCAGAACGGTCAGCTATTTATCTAAGTCTTACATAATGCATCTTTGATTAAATGTTAAATAATTTATGGGGTACATCTCTAGCCCCCCCCCCCCCCCCATACCTGGTCTACTAGGTATTACACCGTGTAAATTGGGTGTTACACCTGGTCTACTGAGTATTACACAGGGTATAGTGAGTATTACATATGGTCTAGTGGGTGTTACACCTGGTCTACTGAGTATTACATCTGGTGTACTGGGTATTGCACCGGGTATAGTGGGTATTACATCTGGTCTGCTGGGTATTACACAGGGTATACTGGGTATTACACCGGGTAATGTGAGCAAATAATGCAGCCTCCTGATAACCAGATAGGTTTAAGGCCTAGTGTAACAATAGTGTCGTTGCGACATTGTTTTCAAATTAAAATTTATAGACAAGGAATTGAGAAATATGGTGGCTGAAACAATATTTTTATCTTAACAAATTATTGATTCGAAGTTCATAACCAAAAATATAGAAAGTATGATGGTTATTTTGATGCGTTAACTGAGTTATAGATTAATGAACATGTTGGTCATTTACATTTGTCTTTGTTATAAAACTTATATCATATTTGTTGACCAAATTAGGTAATAATTATTATAATATACATACATTTCTATAGCGATACTTCCACAACAAAGCGCTTTACAATACGATACACAACGAAAATATGATAAAATACAAAACTAGAAATAACAAAAGTTAAGAATGAGTTCGCGAGAGAATCATGGACTTTCGTTTAATCTGGGTTCTTCCCTAAAACTTTGGACAGTGATTTAAGGTATTGTTCGTCTCCAAACAGTATTGTTTACATTGTAGCCATGTTGATAGCCTCGTTTGTCACGCAATTAGTGTTTCTGCAATATTCTGCTATGCACTGGTTAATTGGGCGTAATAAATTTCGTGAATCATGACGTAACGTTATGTTAACATATTTGAAACTCTGTTTAAACCAGAATAATATTGTTACACAGGTAGGTATTGGTTGTTAATCGGACTATTGACCAATCATAATTTGGAACAGAAATTTGCTTTCATTACGGCAGTGTTGAATGGGATTAGGTATAATCAAACGAAACATTGCGGGGAGTATGCTAAAATAGTGACCTTACGGTCATATACAATTTGTTTTTTGTCTTTTTGAAATATCGCTTGATTCGTTTGTCAAGTATAGACAGATATATATGACTACTACACTATTTAGTTTTTACGATTTGCTGTTCAAAAATTCATCCTCCTTCTACTAGATCATGAGGTTATATTGCCGAATTAATAAAATGTTGACAAATAGTCTAGAGAGATTAATTGTATTTACCAAGAACAGCTCTTTTGGCATTTACAGTAAATTAAGCTTTTCAAACTTCATCGTTTGAAAATTTTAACGGTGTCATTGTGAGCTCCGTTTTCGTGATTATATACTTATTGTATAAACAGATAGATAGCGCTAGATTGATAGATAGATAGTAATAAGTATTAACATATAGATAGTAATAAGTATTAACATATAGATAGTAATAAGTATTAACATTTGTAGTTTTGATAATGGAACATTTTTTAATTTTGAATTTTTTGATGAAAGTATATAATCTGCGTTTATATTTATTTGTTTATTTCTATTTTTATTATGGCTTGCTCTTAACGGAACTGGAAACCACGTTAATTTGGTTTCAAGTGCCATGTTACACTTTTGAGTGTGTAAATAAAGCGGTTTATTTTTCGTCATTTTTGTTAAAAATCGTCATTTTTGTACAAAAATGGAAATTATTTACTACTTAACGGGTCGAGTGCCACCCAATTTTTTTCTTGATCTTAATACTATAGATCATTGTCTTTTCAGTCAGCTTTCCAAAAAAATACTTGAACCCGCAGTGGGTGAGATATAGATAGAATCAAATGACATACCTAAATTGAGCTATTTTGGTACCTTGCAGCAATAAGTCCCTATACCAAAAACCGCTCCATGAAAATCCATCAAACTTTCAGAATGTATACTCACTACTCGCCGTAGTTTAGTTGTACGAAATAATTGAAAAGTGGCCTGAAAATGATGATTTTTTGGCTTTTTTCGGTCTTAAAATTTCAAATTTTTTTCTACGCTCTAAAAATGGCTCGATTGATCTAAAATTGTGGCAGTGGGGTTTGGAGGAGTTACCCATCATACATAAAAAAAAATGGTGAAAATCGGTCACCCACCATGTGCCGGTCCCTGCATGGTTCTCTCGCAAACGCATTCTTAAGACCTGTTAAACATACATTATGCAAGAGCTGAATTTGCCTGTTGCTAGGGTGACCCACCATAAATAAATATCTCCATATATCTCCTTATATCTCGACAATTACGCCACAATATTTATATATATGCCAAGCCTCAAATCAGTTTCACACAATTATAGTCACTAAATAAACGATCATGTTGTACTTAATAAGCTATGACCATTAATCATCTATAAATAATAGACTGAAAACTGGTTCCAAGTGTCGTCCATTACATCCAGACACTTTTGAGTAAAAGATAGGTTACGTGCCCTTGTTTTGAAATTAGTCTCGCTTAACCAGTCTATCGACCATTCTACGTCTGATTGACAGGTCGGGATAATCAAGACTACTTTTTTACGAAACATAACAGAAAGCTAGAACAAGAAATTGAATTTAGAAATAAGCACGTTAGGTAGCTCAACAATCGTTTTAAGAACCTTGTAAAAGTAAAATGAAACTACCGCAAGTATCATGTTCCTGTCTAATCCGAGTGATTCAGAGATATTATTTGTATTAAACCAAAAGATGCCGCTCTTAACGGTACAGTTAATGATAAAGCGATTTAAAAAATAAAACGAACGTAATTTCTAAATCTGCTGTAATAACCAAGAAGCTTAATTTCACTGCTATTCAAAATCGTCAAAAATAAATTTTTTACGGCTGTAATAGTTGATAGATTTGTAGAGAATTGCACGTGCCATGGCTATTTATAGTATCATATTGTCAGAAAGTTGGTCTCGGCACGGCGAATGTGTACGCTTCAGTGGTAGTCTCGAACTATCAGCGGTGGACTTTATTTCTGTAGAGCACATGGGCCACCCTACTGTTGCAGGTCTTTCTTTAGGCCTGAAATGTTATCTAAATTATTAATTAGACATTAATTAACCTATCCAGACCATAATCAACACCCGATGTCGTCGCTAGCCTGCGATATTTACCGGATTAGAATCCTAACTGCTGCTAAACGCTCATTGATAATTAAATCAAAAAGTGTTTTTTATCGTACCAATTTTAGTAATGCTGATCGAGGCTAGATCCAAAATTCAATCGCTAAATTTACATTATCTATTTTTTAACTATTATAGTGAGAACTGCCAGCTCTGTATCTAATCTCCCATAATGTATCTTTAAATATAAAATATGAAATAAATTTGATCTAAAATATAGAAATAGAAATAACAAAAGTTTAAATCTGTTAAATAAAATATAAAATAGATTTCATCTAAAATATATATAACAGCAGACAACATCAGGAGCTAGTTAAAAGCTGTCTAAATCACTGTCGATAACCAGGGTATGGTGCATATCTATTCCATATTTGGAATTTAGCTGCCTATGACGTAAATCAATTAGGGGTAGTAAAAGAGGGGGTGATGGCTAGAATTTTACAGGAGTTGGGACTGAGAGAGAGAGAGAGAGAGAGAGAGAGATATGTTAATCTTAAATATTGAAATGTAGACTATTGTGTAACTGACATAAAACGTATAGAAGAAAAAACTATCAGTGTTCCTGTTACATATAGTGAGAAAACACAATGGTGAAGTCCTTAAGAAGAGAGTTTATGGGTTGTTTTTTTTTTCTGTAAGTGTATGTTCTTTTGGAACTGCTTGTCCTTGTTGAATTTGCTGTTCTTCCTCAAGGTGTGTAGCTAATCGGGTATACGCCGCTTTACGCAAGATTTCCAAGAACTTAGGAAAAGCGTCGGCACCTGAACGGTATAAAATCTCCATAATCTTTTCTGCACCTGCGGTACGCCCACTTTTTTCTTGTTGGGCCTTAACTTGTTCCAAGTCCACATCATCGAATAGACCAGAGGAAAAAAGATGGTTTATGATGGAATTAGGGTCTATTTCTTCTATTAATTTTGAATGAAATTTCTGAATAATAATATAATCTTCTTTTCGCATTTTTCCTCTTTCCTTCCTGACCGCCATGCCTGAAACAGAGAGAAAGAGTAAAATGGGGTTTAACGTCAACTAATATAGGGTATAATTGTATTTGTCGCTTAAGAGTCTCTAGCAGTTGTGTGTGGGGGGGTGGGGGGAGAAAACCCTCTCGACAGTACTCAGTGCCTTGAACAAGTTTAGGATCAATAATAAGGAAACTTGATTCAATGACAGATTTTATGACCCAAGGAGCATGACGCTAGTTTGGAAAAATTGACAGGGTCTTGAACAACTAAGGTAGATGGGGTATTGGTCGACCAGTGGCAAAACACGTACATCGCCAGAGAAATGATAAACTGACATTAAATGAATGTGGCTTTACGTCCTAGATTTCTGCTCCATCCCGGCTAATGAATGGGAAACCACAAGCAACCCAATAGCATTTCGACAGAATTCAGGACCCCAACCCACCCCATCCCAACCTGCATTCCATGCACAGAATCTTCCTACATATTGACTGGTCGGCCAAGATCCTATGGGCTAACTATACCCTGCTAAATATACATCAACGTTCCACCGTGTGCAAGTTGCCTATGGGCTCTATGACAAATACAGGGACTGGGTGAAAAGTTCTAACCCTGAAAAGGATAGATCATTTGGCTTGAAACAAACTTTTGCCACAAACAAGTACAATTATTAAATGAATCATAGACATAAGAACTTCAACTGTGGATTTTATTATTGTCTTCGTACCAGACCATCTTGTGAACTTACCAATTGAAATCACCAGAAATGGACAAAGCTGACTAAAGGACATTCATCAAGTACCTGTAACTGAAAGGACTAACCCCAACACAGACGTACATGCCGACATGGTCTCCACTTTGGGGGATGATGCCCCTTCCTTTTCCACAGTAAAGAGAGAGAGAGAAATGGGGTTTAACGTCCACTCGACACAAACTAGGTCATTTCGGGACTAACATATGGTTTAGTTTTATTTACATAATTCGCTTGCGCGTAGGGGTCTTTAGCAGTGGGAGGAAACCGGACCACAGTAAAGAAGTGGGCTGCGTCCTGAAAGGTCATCAACAGCAACCATTCAAGAAAACATTACTGGGGTGACATGGTGATAGCTGATCGATGATTGACCACTCGACATATTGCCAGTGTTGTGGCGAGTGGACGTTAAACCCCATTTCTCTGTCTCTCTCTCTCAACCAGAATCCATATTTCAGTCATTTTCCAAGTAGTGATGACATCATGTTAGCTGTGAACGACTTTCTGAGAGTGGCTGAAGAACACGTCTTCCTGTCCGACATCAATATGTACAGAAGGGGACTATGTAGAAAAATAAATGGAAACCATCGACTATATTCAGCCAGCCCACGTACATCATAACTATCTAAGCAACTTCAATGAAATCATGAATGAAATGGTCAAAAACAATGTTTGTTATAGTTTTGATTCTCTATATTATTTTAGTGGGTTTTTTTAAGAACAGAAAACAGAACCGATAAGACAAGCAGCTATTTCCTGCTGATCAGTTTCACAAGATAATAAGTTTAAACTGGTTTAAACTGCTTTAAACTAGGTCAATACATGTATTTTATACACCAAACGAGTAAGAATACTACGGTGGCCTGTTAGTGCCATACACTGATTTATACCTTTTTCTTGAAATTTACTTCATATGAGAAATCGCAGTGAAAACTGTGTTCCATAAAAAAACATGAAAACCGCGGAGAAAATATTTACACCGCGGAGAAAATATTTACACTGCGGAGAAAATATTTACACCGCGGTGGAAAGGTTTTTCACGTCTTTTTTATTTATCACAGTTTTCACTGCGATTTCTCATATGAAGTAAATTTCAAGAAAAGGGTATAAATCAGTGTATGGCACTAACAGGCCACCGTAGAATACAGTATGTTTGTTCTTTATGAACAGTGTTAACATATATTGTGGTGATAGTTAAAACAAGTCATTCCAGTAATTTAAGACGATTATAAATCTATGTAAGCCTATAATTCCCATTCATAATTTCTACTTTTCCCCCCTTCAAAACACGAAGGTCGAAACCCACATAACAATATGATGTTAATTTTACGTTACATTTACGTAAAAATGGTCAGTCAGTTTACCATCATTTTGCTCATCTTTTTAACGATAATTTTACGTCAGGAAATGACGTTAATCTAACGTAAACTTTACGTCATATTTACGTCATTTTCTGACGTAAATCTAACGTAAACTTTACGTCATTTTCTGACGTAAATCTAACATAAAATTTGCGTAAAGTTTACGTCATTTTCGCTAGATTTACGTCAGAAAATGACGTAAACTTTACGTTAGATTTACGTCAGAAAATGATGTAAATATAACGTAAAAATGACGTAAACTTTACGCTAGATTAACGTCATTTCCTGACGTTAAATTGTCGTTAAAAGGATGAGCAAAATGATGGATATCTAACCGACCATTATAACGTAAATCTAACATTAAATTAACATCATTTACGGATGCAATTCTAATGTCAAATTTTGATGAGCAAAGTTACGAAAATATAACCAACCATTAAAACCTTCAAAATTATTCATTATTTGCGGCAGTAAATGGGAAGTACATTCAACCAATAATCAAATTTTCCTGACCCGTGGGTGAGGCTAAAAGTTGAGTGGTCCAACGTGTGCGCTTTAGATCATAAGGTCTGTCATTGAGTTAAGTGGTTTGTTTCCACACCCAACTTGAACATGGGTTTTCTCTGGGTCCTCCTACTACTAAAGATTCCTGGTGCGGATGAATTATTCAACTTGAATTGAATCACTTAGTCCCAAAGGACAGTTTATGTCTATTGGATATTTTACCCCATTGCTCTCTATCTACCCATAACCAGTCAGAATTCTAAATGTATTGCACAGAAAAGTTAAAAATCTAGCAGAATTATATGACAAAATATACTACAAGTATGTATACATATACTTTATTTAAAAGACAAAAATATAATGTTATAACATACAAAATACACATTTAAATATTAAGTTTTTATCCACAGCTGTTTGAGAAATGAAGACGGGCATATGCCACACAGTGTGCAGAGCTATGGCGTACTCTTATATAAAATTCCAACTGCCAAGGAATCTTTCACACACACACACTTGAGTTTACACTGTTCCTTGGGTTTTTTGTCCCTTCCGTATGACTAGTCAGCCATCAATGTCAGGTCCTCTGTCCGGCATCACTGACAAGGGAAAATGTTCAAGAAAAAGGTCTACATTAGCGCTATGAAAGTGTTGATATGCATATAAGAAAGAAAAAACTGGGATATTGACCAAATTGGGCCAAAACCTATAGCCTCTATTTTATTTGCTCAAGGTATTGATGGAATAGGAGTTAACTTTGGAATGAGTGAAATGAAATGGGGTTTAATGTCCTATTCCGACAGGGCTAATGACATGGAAATATGCTATACAGTGTCCTATTATGGAATTTTATCCAGACAGCGGCGCTAAAGCCTACTCTTATATCGAATTCAAACTGCCAAGGGATCTTTCACGTGCACACCAATGTGTGCACAGGACCTCGGTCATTCGTACCATCCAAATGACTAGACAGCTGTCCCTCCTTGTCAGGCCCTCTGTCCTGCACCTCTGACAAGGGGAGGAAACCAAGTCTGGAAATCACGAAGAACTTTCTCGGCCGACACTGGAATGGAATGTTGTGGAATGCTGAATATTGATAGGTTTCGTCCTCTCATGATTCCAGTGTGTAACACAAATTTGAAAAAGATCAATTAAGAATAAACACAGCATCTATTGCATTTGAAAAAGGGAGAATTAACCAAGGAAGGCAAAGTCCTGAAAAGCTGTATATTGATAATGCTTGTCCTCTCACAATCGGAATGATTCACATTTCACACCCAGTGTACGGACAAACAGGGCCAAAATTGATATGTGGGTGTATAAACAAAGATATATACTACACCAATATTACATGTGTTGCAGAATTGGTTTAACACATTTCAAATATAATTGTAACACGGATATTTGCAATGGTTGATCCATGACAAAAGATTTGAAATATTTTGAAGAGACGCAAAAGGTTACGCCATACAGTGTGCTATGAGGGAAATTTTGCCCGGGCAGCAGCGCTATGGCCTACTCTTGTATCGAATTCTAACTGCCAGGGGGATCTTTTATGTGCACGCCAATGTGTACACTGGACCTTTTTTTTGTCCCATCCAAACGACTAGACAGCTGTCCTCGTCACACGATCCCCCCTTGGCCTATGTACATGTAGAGATGAATTTTGAGCTACCTTTACATATATATTTCTATTTTTAAAACCCGCGACAAGTATATTTATATCAAGGATGTAACCCTCTATCAGTTAACCCGTCACGGATTGGTTGCATTGGTGAACCGGTTCAAAATATTCGTTTCATATCATACCTGACCTTCAAATCCAGGAATTGTAGCCACAATGGGGATCACGTTGGTTAAGTCGGAAAGACAATGGTTATCTAGTCTGGAGGTCGGGTGTTCGATCCCTGCATTGGCCGAGAAAGTTACTCCAGATTTTCCGGCATGGTTCTCCCTTGTCAGTGATGCAGGACAGATGGCTAGACAAGACAGCTGTCCAGTCATTAAAATGGGACAAACAAATGAGGTCCCATGTACACATTGGCGTGCACGTACAAGAGCCCTTGAAGTTAGAATTCGATAGAAGAGAAGGCCGTAGTGCCACTGTCCGGGCAAAATTTCCCACATAGCACACTGTATGGCGTATGCCCATCTTCATTAGCCCAGTTCAGAGCAAAACAGTAGGACGTTAAACTTTCATTTCACTAGCCACAGCTCTGTTTTCTTTCACCAAAGGGGGGAGGGGGTGGATGGCTGAATGGTTAGCGTGCGCGCGCTGTATCATAAAGTCTGTCATTGAGTCGACTGGCGTGGTTTCGAATCCCCAGTTGTACGTGGCAAGGAGTAGGGTCGCCTGTCCAACCTCGTGGGTTTTCTCCGGGTCCTCCGGTTTCCTCCCACTGCTAAAGACCCCTACGCGCAAGCGAATTATGTAAATAAAAAATTAAACCATATGTTAGTCCCGAAATGACCTAGTTTGTGTCGAGTGGACGGTAAACCCCATTTCTCTCTCTCTTTCACCAAAGGGGGGGATCAAGTGGGTAAGACGCTGGCTCGCTAGTCTGGAGATCGGGTGTTCGATCCCTGTATTGGCCGAGAAAGTTCATCCTGATTTTTCGGCGTGGTATCCCTTGTCAGTGATGCAGGGCGGAGGGACTGACAAGGACAGCTGTCTAGTCGTTATGGGACGAAAAACCGAGGTCCCGTGTAGACATTGGCGTGCACGTAAAAGATCCCTTGGCAGTTGGAATTCGATATAAGAGTAGGCCGTAGCGCCGCTGCCCAGGCAAAATTTCCCTCATAGCACATTGTATGGCATATGCTCGTCTTCATTAGCCCAGGTTAGGAGCAGAACAGTAGGACGTTAAACCCCATTTCATTTCATTTCATTTCTTTCACCAAAGACCACATAAATACTTCATTTAGCACTTGTCATTTGAAACAGTTATAGCCTATGTCTTGTCTGGAAGAGGGGGCATCATCACATTACCAAACAGGGTATAAGTCGATGTTGAGTATAAGTCAAATTGCCAAATTTTACATTTTTCCGACCTACATCCATAATTAAGTAGAGGCGGTATATAAGACTAATGTTTTTCAACTCCACGAGTTTCGGGACTGTTATCCTAGTCTAATACCGTGCCGGTGTACGCCGAAGAAAAGTTGGGCCATATAAATAATGAGGGTCTGGGACAGTTGTCAATAACACTTGCATTTATAAACAAACATGAATCGTGATGACGAATTAGAATTCAATAAAAAAACAACATAGATATGGCCCACGAAGAGAGAAATTTTACAATAAAAAAAATTAAGAGTGTTGGATATTGAACTGACAATGCAATCAAATGGATTTTCGGAAATGGCATTCTTATATACTATTCAAAAAAAGTAGGGGATATTTGATTTTGGGGGCATAATACTAAAATATGCAAATGACTACGAAAAAACTCACTATAGAACCCAACAGAAGAAACATTTCCAGTTACATGTGACGCCCAAACGCACCAATAGCTACCGCATGGAATGCAGGTGATGCTTGGGATCATCATGGGGGTCCAACCCAAGATTTGCACGACTCTGACTTTGAATGTTACAGTCATTGTGGCATTGAATTCCAGGGTGGAAACATCAGTTTAATTGTTTTAGTGACCAGAAAACAAATTTTGATATGCGTCGGCTTACCCAAAATGAAAGGTTACGTGCCCTTGGCATGCTACAGATCGGCACAACACAGGCGGTTGTGGCGCGGACGATGAATGTTTCTCAGTCTGTCATAAGCAGGCTATGGTCCAGATACCGTGATACACAATTTGTACAGGACAGACCACGCTCAGGTCGACCAAGGGCGACAACTCAAGTCCAGGATCGATTTATCCGTACCTTGGCCTTGAGAAATCGTCTCATCACAGCAAATCAGATCAGCGCTCGTCTTCAAACAGACACTGGTGTGAGAGTGAGTGGCCAGACGATTCGGAATCGACTGCATAGGGGTCACCTTCGCGCCCGACGTCCTCGCGTGATCCCTTGTTTGAGAGATCATCACATTCAGGCAAGACGTCGTTGGTGTAGGGATCGTCAACACTGGGATAATCGACGCTGGAGCAATGTGATGTTTTCAGATGAGTCAAGGTTCACTGTTGATTTTTTTGACAGACGAAGGAGGGTGTGGCGTCGTCGAAACGAGCGCTTCCAAGACGTTAACGTCATCAGACATGATCGATTTGGGGGTGGTTCTGTTATGGTGTGGGGAGGCATCACTGTTGCTGGAAGAACGGCTTTACATGTTGTTGCAGGGCGTGTTACAGGCCAGTACTACCGGGACAACATCTTGGCAGTCCATGTTGTGCCGTTCGCACGACGTCATGGCCGCCGTTTCATCTTCCAGGATGACAACGCAAGATGTCACAGGGCCAGGATCGTTACAGGTTACCTCCAACAACAGAACATCACCACATTACCTTGGCCAGCACTGAGTCCCGACCTCTCCCCCATCGAGCATGTCTGGGACATGCTTGGACAGAGGTTACGTCAACGTCAACAACGTCCTGCCAATGTCCAAGAACTTGCTGCTGCGTTGCAACAGGAATGGGACAATCTGGACCAAATTGACCTTAGACGTCTCATTAGGAGTATGCCACGTCGGATCAATGCTTGTTTGGCAAACAGAGGAGGATTTACCCGTTACTGACTTGGTTGTGAGGCTGTGGTAACTTTGCTGTTTGACCCCGGGTATCATTTTACCCTTATAATGGTCAGTCTGTGCCTTACTTAGTCTAACGATCATTTGGAATAAATCGATGAATGTGAACTTCATTTCATTTTGTCATTTGTTTCTTCGTCAGTTTCATTAGGTGACTTTAATAACACTTAAAAATCAAATATCCCCTACTTTTTTTGAATAGTATATAAATTTCATGGGCGTCAACATCTTGTTTTAGGACTAGTTACCTCCCTTAGACTTTGTTTATGATAATGTAAAAGACCGGATAATCTAGCCTATGACTGATTATTCTCAAATGTTGACAACGCAACCACACTAATATTCGTAGAATATAGAATATTTTTTTCTAGATGATAGAGACTAATAATATGCCAACATTGAAATGTGTGCATAAATATGGTATATACTTAATTACACCAATATTATACCTATGTCATAGAATTTGTTACACACATTACAAATATAATCTTAATAGAGATCTATGGTTGATCTATCAGTAAAAACTGGAAGATTTGTAAGGAACGCAAAAGGTTATTGTTTACTGGCTGCAGCAGGGAGCAATAACAGGAACACAGATGATTTTCAACTCACTGATACAACTCAGTTTAAACTTTAAGCCAAAGAGCTGTTATATAATACTGTGACAGTATATCGGCTCTAAACTAACTAGTCATCAAAGAATTGACTGTCAAAAGTTCAGACAGAAAGTATTTTAGGCCTACAATGCTTGTAAAGCTTTGGCCTACATTCTGATGATATTTGTGCTACCATAGATACATATATATTTATATCATTACATTATGTGACAAGTAGTAGTGTTTGGCAAGTAGTAGTGTTGTCTAACTTTCATTATAAAGCCCATATAAATCTTTTTAGAACTTCCTTGTCATTACTGCCACCAAGGGTGCTCAAATATACATGTAGGATCTGTAAAAAAAACCAAAATAAATAAAAAGCAACTTTATACTCCCCAAAAAAACGTAATTGGGTTAAACGGCCTACTGTTCAGCTCCAACTGGGCTGACAGCCAACCTACTGTGGATCTGTAATGAAATGGGGTTCAATATCATACTGTGCTGCTCAAACTGGGCTAAAGAAGTTGGACAAATGCTTGAAAGTGTGCTGTGATGGAAATTTTGACTGGACTGTGTGTACAAAAGAGCTTGGTTTTTTGTCCCATCCGAACAACTGTACATTAGCCCTTACCAGCCCCTCTGTCTTGCACCAGTTAAAAGAGAAACCATGCCAGAAAATCCTGATGAACTTTCTTGGCCACCACAAGAAAAAATAAGCAGGGGAGTAGGACTGAAACCTTTATGTACAAGTATGTACGGGCAAACTTGTTATTTAATGTTATATCATATAAATAGGCCTATGTATATAAGCTTAATGTCTTGATTATCCATTTTTCAATTAAATTAAATCATTAACATTAACCGCCAGTGTTTGAATCTGTGAACATCTCGAGCACCCGATGGCATTGAGACTTGATTATAGACTTAGCAAGTTAATACATTAAAATGTCTTATAAAAAAATTTAACATTTACAGTCTCAAGAAATACCTACTTAACCTACGTACAATATATAGATTTAGCTCTTGCATAATGCATTATTAAATTTGCAAAAATATCAGTACAATAACAACAAAAAAACCCAACCTGAAACACCCATAAAAATGTTTAGAAAATACTACATGTACTTATATTATAATTAGCACAGCCTGAATTTTAACAGTCTACATCATTAATAAATTCGTTATGTGTTTGATAATTTTTGGATCCAGATTTTTTAAAAACAATTTTGGAACCAGTATTACTTTCGATAACTTAAAGCAATGTTGATTTTGTTTATGAATAGTATGGTTTACGGACAATGTAACTGCATCGTGTTAAAAACAAATACTGACTGTCTGATATACAAAGTTGCGTGCAAACTTTTTCCACGGCCAGATTATTTTTTTTATCAACATTAGATCTATCGGTATACTGTCAACGGAAGTTCGCATAAAAAGTGCACTTACCTTCAACTTTACTTTGCTGAATCCAAAATCGTGTGTGTATGTGTGGAATAGCTTTATTTAACTTTAAATCACGGCATCATTTCTTCTTTGGGAAAAATAATAACCTATGCCGCCATTTTAAATCCCAGAATTCCGTACGTTCCGGTCAAACGAATAAACAATAAATATTTAATAAATAATTGAAGCAATTTAGATAAATAACAACGATAACCGTAACCTATAAAAAAATATTGTAATGTGAATAGAAATAATATGATATAAACCGATTTAAACACAATCATCAACCTTGTGACCTTGACCTTGCCCGAGACGATAAAAATATATTTGTACATCTATGTAGGTCTAAAAATGGCGACTGTTCATTTGAAAGGCCTGTAATATTTCTGATAATGAATCTATTCATATAATTTGTTTGTATACGCTCTACCATATTTTATATGAGGTTACATAATTACGTTATATTAAAAGAATAATCAAATTGGATAATTTTAATTTTCAGAGATAGGTCTTTTATCGAGAGACGATAAATATATGGACTCATATATAGCTAGAGTAGATCTCTATGTTAATTGACTGGGTCATTATTATCTATTTTTCAGATTTATAACTTAAAAAAATGGAACTAGTCTTGGTCCAACCTTTATTTTTATATGGTTTTACAACTTATATAATTAAGTGTTGAACTTTTAAATTCGAAATAAAAAAACGGCAACAATCGACTCATGACCTATTTTATATATTGTATATGTAGACAGCCGCCATTTTGAATGACATTAACAACACACATTGATTTAAGCAATATTTTATTTAGATAGTTTCATATTAAGAACTAAATTTTCAAAAATTTAAGGATTCATGAACAAAGTTAAAGGTTATTATAATTGATCTCCATATTGTTAATTGTAATACAATTCCAAGAATGTACACTTGTACAAACATACATGAAGGCCTTATATAAATAATGATCATGAATTTTATATTTACTGGTGCAAGGATCATTAATTTTATATTTACTGGTGCAAGGTTGATGAAGGCCTTATATAAATAATGATCATGAATATTATATTTACTGGTCCAAGGATCATTAAGTTTATATTTACTGGTGCAAGGTACTACATTTAATAACTTTAATTATAAAAACATTTAATGCATTGTCGGCCTATGAATTTTATATTTACTGGTGAAAGGATCATTAATTTTATATTTACTGGTGCAAGGTACTATATTTAATAAATTTAATTATAAAAACACTTCATGCATAGTCGGCCTAGGTGTGGACTACTCCGAACATTTGGACAGTGATAACCTTTTAGTAGAGAACAACTTTGCTTTATGAAACAATTTCCGACAATCAATCATTATTTGTTTTGTCAAATTTTTGGGTATCAAAATTGAGAGAGAGAGAAATGGGGTTTAACGTTCACTTGACTCGATGATACAACAAAAAACACAATTACTATTTTAATTAAAGCGACGTTTCGTTGAGGGTTCTCTCAACGTTTTCAAGTAAATGATGCTCAATAGTCAACGGGTGCACTCGTCCGCTTGCCAGCCTATCTTTTATAGTCCCATTGGTGCAGAAAAGTAGGAAAATTAAATAAAATTAAATGAGATTAAACATCCTACTGTTTTGCTCTGAGTGAGCTAATGAAGACAGGCATACACTATATACAGTGTACTATGACGGAAACTTTGCACGGATAGCGGCACTATGGTCTACTCTGATATTGAATTACAACTGTCGGAGTGTCTTTTACGTGCATGCCAATATGTACATGAGGACTTGAATTTTCGTATGACCTGAACAATTATACCTTATCCCTTGCCAGATCCTCCGCCCTGCCACAGTCCATAGAAAATTTCCGTCATAGCACTCTGCATTGCGTATGACTATCTTCAATAGTCCGATTGGTGCAGAAAAGTATGAAAATGAATTTTAAATGGGGTTTGAACATCCTACTATTTTGTTCCAAGTGGGCTAATGAAGAAGGGCATATGCTATAATGGTTAAAATGTTGTGATTTCGGGTTAAAATGCCGTGATGTTGGGTTATCGCCTTACGAAGGGTGATATCAGTCACTATATCTACTGGGTTTCTTTAATACTCATATTTATAGTATTTTATAGAGTCGGACTAGTGAATGCACGGATTAGTGCACCCACGGACTAGTGAACCCGCACACTAGTAATTGGTAATGATGGAAAAGTGTGTAAAGACCTCTTTTACAGGTTGGCGTGCACTTAGAACTATTGGTAATGACTATATGCGGAAATGCTGCTCTCCAGGCAAAATGTCTTTCCTAGCACATCTTCATTAGTAAGTGCGGTAATGCTGCTGTCCAGGCAAAATTTCTGTCATAGCACATCTTCATTACTAATTTTGATAAAGCCACGGTGGCTAAGTGCGTAAGATGCTGGCTCAGTAATCCGGAGGGCACGTGTTCGATCCCTGCATTGGTGGAGAAAGTTCATCAGGATTTTCCGACATGGTTTCCCCTTGTCAGAGGTGCAGGAACAAGGACAGTAGTCTAGTCACTCAGATGGGACAAAAAACCGAGGTACCATGTATAAATTGGCTTGCACGAAAAGATCCTTTGGCAGTTGGATTCGATATTAGTAGGCCATAGTGCCGCTGCTGGGGCAAAATTTCCCTCATAGCACATTGTATAGTATGTACCTGTCTTCATTAGCCCAGTCGGAGCAAAACAGCAGGACAATAAACCGATTTCATCAGGATAAACCTACATGAGGAAAAACCTACATTTCACAAACTTAGTAATTAGTAACGGGGGGTTGGATGGCTGAATGGTTAGCGTGCGGGCGCTGTATCATAAAGTCTGTCATTGAGTTGACTGGCGTGGTTTCGAATCCCCGGTTGTACGTGACAAGGAGTAGGGTCGCCTGTCCAACCTCCGGTTTTCTCCCACTGCTAAAGACCCCTACGCGCAAGCGAATTATGTAAATAAAAATTAAACCATATGTTAGTCCCGAAATGACCTAGTTTGTGTCATAAAGTCTGTCATTGAGTTGACTGGCGTGGTTTCAAATCCCCGGTTGTACGTGACAAGGAGTAGGGTCGCCTGTCCAACCTCCGGTTTTCTCCCACTGCTAAAGACCCCTACGCGCAAGAGAATTATGTAAATAAAAATTAAACCATATGTTAGTCCCGAAATGACCTAGTTTGTGTCGAGTAGACGTTAAACCCCATTTCTCTCTCTCTCTCTCTAGTAATTAGTAACACACTGGCTAGCAAATGCGGGGTTCAATTTCCGTGTTGGTCGAGAAAAATGAAATGAAATCGGGTTTAACGTCCTACTGTTCTGCTCCTAAACTGAGCTAATGAATACGAGCATACGCCATACAGTATGCTATGAAGGAAATTTTACCCAGGCAGCGGCGCTATGGCCTACTCTTATATCAAGTTCCAACTACCAAGGGATCTTTCATGTGCACTCCTGTGTGTACACGTGACCTCAGTTTTTCATCCCTGACTAGACAGCTGTTCTTGTCAGGCCCTCCGCCCTGTATCACTGACAAGGGGAAAACACGCAGGAAAATCTGGATGAACTTTCTCAGCCAATGCAGGGATCGAACACCCAACCTCCAGGCTAGCGAGTCAGCGTCTTACCCACTTAGCCAGCGTGATCCCCATGTTGGTCGAGAAAGTTCCCTTTGTTAGTAGTGGTATAGGACAGAGGACCTCAAAAAACAGTGTCTAGTCCATCACGTGGGTGTGCACGTAAAAGAACCCTTGACATTTGGAATTTGAAATGAGAGTAGATCATTCATTCATTCGTTTTCTCTTTGTGTGTCACCTACAGATCGCAACTATTAAAGGAGCTAGATCTCTATTCTTGGGCACTTAGAAATGGATACAAAATGTAATGAAATGAAATGGGGTTTTAACGTCCAACTGTTCTGCTCCGAACTGGGCTAATGAAGATGGCCATACACCATACAGTGTGTTATGAGGGAAATTTTGCCACGACAGTGGCACTACGGCCTACTCTTATATCGAATTCCAACTGTCAAGGGATTTTTTACATGCGTGCCAATGTGTACGCGGGACCTCGGTTTTTTATCCCATCTGAACAACTAGACAACTGTCCTTGTCAGGCTCTCCGTCCTGCATCACTGACAAAGGGAAACCACGCCGGAAATCTGGATGAACTTTCTCGGCCAATGCAGGGATCGAACACCCGACCTCCAGGCTAGCGAGCCAGGGTCTTACCCATTTTAATGACTAGACAGCTGTCTTGTCAGGCCCTTAATTGTTAGTATCATGACATTAAACTGACATTTGTTTTACGTTTTACAACTAATATCAGGTTTATGTTAGAAAACTAACGTTAGATTTATGTTAGAAAACTAAAGTTAGATTTATGTTATAAAATTAACATTAGATTTACGTTAGAAAACTAACGTTAAATTAACGGTTAAAATTATGACATAAAACTAACATTACATTAACGTTAGAAAACTAACATTATATTAACGTTAGAAAACTAACGTTAGATTTACGTCAGAAAACTAACGTTAGATTTACGTCAGAAAACTTACGTTAGATTTACGTTAGATTAACGTTAGAATTATAACCAATAATACATATATAATTATTATGTCTGAATTCCGACTATATATCAATTGTTAGAATGTGCACACACTTGTAATGTTATTTAATCAAGAAGTATTCAAACGGAAAAAAATTGGTTAGTAATCCGTCATAAAGTTTACGTTACATTTGACTCAATGACAGACCTTTTCATCCAACGCGCACGCGTTAACCATTCGGCCACCCCACCCCTCCCAATTATCCATAGACTTGACGAATTAATCAATGATCGCTAAAATAAGTGCAGGATTTTATATAATCTTTGAGGTTTTCCGATATGAGATAAAAAATCAAGTTGACTTGTATCAATTGCTTCTGTTACACAGGGGGATCGCGTGGCAAAGTGGGTAAGACGCTGGCTCGCTAGCCTGGAGGTCGGGTGTTCGATCCCTACATTGGCCGAGAAAGTTCATCCAGATTTTCCGGCGTGGCCCCCCCCCCCCTTGTCAGTGATGTAGGACGGAGGGCCTGACAAGGACAGCTGTCTAGTCGTTCGGATGGGACGAAAAACCGAGGTCCCGTGTACACATTGGCGTGCACGTAAAAGATCCCTTGATAGTTGGAATTCGATATAAGAGTAGGCCGTAGTGCCGCTGTCCGGGCAAAATTTCCCTCATAGCACACTGTATGACGTATGCCCGTCTTCATTAGCCCAGTTCGGAGCAAAACAGTAGGACGTTAAATCTCATTTCATTTCATTTCATTTGAGTCGTTGCAACGAAGAAACAACTAAAGAACCATTTGGCTGCTGCTCCCCATAAACGAATGAAGGTTGTGTGTTTTTTCTGTCGAGACTTCCGATTCTTCAGTCGTATAACGCCATCACCCCCCAAGTCTACAAACGAGTTGCCACGGTACCAAAGTGGGCTTCACCACTATCCCAGCTTACAAGACAGATGATGCTGGACTGGACCCGTAAGTTTTCAGATCCTTTCCGGTCAGAAGAAGAATGGACAGAAGAATGGAAAACCCTCAAAGGTGACCGCGAGAGTGTCAGTGATGTGTTGCCTATCTGTGCCGAAGGGGAGATAACGCTAACACCAACTCCTTCACTGGAGAAGTATTATCCTCATCAACCATCGTTCAACCTTGCCGATCTGGTTACTCTTACACATCTCAGTATTAGAAGGATTGCAGAGTTGCCCTGTTCGCGACTGATGAAGATAAGGTGTGGTACAGGGTCACCCCAAAGAAAAACGCCGTACAAGCCCCTCGGACCTTGGGTTCTTTAACCCGAAAGCTAACTCTTCTACCAAACTCCAACAACATGAGACCGCCTGGTGTTGACATCGCCCTTAAAGGATTCCATTTGGAAACGAGGAAGTTGACCTTGGCCGAATTTCTTGGAGTATCTTCTGACTCGCTAGATAGGAGAATGATATGGAACTAACCTTTTGTCTGCACCCGTAAGCTGAAGACCACAGTATCCCTTCAAGATGTCTCAACGGTTACCGTAGAGCTGGAATATGCGGCCATGACTTTGGGAGAAGGATTTCAGTCTAGGACACCAGTAATATCCCGCCACTACCTCCTAGACAACATGCTGACACTATTGGGTACCCCTATACCACCTCCAGGAAAAGGCGTCCAGCACAATACCTGTAAGTCATAAGTATGAGTACCCGAGCCTTGGACACGGATGCGACTCGAAGCTCCTGAGATATATAATGGTAACTTGCAACATGGGTAGTATGGTATTGGTATGATTTGGTATTTCTATAGCATGAATCTGGTTGGTATTGGTGTGGCGATGGAAGAATTGGTATCTCTATAGTATGTATCCGATTGGTATGATGATGGGAAGACTGGTCCTGCCCTGCCACAGTATGATGATGGGAAGAATGGTCCTGCCCTGCCACAGTTGACGTTTCAGATCCCGGGTATCTGATGTTTTAGGTGGAGGTGGGGGTCCCATACGAAAGACTAGACGCTGTTCCTTCCAGACCCTCCAACCTGCACAACTGACAGCTGGAAAATCCCGAGGAACTGTCTAGGTCAACACCGGGATCGAATCCGGGACGCCATGGTTTGCGAACCAGTGCCTTACTCACTGAGCCACTGCGGATCCCGGTGTCCTACTCATATTAGCCCTTTGGCATTGTAACGGGAACTGTACTTTCAGTTTTCCAAAATCACGACCCATCTGAAAATTCTCGTTATTACAAAATTAAATAATTGTCATATGAAATATATCAGACAAATGAAATGATTATATTATTCCATTTTTTATAAAATTTCGAAAGCTCAAAACTAATTATTTTAACATTGTTTTTGTTAAACTTGTATTTAAACTTTCGTTGATCAAAAAACACGTACCCGAAGAATTGGTCTTCTTTCTAGAATAAAAAACACGTATATAACATTTTTCGATTATATTTTAGAATAAATAATTATTTTCACTTGAAAATGTTCATGAATCAAAACGTACACATATTTTCACCAAATTGATACCCGATGTTATTAAGAAAAATGCGGCAGTATTATGTAAAACAAATTTTATCGGTTAACTCCTTTACTAATTTTCCGCATTTTTTCGTTATACGAGGTTTCAAGCGGAGACCCACGATATGGCATGCGAATATTTATTGACTGCTGATCAGTTTCACAATTTAATAAGAGAGGGAGAGAAATGGGTTTAACGTCCACTCGACACAAACTATGTCATTTCGGGACTAACATATGGCTCAATTCCATTTCAATAATTCGCTTGTGCGTAGGGGTCTTTAGCAGTGCGAGGAAACCTACGAGTCTGGATAGGCGACCATACTCCTTGTCACGTAGGCCTACAATTGAAACGGGGAATCGAAATCACGCCAGTTGATACAATGGCAGGCTTTGTGATATAGCGCGCACGCGCTACCCATTCGACCATACACCCTCACCCCCACCCCACCCCAGCCCTGTCCGCGCCCCACCCCTCAATTTAATAAGTTTTGTGTTTTAAACTGGTTTGAAGTAGGTCCATACACATATACCATAGCCGGTTTGTGTAATACTTCCTTGTTTGTTGCTGGTTTAAATAACCGACACGGGTAATTAATTCAACCATCATTTTAAATATTTGAGTTCTTCGGCGGGCTAAGGCTTTCCTGACATTTTATAAGCCAATTATTTAGAGGTTTGTTACAGAAGAAAGGAGGATATAAGAATAGTTAAGTTCTAAACCTCTTACCTTAAATCTTCTGTCAGTAATTAGGGTACACAGTCCTTATTACGTGGTTATCTCCCCTTTCACATATAGATTTGTCGTCACACGACATGACACGCCCACTTCAGCAAGATATATTCTATAATTAAAGAGATACATAACCATGCATAGACTTGACGAATTAATCAATGGTCGGTAAAATAAGTTGGCGGGATTTTATATAATCTTTGAGGTTTTCCGATGAGATAAAAATCAAATCTACAAACAATAACCCACAACAGACCGACTGCAACATCCGTCTTTTATCTCTGTCCAAGATGACTGACCTTTAAAAGGTCAGACCGCTGTAGTTCTAAGGGTGACGTCACATCACAATGTTTACAAACAAACCAAGATGGCATCGATAACGCCAATAAAAGATTACTTCTGTGGCTTGTTTTTGTTGTTTTAAAACAAACACGAGCAGGTCAATCAGATTAGACGGTAAAAAATGTACTTTTGAAAGAATTCAGAGTAAACAAACAGAAAAAAACGTCATATTGATGGTCACACGTGCGTTGTTTACATCGAACGTAGTAATATGAACTGGTATTCGCAGAATTATATCGTTTTATCCATTTTACGCCTCCGCGTACTATTTTCTTTACCCATTTATGCTAAATATGGAATATTTTTTTATCAAGATATACTTCAAACACCTTTATTTATTTTTCTAATACTAAAAAAAAAATGTTTCAGAATTTAATTTGTCGAAAGAAAAAAGTTAATATTTTGTAGTCATTAAGTCGAATCGATGTCATCCTTATCAGTGATTGTAGCGGCCAAGCGAATATTCACTGCGGATCAGTGTGATACAGTGCGCTTACTCAAGTTACTGTGCTATGAAGGAAATTTTGACCAGACAGCGGTGCTACGGCCTACTCCCGATGAACTTTCTCGGCAAACCCTGGGATGGAACCTGCGACCTCCAGGCTATATACTGACCCAGCTTCTTACTCACTTATAACCACCGTGGCTCCAGCAATAAACAACAAACTAACCATTTAATATTACAATTTATATCACACGAATAGATCTGCTGACTAGCCGTAAACGTCAGTGGCGGCGGCAAGGGTTTGGGAGAGGGGGCGGGGGCGAACATTGAGCAGACCAGATTTGTTTTGGTAATCAATCCCTTCTACGGTGATTAAAGGGCCAAACCCGATAATATTTTGGAGAATAAAACTGCTTAATTTCGTGTTAAAATCCCTTAAAATCCTCTACCTTAGGGCCGAGCAATTAATTCAATATACGTCAAGCAGACCGGTGTCCCAAGCTGTATTATGCGGTGTACGTCTGGATAAAACCATTTTATGAAAATAATGTGTATGTGAAATTTACCTTTCGTTATCAAGTACAACACATTGGTCATTCACTGTATAGACCTCTAAAGGAACAGGGATCGATTATCAGGTCACCCAAGGAAAAACTGACCCGAAATCTTAAAAGGGTTATGTGTCCGGATAAGCATTTTTGACGTTCACGTCCAAACGACTCAGCAGTTGACGTTTCAGATCCCGGGTATCTGATGTTTTAGGTGGAGGTGGGGGTCCCATACGAAAGACTAGACGCTGTTCCTTCCAGACCCTCCGACCTGCACAACTGACAGCTGGAAAATCCCGAGGAACTGTCTAGGTCAACACCGGGATCGAATCCGGGACGCCATGGTTTGCGAACCAGTGCCTTACTCACTGAGCCACTGCGGATCCCGGTGTCCTACTCATATTAGCCCTTTGGCATTGTAACGGGAACTGTACTTTTCAGTTTTCCAAAATCACGACCCATCTGAAAATTCTCGTTATTACAAAATTAAATAATTGTCATATGAAATATATCAGACAAATGAAATGATTATATTATTCCATTTTTTATAAAATTTCGAAAGCTCAAAACTAATTATTTTAACATTGTTTTTGTTAAACTTGTATTTAAACTTTCGTTGATCAAAAAACACGTACCCGAAGAATTGGTCTTCTTTCTAGAATAAAAAACACGTATATAACATTTTTCGATTATATTTTAGAATAAATAATTATTTTCACTTGAAAATGTTCATGAATCAAAACGTACACATATTTTCACCAAATTGATACCCGATGTTATTAAGAAAAATGCGGCAGTATTATGTAAAACAAATTTTATCGGTTAACTCCTTTACTAATTTTCCGCATTTTTTCGTTATACGAGGTTTCAAGCGGAGACCCACGATATGGCATGCGAATATTTATTGACTGCTGATCAGTTTCACAATTTAATAAGAGAGGGAGAGAAATGGGTTTAACGTCCACTCGACACAAACTATGTCATTTCGGGACTAACATATGGCTCAATTCCATTTCAATAATTCGCTTGTGCGTAGGGGTCTTTAGCAGTGCGAGGAAACCTACGAGTCTGGATAGGCGACCATACTCCTTGTCACGTAGGCCTACAATTGAAACGGGGAATCGAAATCACGCCAGTTGATACAATGGCAGGCTTTGTGATATAGCGCGCACGCGCTACCCATTCGACCATACACCCTCACCCCCACCCCACCCCAGCCCTGTCCGCGCCCCACCCCTCAATTTAATAAGTTTTGTGTTTTAAACTGGTTTGAAGTAGGTCCATACACATATACCATAGCCGGTTTGTGTAATACTTCCTTGTTTGTTGCTGGTTTAAATAACCGACACGGGTAATTAATTCAACCATCATTTTAAATATTTGAGTTCTTCGGCGGGCTAAGGCTTTCCTGACATTTTATAAGCCAATTATTTAGAGGTTTGTTACAGAAGAAAGGAGGATATAAGAATAGTTAAGTTCTAAACCTCTTACCTTAAATCTTCTGTCAGTAATTAGGGTACACAGTCCTTATTACGTGGTTATCTCCCCTTTCACATATAGATTTGTCGTCACACGACATGACACGCCCACTTCAGCAAGATATATTCTATAATTAAAGAGATACATAACCATGCATAGACTTGACGAATTAATCAATGGTCGGTAAAATAAGTTGGCGGGATTTTATATAATCTTTGAGGTTTTCCGATGAGATAAAAATCAAATCTACAAACAATAACCCACAACAGACCGACTGCAACATCCGTCTTTTATCTCTGTCCAAGATGACTGACCTTTAAAAGGTCAGACCGCTGTAGTTCTAAGGGTGACGTCACATCACAATGTTTACAAACAAACCAAGATGGCATCGATAACGCCAATAAAAGATTACTTCTGTGGCTTGTTTTTGTTGTTTTAAAACAAACACGAGCAGGTCAATCAGATTAGACGGTAAAAAATGTACTTTTGAAAGAATTCAGAGTAAACAAACAGAAAAAAACGTCATATTGATGGTCACACGTGCGTTGTTTACATCGAACGTAGTAATATGAACTGGTATTCGCAGAATTATATCGTTTTATCCATTTTACGCCTCCGCGTACTATTTTCTTTACCCATTTATGCTAAATATGGAATATTTTTTTATCAAGATATACTTCAAACACCTTTATTTATTTTTCTAATACTAAAAAAAAAATGTTTCAGAATTTAATTTGTCGAAAGAAAAAAGTTAATATTTTGTAGTCATTAAGTCGAATCGATGTCATCCTTATCAGTGATTGTAGCGGCCAAGCGAATATTCACTGCGGATCAGTGTGATACAGTGCGCTTACTCAAGTTACTGTGCTATGAAGGAAATTTTGACCAGACAGCGGTGCTACGGCCTACTCCCGATGAACTTTCTCGGCAAACCCTGGGATGGAACCTGCGACCTCCAGGCTATATACTGACCCAGCTTCTTACTCACTTATAACCACCGTGGCTCCAGCAATAAACAACAAACTAACCATTTAATATTACAATTTATATCACACGAATAGATCTGCTGACTAGCCGTAAACGTCAGTGGCGGCGGCAAGGGTTTGGGAGAGGGGGCGGGGGCGAACATTGAGCAGACCAGATTTGTTTTGGTAATCAATCCCTTCTACGGTGATTAAAGGGCCAAACCCGATAATATTTTGGAGAATAAAACTGCTTAATTTCGTGTTAAAATCCCTTAAAATCCTCTACCTTAGGGCCGAGCAATTAATTCAATATACGTCAAGCAGACCGGTGTCCCAAGCTGTATTATGCGGTGTACGTCTGGATAAAACCATTTTATGAAAATAATGTGTATGTGAAATTTACCTTTCGTTATCAAGTACAACACATTGGTCATTCACTGTATAGACCTCTAAAGGAACAGGGATCGATTATCAGGTCACCCAAGGAAAAACTGACCCGAAATCTTAAAAGGGTTATGTGTCCGGATAAGCATTTTTGACGTTCACGTCCAAACGACTCAACATTTTAAGCTGAAAGTTTGAGACAGGCTAAATACACCATATATTTCGGCGCTTAAATTTCATACGTATTCGGACTTTTATTTTTTCGACTCTGTTCAAATGGGAATAGTCCCTTTAATCCCACATTTCCGTCATAGCATTGCATCACTCGGCAAACCTCAGCAGATTCCAGTACCCTACATCTAGTAACGCAATATTCCGAGGTTTGCCGAGTGAGCATTGCATGTTGTAGAGTCCGAGTGATTTCTTACCAAACCTATCCTGCTGTAAACTACTACGTGAATCACTTGAGAAGTGCTTTTTATGATCCTCAAAGTTTGTGGGTATAGGTTCAACGAAGGAAGAATATTCATTCACTTTGATTCACTCACTCCGTTCGTTCGACACTTAATCCCTCTGACTCTCTTGTCGGATAAGCTAGTGATTAGGCGACAGATGGTATCTTTCGACGATGTAAACTTCAACTGGCTGTACAGTCCTAGTTGGGGCCAATCTGTTTCACAGAATTATTGCTAAAGTCCCGTTATACCTCTGTATAAGATGACTGACCTTTACAAGTTCAAGTATGCCATCTACATGCAACGTCACATCATTCATCAATAGAGACTTTTGGCAAGCGAAATTTTTTCCATCCGTATCATGTATCCGAATCGTCACGTGATACGTTTCGTCAATGTAGTTTTAGAGTTTTGGCAGATTTTCGCGCTGCGTACGTATGAGTAGCTGAGCTGAACTTAGTTCTATTACAGCATGATGGCAGTTATCTACTAAGATCAACATCTGTAGGCCAACTAGTCAAGTGCCTGCCTACAAATTCCTGAAGGGAGCAAAGTCGCTCAACAGTTGCTGGGCTATTTAAAAAAAAATAAAAAATTTAGTGTCGAATTTTATTAAAAATCTTCGACTTCAACAACAATTTTTGGTTTCACTAATGTATCATTTCAGAAAGTATATACCCTTTTTACAGATTGCACGGTACCACCTACCCATATTTAGCATGTAGATCAACCAGCATGCAGACAGCAAAAATATGAAAATTCCGCGAAAAGCTAATCAAAAATAATGATAAAATTCCAGTATTTATCACGGTTATATCACATCAAATATACACCTTTGTCTTCTAGGATACACATAGATTCGTAAAAACGCTACGACACAACATTTCAGCGTCTAAAACTAGCAAAAAATACGGTAAAAAAGACGACGATGTTATACGGACATTTTCCATATGAAAGCTGTTCGATACGTGCTGCCGTATCTGTGTCCCGTATCATGTATGAGAAATACACACGCAATGATGACGTCACACGCAAAATCAATACGGATACGCGATAGGGACCAGAACTTTACGATTGCCAAAATTCTCTACCGACGCGTGTATTCTTAACGTATGAAGGTTAAGCGCTACCTAACCATAACAAACCAATTGAGTTTTCTTTCCAGCATCCCGATCTCTCCTCCCACCGCCCCAACCTATTCTCACTCTCCCCTCTTTATGCCCCTCACACCTGGCGCCCCCCCCACTCCCCTCCCCCTGTGAAAAAAATTTCGACCATAAAAAAATAGATAGGCCTATACATTGTCCGTCAATATTACAGCACCCCCGAGAACATTTCTTGCCCCCCTCGTTGCTCTGAGCTAGTTACGGCCCTGCCTCCACCCGATCTCCCCCACCCCCTTCTTTGGCTCTCCTTTTCTACCCTCCCCCCTTTCTATCCTCCTCTCAATGGATCTCTATTTTCTGTATTCCCCTCTCTAAGTAAAGTACAAAGTAGCTTTTATAGAGATTTTATTGTGTTCTATAATACATTGATATACATGTAGATAAATTTTATCACATGGGTTTTAAAAAATAATTATTCAATACATATTCAACATATTATAAAAACACATTATAAGATTATATTACATATTACTAATACTGAGACACCTGGAATCAGCTTGTATTTTACACCCACAAGATAGGTGTACAAAGAATATATTCTGGATCCAAGACATACATCCGGTGTGGGAGACAGGGTTTTGTTAAAAACATCACTACAGGGCTAAATGATTTCTCATATACATTCTACAATTATCTTGTCATGCTGTTTGTGTAGGAATGATAGATTAATACTATTCATTATGATAGTCATCCCTGACAACAGATTCCCCCCCCCCCACAGTACTGTAAGCCCACATGTACTTCTACTTGCTGACAACCCCACCCACACCAGTACTGTAGGACTACTTCTACATGATAATAACCAGTGCTGGACTGGGCCCACCTGTCCACCTGTCTGTAATAAAAAGTGGGCCTAAGCCTATAAAGAAAAAAGAGAAAGAAAAAAGAAAGAAAGGAGAGGGGGGGAAGAAAAGAAAGAAGAAAGGAGAGGACAGGGGACAGGACAGGGGAAAGAAAAGATAGGAAAAAAATGACAACACAAAAAAAGAAGTGTACTAGAATTCTCAAATTCATCTAATGACAGTGCTCTTAGGTCATTCTGTTATCTAATTGTATCAGGAAATCAAACATTTGCCTTGTTCTGCTTTGGTCTGAAATGCTTGGAAAATGGGTTTGCGGTTGTCAATTTTCAAAATTTTCCTGGGGGGAGAGCCCCAAAGACCCCCCCCTCGGACCACGCTCGTGACACGCCTTTGGCTAATAACAATGCCTAATGACTTTTACCTTTATCTGGGTTGTGTACTGACTTGATAATAAAGCCCACAGTACATTTTTGAATTCATTTTGTAGAGTTAATTCATGTACTGTCTTGATAATTGAGCCTACAGTACATTTTTTTAATTCATTTGTAATTTTTTTGTAGTTACTTCATTTACTGACTTGATAATTGAGCCTACAGTACATTTTTGAATTCATTTTGTAGAGTTAATTCATGTACTGTCTTGATAATTGAGCCTACAGTACATTTTTTTAATTCATTTGAAATTTTTTGTAGAGCTACTTTGTGTACTGTCTTGATAATTGAAATGAAATGAAATGGAATGGGGTTTAACGTCCTACTGTTCTGCTCCTAAACTGGGCTAATGAAGACGGCCATATGCCATACAGTGTGCTATGAGGGAAATTTTGCCCGGGCAGCGGCACTATCGCCTACTCTTATATCGAATTCCAACTGGTAAGTAATCTTTTACGTGCATTCCAATGTATACACGTGACCTCGGTTTTTCGTCTCATCTGAAGGACTAGACAGCTGTCCTTGTCAGGCCCTCCACCCTGCATCACTGACAAGGGGGAACCACGCCGGAAAATCTGGATGAACTTTCTCGGCCAATGCAGGGATCGAACACCCGACCCTCCAGGCTAGCGAGCCAGCGTCTTAACCACTCAGCCACCTTGGCTCCCCACTACTGGGCTAAATGATTTCTCATATACATTCTACAATTATGTCGGCATGCTGTTTGTGTAGGAATGTTAGATTATTGCTATTAATTATGATTGTCATGCCTGACCAACCTACTGCTACATCCTGCAACCTCGCCCACACCAGTACTGTAGGCCTTATTCTGCATGCTAAAAACACCTCCTGATGACTTTTATCTGGGTTGTGTACTGTACTTGATAATTGAGCCTACAGTACATTTTTAAATTCATTTGTAATTTTTTTGTAGTTACTTCATTTACTGACTTGATAATTGAGCCTACAGTACATTTTTTAATTCATTTTGTAGAGTTACTTTGTGTACTGTACTTGATAATTGAGCCTACAGTACATTTTTTTTAATTCATTTGAAATTTTTTGTAGTTACTTTGTGTACTGTCTTGATAATTGAGCCTACAGTACATATATTGATTCAATTAACTGGAGGAAAATATTTACATGCTGTGATCAATGTTTTTTATTTTTTTTATTTTTTTGAAAATATAAACAGGCCATGTTGGTCAGATTTTATATTCCAGATTTTCTGGTGTGGTTCCCAGTTGTCAGTGGTGCAGAACGGAGGTTCTGGCAAGAGACAACTTCAACGGAAGTCACTCAGACGGACCAAACAAAAAAAGTCCTGTATACACATTGGCATGCACGTAAAAGATCCCTTTGCGGCACTGTCTAGGCAAAATTTCCCCTTAGCACACTGTATGGCATATGCCCATCTTCATTAGCCCAGTCGAAGCAGAACAGTAGGACATTAAACCCCATTTCATTATGATTTGTTGACCGATCAGCAAGCCTGAAAATAAGCAGCTGTGACAGATAATGTCCGACACAAACTCAGATTGTGTCAGGCATTCTTACCTAGCTGTCATTTTGTCTCCAACTGGTTTAATTTTGATGTCTGTGTTTTTATTTAAACCTATCTGGCACAATATTTAGAGGCGCCAGACACTTGATCAAGTAAAATTATAACTATGGCGTGCAAAGAAGGGTAGGGGAGTGATGGCCCTGGGGATATATTTCAATGTCCGCACATCCAATCATAGAGTGAATTTAATTCATTTATTTTATTTCAATCTGATTAAAACACAAATCTATATTTTGTTTCATTTTATTTTTACTTTCGATGGATTCATGCCAGTGGCTTTTGACCCTATGATGTCAGAACCAGTCAGCTTTGAAGTATCAAGTGGGCAGTTTGAAATACAACTTTTGCTTCTTTGCTGCAAATTTCTACCCACAGTTACGTGCAACCCAAGTCAAGACCTCACCAGAACAGATCGTTTCATTGGCTAATCCCTCACATTAACCACAATACAGTTTATACAACAAATCCTCATCCTAGTTAGTAGTATAGCAAAGGCAAGTAGAGAGAGAGAGAGAGAGAGAGTTTAACTCCACTCAACACAAACTAGGTCATTTTGGGATTAACATATGGTTTAATTAATTTTTTTTTCTCAATAATTCGCGAGCGCGTAGGGGTCTTTAGCAGTGGGAGGAAACCGGAGGACTCGGAGAAAACCCACAAAATTGGACAGGCGACCCTATTCCTTGTCAGGTAGAGAGAGAGAGAGAGTTTAACTCCACTCAACACAAACTAGGTCATTTTGGGATTAACATATGGTTTAATTAATTTTTTTTTTCAATAATTCGCGAGCGCGTAGGGGTCTTTAGCAGTGGGAGGAAACCGGAGGACTCGGAGAAAACCCACAAGGTTAAACAGGCGACCCTATTCCTTGTCAGGTAGAGAGAGAGAGAGAGTTTAACTCCACTCAACACAAACTAGGTCATTTTGGGATTAACATATGGTTTAATTAATTTTTTTTTTCAATAATTCGCGTGCGCGTAGGGGTCTTTAGCAGTGGGAGGAAACCGGAGGACTCGGAGAAAACCCACGAGGTTGGACAGGCGACCCTACTCCTTGTCACGTACAACAGGGGATTCGAAACAACGCCAGTTGACCCAATGACAGGCCTTTGAAACAAATTCTGAACTATAAAAGAGAGAGAGAAAAAGATATGGGATTTCAACACAAACTAAGTCAATTCGGGACTAACACATGGTTCAATTTAATATCATTAATTTGATTGAGTGTATGGGTCTTTAGCAGTGGGAGGAAACCGGGGAGATCCACAAGGTTGGACAGGTGACCCTACTCTTTGTCATGTACAATCGGGGAATCGAAACCATGCCAGTTGACTCAATGACAGACCTTATGATGCAACGCGCACATACATGTATTAACCATTCGGTCACCCAACCCCTTAAGTTTTATCAAAATGTGAAAAAAACAATTGTGATCTCTACAGTGTCCACAAGGATAAAAATTTTGACCTGTAGAGTATCCACAAAAAAATTGTGGACAGACGTCCAAACAGACAGGGACGGCTTATAAAAATGACTAGGATCTGTGTTTTAATTGAGTTCATTTCATGTTTTTATATATTTAAAATATCTTTCTTTCTCACATTTCAAAGTTCTAGGCCCTATACTGGTTAGATCTATTTTATAAGGCCAACTTCAAGTTTGGTCAAAGGTCACGAGATGTAAACAGGGCTAGCGCTAATCCCAACCCTCTACCTAAACCTGGACTTAGCCCTAATGCTTACACTAACCCTAACCTACAATCTCGGCAACAATAACCTGCCCTAACCTTATTTACTTCTCAGTGACCTTGAACAAAATTCAACTGGCCTTAATAAATAGATTTAGTCCCCTATACTTTAGTCTTCGGGGCATACAATGAAAAAAGATTAGTACCGGGCATCGACAAACCTTTGCACACTGATGAATTAAAACAGTTATTTCTCGGCCCATTTATCAGGTTATGTGAGTCATAAATTTTCCACAACTTTACGAACACGATCCCAGTCTATTATGGTACCATCACACTCTCGGAAAGCTGTTAATAATATTATTAATGTTGCCTTGCTAGCCTCTCTTTGTCTCCATTTGTTTAGACAGGTAAAAATTTGCATATGAAGACTGTGAACATTACTCATTTGTGCCTGGCTTATTGATGCTTGACTGCAGTGTAAATGAAGGGCAATGGCCTCCCAGTTAGCCCCTATACAACTGGCTAGGGAACTGAGATGTTTCTCTGTTAACGCTCGGTTTTTCTTGTCATCTTCAAGGTTGTCAATCCAACTAACTGAAATACAGAGAATAATTAATAATATGTAACCGTTCTCACAATAATATTTCAAAACCAGATAATGCAAAATGAATATATTGAAATTTTAATTCAAATTACTTTATTTTGAGCGACGTTATCAATGGTTGCAGTTTTGACCAGGTTTTATATGTGTTGATCATAACCACTGTACTAGTCATTCGTGTCTTAGCCTCGCTTCTCCATTTTTAAATTAAATCATTTAAAGGCTGAACTGTTCTAATCTACTTAAAATCAGCGCCATCCGATGCCATCAAGAGTTGGTTATGATCTGGATAAGTTAATTAATGTCTAATGAATAGTTTATATAACATTTCAGGCCTAAAGACAGACCTACAAGTAGTCTGTTTAATTTACTTGTACCTTTTCTTTGTGAGTATGAGAGAGAGAGACAAAGAGAGTGTAGTTTAACTCCACTCAACAAAACTACCTGATCTCAAAACTAACACATAGTTCCATTTTATTTCAATAATTCACTTGCACGTAGGGGTCTTTAGCATGGAAGCAAACCAGAGGACCCTGAGAAAACACACGAGATTGGACAGGCGACCCTACTCCTTGTGACATACAACCGGGGAATCAAAACATGCCAGTTGGTTCAGTGACAGACCTTATGATACAACACGCATGCACTAACCATTTGCTTATGGGTCAGGGTCGTTTGCTGCGGGGAAAAACAATGGAGGATGGACAGGAAAGCCTACTCCTTGTCATATACTGTCAGGTGCTGCAATACGATTCGTATCATGATTCATTATTTACCAAGAAAACAATTAACAAGATAAATGAATGATATTTTTAGTCCTGTCGATGTCGAAGAAATAAAACTGTTATATATCATGATATTGATGTGGATCAAAATAACGATCAAAAACAATTTAAGAATGTTTGTGTGACGTTAGATAATCAAGAGCAACAGGTTACTTACTGAAGCAACAAAATAACACAAAAAAGAATAGTGATACATCAATTCAGCATCTCGCGATTCAAAACACGAATCTTGAGAAGATGAATTGCGATACATTGATTCACCGAAATATACAAGCGGTGAAACAAAATCATGCCACATGACTCTATAACAGACCTTATGATCCAAAGAGCAAGTGTTAGGCCATTCGGCCATCCAATTTCCTCCTGATACTCAATCATTGTTTTTTAAGGCAAGCGATCACCCTCGAGCATCTGTCGCACACCTGAATATTGCCCGAGGGGAGGTTTTTCTTATTCTCCCCCTCCTTAAAATTGAAAATCGCTCTCCTTTACAAAGTCATGGGGGCTTTATTATCGTTTATCAAACCAGGAATGACCCTCCCTAACATGCAGTTATTGATCTTCAGAACAACTTCCCATACACACAACTAATCACTCTCCTTATTTCTAAATCACTCTTCTTATCGAAAATGGTAGAGCTTTTTTAGGTGAGCGATTTTTTCAATTTGTTGATTAAGGGAATTTTTTTTTCGACTCTTCTCTAAAATACAAACAACAACGACTGGATACTCACATGGATCAGCAGGCAGGTTGACTTTCGTTTCCTCTAGTACTTTAATTAATCCATTAAATCCAGTTTTCTTTAAAGCTTCCAAGAACGCTGGATATGCATTTTCACCAGATTGTTTCAAAACGGTTAAAAACTTTTTTGCTGCAGCTGAACGACCTTTATTGTTTTGTTCTGCCTCTATTTCTTCCATGTCTCCATCATCAAATATGAAGTGTGAAAAGAGATAGCCAGTTAAAGCGCTTGGTATTAATTCACTGACTAAAACGGCATGATTTGATTGCAGAATCTGATAATATTTTTCTGGCATTCTAGATCTATCTTTTTTTCCTGCCATTTCTGTAAAGCATAAATAAAATGAAATGTAATGGGTTTTAACGTCCAACCGACTGGGTTAATGAAGACAGACATATGCCAAGCCCAATTAGTGTGCCGTGAGGAAATTTTGCCTGTCATTAGGCCAATAAAACAACTGTGAAGTGGTATCAACTGAGTGAATTGTGTACGTTTGTGTACGTGTAGGCCTACACACAACAGACACAGAGTCTGTTGATCCAGTCTGCAGAGTATGTCCGATTTCGACGAGATCTCGTGCGTACAATGAAAATCCTTACTAAATTCTGGCGTGCAACCTAACACTTCAAGCGTGAAGGAGATAAATCCACGAGTGATAAATTATGCTATTTCTGTCTGGCGTGTAATTTCAAAAAAAGTACTACTGAAATTCAAAATTATAGCAACCACTGCACGTGTACATTAGCCACACATGGCAACTCAATTGGGTCAATTTGACACGCACATTGAGTCACTTCACTGCTTACCGTTATGGTAGTTGTCTCCCTTGCATGTCGGGTATCATCGTTATCGAATGTGGATCGACAACGGATTACCGTACACAGAAAAAAATGACAATTAGTACTGATTAAAGTAAAGTCGCTGCATGCAAGGTAAAAATGTCGTGACAAACTGGCATGCAAATCTAAAGAAAATTCGCATGCACTGATCTCTGAAAAAAATTCTTTGTGCGTGCACCGGACATACTCGGCAGACTGGCTGTTGATAGCTCTAAAGCTAGCCTTGTTAAAGCGTAGCTCACGCTGTTAATGCCAACCACTCCTTCTCACCGTTGATCAATCGTTAGCATTGGTACATTCAAAGTATTGATACAGTCAGACATACAGCCATGCAGAGTTCTTCTACATGCACACTCAAACTCAAGTTTTCCATCCCAACGACTAGATCAATTGTTAAAGATCGAGTATCGGAAACAGTTGAAAATCAATAGGAATTTTTGGCAACAACATTTTGAAAGTTGATCAAAAGGTGTAACACCAAACTGAGTAATCAATCAAGTCTTGTGTCAGAACATAAACAACATACTGGTATGCATAAAATAGAGAGAGAGAGAGAAATGGGGTTTGATGTCCACTCAACACAAACTAGGTCATTTTGGGACTAACATATGGTTTAACTTTTTTATTCTAATAATTCGCTTTCGCATAGGGGTTTTTAGCAGTGGGAGGAAACCGGAGGACCCAGAGAAAACCCACGAGGTTGGACAGGCGACCTACTCTTTGTCATGTACAACCGGGGATTTGAAACCACGCCAGTCGACTCAATGACAGACTTTATGATACATCGCCGCACGCTAACCATTCAGCCATCCAACCCCCCCATGCATAAAATAAATCAGGTGGTATTTAACCATATTATTATACCGGGCATTCGTGTTTGATGTGACTCCCATTTTTGTGTTATAGGTTTTAATCTTAAATACCTGACCCTAATCGGCTAACCCTAATAGAAAGTAGGAAGTTCCATGTGGCCACAGTACGGACGGCTAACCCCTAGTTTTTCGATGTAAAAGTGATGGAAATAGAAAAGGGAGTCGGATCAAACATGATCGCCATATCCCCTAACACCCCGACCCCTTCCTCCTTCTTGGCCATACAGGGACTTCCAACACAACAGGTAATTTAAGACACTTACTGGTATAAGTTAAAATCAAAGAGGGTAAACTGTTATTACTGTTCGCAGCTAACTGATCAACAAACCTAACAAACCACCTAAAAATACATAAATTCGCTCCCGGGCACCTACTTTAGACGCAATTGCCTTTCCTGAAATAATTACTGTAAACACAAAATTCTACCACCGGCGATATTGAGGCGAAACGAAATAGTAAAAAACCCTATAAATTGAAACTTCCTATCCCCGTGCATTATGTTAATCATGGCAACTTGCCAAACTCATATATAATTACAGGCGAGCAGCTGGATGTTATATGGCTTCCTTATTCAGTTCCAATCTGTTTCACAGAGGATTGCGAAAGTCTTCTAATATCTCTGTAAAAGATGACTACCTTTAACACGTGACGTCTCATCACGCGGCGTCAATCATTGGCTCAATGGCGCGTGCATTGTTCACATAAGACGTTCTAGTTCGGGCAGAATGGAGACTTTAGTCATTTTAATACCCATTTGCACTAAATAGGAAATAATTTTTACCTACAAATACGTCAAACGCCTTTATTTATTTTTCTAATACATAAAAAAAGTTTTAGAATTTAATTTGTCGCAGCAAAAAAGTTAATATTTCTGACTCATTAAGTCGCATCGATGTCATCCTTATCAGTGATTGTAGTGGCCTAGCGAAAATTCACTGCTGATCAGTGTGATTCAGTTCATGTAATTTATAAATTTTAAGACGACAATGGGCTGATAGTTACGGTGGCTGATTTAATAGGACACGCAAAAAAAAAAAAAATATCTCGAGCGCTCGGGATACTAAGTCGGGCTCTTGAGATTTTTACTCCCATTTTACGTCCCATTCCATTTCGACTATTACCCTTAAAATCCTCCCCCCCCCCCCAATAACTAATCGGCAATGAACTGTTCCACATATTAAGAGATGTAATTAAGGTAATGATTATTGTTAAAATAGCTTATTCATTATATATTATGCTTAATTGTTTTCTTCAACATCAAAGAAAAAATTACATTGAGTTTAATACTTGATTATCTGTAAGATGAATTGTTTCAAATTTTGTATTTATTCTTCAAGTTCAATGGCATTCAATCAAGAGCCGGATAAATGTTAGAGGGAGTGGGGCAGATCTGGCATGCACGAAAACATACCGTTTCCGCACACGGCCTCGCCGGTTGTCAGCGAGTGCCGAAAGTGTTGGGTGGTTCAGGGATGTTGGGCCTCGCCCAGAAAATTTGGAAAATGAGACAATGACGCGAGCGCAATTTCCTGCTATTATACGCCGTGAGTATAGCGACTTAAAAAGTAGTCTTATATACCCTAAATTGTACGACGCAGCTGCTGTATACAATTTTGACGCTGCCGTGGTGGTTAAATTTGGAAACAGTATAGGTGGTAATATTTGATATCAATTTAATCACAGTCGAGTCTGACCTTCTATCCGTATATATATGCATACACCATGTCAAACCAGACAATATATAATAAACCATGGACCTTATAATAGGTTCATGAAGTCTGGTTGGACATGGTGTATGCATATATATACGGATAGAAGGTCAGACTCCTGTGATTTAATGGAGCTAAATCGCTAATACTTGGTACCTAGAAATTGACACAAATGGGTCACGACGTATATAATAATGTCATATGAATGTATATAAACTGATTTACATTAAATCGTTTCTGTTTTTACTGTAATATCTAATCAGTTATGTTCGGCGAAATACGTCAGAAGTATCAATGGAATGGCAATCTTTAGCGTCTGGTTATTCCAGTCTACACCAATGATACTTATTGATCATGCTCTCCAGATAAGAATATAGCGACACCATTTGACATGACTTGTGGAATATGTCTAGCCTCGTTCTTTGAGTCCCTTGTTCCAAATGGCAATGAAACACATTATGAAATGTTTATTTTGTCTTGCATATTAGATATCAGACGCCCACCTTTTCCATGTAAGATAACAAGACCAATGTTGATTTGAATTGACAAATAATTCCTGTTTTCAAAGTCGAAGATTTTTGATGGTATTGAGTTAGAGACTTAGCTGCTTTAAATCACCGGAAAAGGACAAATTAGATCGGTTTTTAACGATTTATATGGAATTACATAAGGCTGTATGTATGGTGCTGCCCTGGTTAATTTTGGATCGAGGTTGTAATTTTTCAAATCACTAGAGAAAGAGGAATGCATCAAAACTGCAATTAAATCTTCGAAATCAAATTTAAATTTACCCCAAATACGTTTATTTACTGCTCATCGTATTTCGTTTTATTCCCTGTTCCAAAATGTTTATGTTCTGAACCTTCCTGTATCTATTTATAACTTTCGGGGAATTCCAACTCAGGAGTAATCATTTCTACGGTATACATTTGATGGTAATATATGCTAAAATAATACAATATTTTATTTATAAAGATGTCTTTCGACCATAAATTGAAGCTATGGATGTAATAAGTATAAAATTATTAAGCATAGAAATACAGAACAATAACCTCCCCCTTGATGGTTAATAAGACTTCATACAAAAGAGTACAGCAAGTTCAAGAACTCCAAACATGTGCCCTGTGGACTAAGATTTGTGAACTTTGATCTTCGTTGTTTTTGAGAAATCTTACATTAGTTTTTGGCTGTTTATGGTTGGTAACGATGTTTTTAAGGTCCAGAATTATCGGGCAGTGGCATATCTGTTCTAAATATACTCAACTACCTCAAACATCTCATTTGAGATGTTTTTCGTCGGAAGCCACTTCAGTAAAGACTGAGGAAAGAGGGACAAAAAAACCAGATAAACTGCAAGTGAAAGGATCCAAAGAATCAGATTTAGCTAAGAGGTATCCATCAGGCATCACAAATGAACCCTTTATAAAAAATTTATTTTTAGGAAGATTTGACAAGGTAAGTATAAGACCGATCTACTGTACCTGTTTAATGCGGAATTACATTAGGGTCATTGAAGGTCGGGGGTTCGATCCCTGCAATAGCCGAGATAGTTCATCCAGATTTTCCGGCGTGGTTCCCCCTTGTCAGTGATGCAGGACGGAGGGAAAGCTGTCTAGTCGTTCGGATGGAACGAAAACCTGAGGTCCCGTGTACACATTTGCTAGAAATGGTTCCACTACTGATGTCTTCCGCCTTACTCCAGCCACAGTAGTGGCTCGTCCTACAGAGTTACTTTGCGCAAGGTTACTGGCCTATAGCTCCCTTAATTTACACATAAACTGACCCCAAACAGTACTGCACATAGCTTAACATATAATAAATCAATTCCCATTGAAATAAAGGTGAAGCCTTACTGCATAATTATATGATTTGATGAAACCCAACTGCTACGCGAAATTTCAACTGGCCGGTGTCATGGCAGCTTGCGTAATACGTCATTACAAGAAACATCGCTATGCAAATGTAGAACGCATAACCACAAAGAAAAACTGTTCGGTAACTATTTTAGTGGTCCAGTCTTCACTATTTGTCATATAATTACTTATTCCAATACAAACTGTAATGATATGTGTTGACAATTGTGCATTTGAACCTATTTGAACTTGCGTGAGGAGTCGTAGACTGTATCAATTGTAACCTTAAACACACAGTTTAACGTTACAAGTATAGAAACTACACATTGGCATGCACGTAAAAGATCCCTTGACAGATGGAATTCGATATAAGAGTAATGGAATGAATGTCAATGAAAACCGTTATGCCATGGTTAATCCAGAATACTATAGTGATTATGATATTATAGTCCCTGCAGTGGAATCTGTTGCTTCTGGAATTCAAAAAATCCTCTGTAATTCTTCCCAGGAGTTGTGGTCTCCAAATAGGAGTAAAAGCGAACCTGAATGATCTCAAAAAGCATGAACCACAAACGATACCAGTTCTTCAGGCAAGTTTCCTGTGATATCATCCTCGGTGGAAGCGACCTTTAAATGGCCTTTGATTTTACTTGAGCTGCGCTTTAAAGGCTCAATACCACTCTTGTTGTAACTGAATAATATGTCCCAATCTTTATTCTGGCCAACAAATTGTACTATTTTACAATATTCCAATTAATTGATGATACAAATTTCATATTAACACACCTAATTTAAAAAATTGGAAAAATTCAACTAAATGATTTGAAAAGCCTGACGTAAAGCTTTTCAAATGTGACTTGGATTTAAAAATATTTTTGAACTCTCTGGACAAGTACAATAGGATTTAATGGATAATTTACACAACAGGTAGGACACTAACACATCTATAAGAATAAGGCTATTTTTTATTTTCTGGAGCTGTCAAGCCAGCAAGAGTGTTATCGTCCCTTTAATCCTTACATGAGTTCAAGTGTCATACATGTATATGTAGGTGAACTTTGATCAGGTTTCTGTCTCATATAGATAAGGTCAGGGGTCATACAGGTGAACTTTGACCAGGTTTGTCTCTCGGGTAAGGTCAAGGGTCATATACATGTACATGTAGGTGAACTTTGATCAGGTTTCTGTCTCATATAGATAAGGTCAGGGGTCATAGGGGTGAACTTTGATCAGGTTTGTGTCTCGGGTAAGGTCAGGGGTCATACAGGTGAACTTTGATCAGGTTTGTGTCTCAGGTAAGGTCATGGGGTCATAGGGGTGAACTTTGATTAGAATGCAAATCAAATAGACAATTCGCTTGATGTAGGCTACATTCAGATATTGGTTAGTGACAGTAAGATACATGTATAATCAAGCCTTGACATGAAGCACCCATCACAGACTTTGTCAAGTACAAATTATGCACAACAGTTATTATAAAATAATGTTATGTTATAATTTGTATCGAACAATGTCTATGACAGGTATCTTATGTCTATTTACTAGTTTGTATATGTGTGATTATAGATATTTACATCTTAGTAATAATTTACTTGAAATATTTCAGGAATTTCTTGCGTATCCAGAAATAGAAGATGTAGATGAATTGAATGAACTGAATCGAATGGTTCAGCAAGTTGAGAAATTTTTTACTGAAGAAGGTGAGGAGTCTATTATATTCTTTATATTATTAAGGGTGACCGATCGGTCTAACCGTTGCACTCTAGATCCTAAGTTTGAGGGGGGGGGGGTCACAGTGGCTAGGTGGGTAAGACGCTGGTCGGGTGTTCGATCCCGGCATTGGCCGAGAAAGTTCATCCAGATTATCCGGCATGGTTCCCCCTTGTCAATGATGCAGGATGGAGTGTCTGACAAGGACAGCTGTCTAGTCGTTCGGATGGGACGAAAAACCGAGGTCCCGTGTACACATTGCATGTAAAAGATCCCTTGACAGTTGGAAGAGTAGGTCGTGGTGCTGCTGTCCGGGCAAAAATTCCCTCATAGCACACTGTATGGCGTATGCCCGTCTTCATTAGCCCAGTTCGGAGCAGAAAAGTAGGACATTAAACCCCATTTCATTTCATTTCACCATATTTCTCTTTCCATCTCATTAATTATTTTTTTATTTTTATAGTTGATTCGAAAAGCATTGATGTAAATGCTAAGATACCAAATGAAGTGCTACAGAAGATTAAAGATATGGGGCTTTTTGGACAACAAATCCCTGAAGAATATGGTAAGTTACGTGGGTGCTGTCTGTAAATTGATAAATCTAGAAACTGTTGTCCTAACCAGGTTGGGGGGTTGGATGGCCGAATGGTTAGCACGTGCGCACTGTATCATAAGGCCTGTCATTGAGTCAACTGACATGGTTTTGAATCCCTGGTTGTACGTGACAAGGAGTAGGGTCGCCTGTCCAACCTAGTGGGTTTTCTCCGGGTACTCCGGTTTCCTCCCACTGTTAAAGACCCCTACCCGCAAGCGTATTATTGAAATTAAAAATTAAACCATATGTTAATCCCGAAATGACCTAGTTTGTGTCGAGTAGACGTTGAACCCCATTTCTCTCTCTCTCTAACCAGGTCTCGGGTTTGCTCTAAGTGTTGACAGAGAAAGTTCCTGTGGATTTCCCAATGTGGTTTCTACTTGTCAGTTGTGCAGGATTGAGGGCCTGGCATGGACTTTGTCTAGTTGTTTGGCAGGAATGATAATTCATTTCAGTGTACAAGAACCCTTTGACAGTTGGAATTCATTTTAAGAGTAGGCTGTACTAGCACCGCCACCTGAAAGAGATTTCCCTCATAGTACATCTGTCTTCATTAACACTTTGGCTCCAATCAGTCAGAGTGATCGATTTAATGTTAATCTTTATCTTTTTTATTTCTCAGGTGGATTAGGATTAAATGCCACTAAGTATGCTAGAATAGCTGAAGCTACAGCATTAGATGGAAGTATATCAGTAACCCTTGCAGGTCATCAATCTATTGGTCTCAAAGTAAGTTAATAGAACGGCCAAATTCCTTACTTTGGATAGAGAACAAGAAATGGAGTTTAACATCCTCTCAATATAAACTAGGTTATTTCGGGACTAACAAATGGTAAATTTTATGTCTATGATTCGCTAGCGCGTAAGAGAGGAAACAAGAGAACCCAAGGAATATCCACAAAGTTGGCAAGCGCCCGTACTTCTTCCGAAGAGCAACCTTGTAATGAAAACCTCACCTCTTTGACTCATTGACAGACCTTATGGTCCAAAGTCCTTATGTTAGACTGGCCAAGATATAGGAATCAAAATTTTAACATATTCCTGAAAAAAGATAAACTCAAATCGATCAGGAGTCACGGTGCCTTGGTGAGTAGGACGTTGACTCGATATCCTGGAGGACCTGTGTTCGATTGCTGCGCTGGCAGAGAAAGTATTTTCTGACATGGTTCCTACTTGTCACTGGTGTACGACGAAAGGTCTTGCAATTGACAGCGTATAGTCTTTTGGATGGGACAATAAAAACGAGGCCTCTTGTAAACATTGGCATGCACGTAAAAGAACCCTTGCAGTAGGCCATAGCGCAGCTGCTCGTGCAAAATTTCCGTCATAGCACACTGTATTGCGTATGCTCATCTTCATTAGTGGGTTTGGATGGCCGAATGGTTAGCATGCGCATGCTGTATGATAAGTTCTGTTATCAAGTCAACTGGTGTGGTTTCGATTCCCCGGTTGTATGTGACAAGGACTAGGGTCGCCTGTCCAACCTCGTGGGTTTTCTCCAGGTCCTCTGGTATCCTCCCACTGCTAAAGACCCCTACGCGCAAGCGAATTATTGAAAAAAAATTGAACCATATTTTAGTCCCGAAATGACCTAATTTGTGTCGAGTGGACCGGACACTCCTTTTCGCTCTCTCTGTCTTCATTAGCCCATTAATGGAAGAACAGTAGGACGTTAAACCCCATATGACTTGGTTTAAAATGAATTTAATTCTCATGTGAATATTTACAGGGTTTATTAATAGCTGGTACGGAAGAGCAGAAAGAGAAATATTTACCTAAATTAGCGACTGGTGAATTAGTGGCTGCCTTCTGTCTCACAGAACCATCAAGGTTTGGACTTTTATCAAATGTGGTGTTTATTAAAAGGCATTTAGTCCAGTAATGATTATTTGGCAAAATAAAAACCTCCCTCTTGCATCAGGGAGCAGTGGGTGGCCGAATGGTTAGGGTGTGCTCGTTGTATCAATATGTCTGGCATTGATTCAACTGGTGTAGTAAGTGACAAGGCCTAGGGTCGTCTGTCCAACCTCGTGGGTTTTCTCCTGGTCCTCCGGTTTCATCCCACTGCTAAAGACCCTTACACGCAAGCGTATTATTGAAATAAAATTGAACCATGTTAGTGCCGAAAAAACCTAGTTTGTGTGGAGTGGACGTTAAACACCCATTTCTCTCTCTCTCTCTCTCTCTCTCTCTCCCTCCCTCCCTCACTCTCTCTCAGATATTTTGTTAGGATTGTCTGAGAACCAGAATAGTTTTTTCGTATAGCCTTAATGTATTTGCTATATCACTGGTAAGCTGATACTAATGAAGCTAGGGCTTTTAGTAATGACAATTTTTGTCATTAAATCATATAAGTGCTCAGTATTCTAGACTAATGTATAATATGTGTAGAAAGTGGTTAGAAATTATACAGTTGTCATTAATTAGCAAGTGTGTAACTAGCTGTAATAAATGTGACTATAATTTATAACACCCATCACTATTGAATACACAAACCTAGACAATAATGGTGTATATCATTTAATAGTCACACTTTTAACACCTTAGTGACAAAACACCTACTTAATGACTACTGCCTGATTAATAACAATTTTAACAAACTAATACACATTATGTATATAAACTGATGACTTTGATCTATTAGTGTTGTATATTTTCATTTATAACAGTTATTATTTGTTGCTTAGTCAACAATATCAACGTTACAGTGCGATAGCCTACTGATTTTAAGCCAAATATAATTTTCAGTGGCAGTGATGCAGCATCGATTCAAACTAGAGCAACTTTATCTGAAGATGGCCAGACGTATTATCTTAATGGTGGCAAACTCTGGATATCTAACGGAGGAATCGCAGATGTTTTTACTGTCCTTGCCAAAACTGAAATCACCAACCAAGTTGTAAGTGAAATCACATTTTTTTAAAACCAAAATTGGTTTGCACGTAAAAATACTTTGAGTAGGAATGAGAGACAGGGACCTTATGATTGAACGCGCACACGCTTAAACCTTCGGCCATCAAACCTCCCACACAGGGCTGCCGACAACCAGTATCGCAGCGCAATTTGCGATACATATTTTGTCCGTTGCTAACCAAAAATTAAAATCTAACGTTTTTGATTCGCAGTTACTGCGAATCATCAATATGCCTGTCATTTTGGATATTGACACAAGAATAATCCACATTTTGAAGACTAGAAGGCTTACTCAACACTTTCAACGTGTATAAAATGTTGAATAAAATTTTATAAACAAAACTGAATTCTCCGTGTGACATTTTCTTCTCGAACTACCAGACACAATACTATATAACACATAACTCTATGAATAGGGACTATTAAACCGGAAATAGGGAATCAAGTAGTACCACTCACGTTGCGAGACATCAAGTAATTATATCATATTCATTTTGAAAGAAATAAATCCAATGTATCCCCCACGTATTGTAAATAAAATATAAAAAAATAAATACATGTTAACGTATTGTAAAATGATAAATCAAAGTAAAAATTCCCGTAAAACATTATTGTTTATATCGTGTGTGTCAAGTTAATCGAGGTGTGTCCGATTGAAGAAAAATAGTAATACACGATAAAAAGCAGACGAAATTGTTTTCTAACGAAGATTTCTAACGTAACAAAAAAATAACAATTAAAATGAGTGGGGCTTCGGAAGTCACTGTCAAGAATTGGCTTCAGACATAAGACCTAACTAAATTTCTACATCACATTCACAAACTGTCACAAGTACTTGTGGCAGTGCTAAAAAATCTAAGAATAGTCAGAATGGAATCTAATCATATTTGTTATGAATTAAAGTAATATCTTGTTATTTAGGTGTTTTACATTGAAACTGAAAAACTGCTAATCAATTTTAAAATTTGCTAATCAAATTTGGCGAAATTGGACTTTTTGATTAGCAGTGCTGCTAATCAACTGTGAAAAATTACCGACAGCCCTGCTCCCACATGCATGTGAAATCATAAGGTCTGTCATTGAGTAAAGTGCCGTCGTTTCGATTCCCCACTTGAACATGAAAAGGATTAGGGTCACCTGTTCAGCTTTGTGGTTTTTCTCTGGGCCCTCGTGGTTTTCCTTCCACTGCTAAAGACCTATGCACAAGCGAATTATTGAAATAAAATTGAACCATATGTTAGTTCCGGATAGGCCTAGTTTGTGTCAAGTAGACTGTAAACCCCATTTTATTCTCTCTCTTCTAGGGTGTGAGCAATGATGTGATGTGTAGGACAATGTATAGTCATTCGGACGGGAGAGGAAAGAACAAGGTCTCATGTATACATTGGAGTGCATGTAAAAAAAAAACTCTTGCCAGATGGAATTCGATATAAGACTAGGCAGTAGTGCCACTGCTGAGGCAAAATTTCCCTCATAGCACACTGTATGGCGTATGTCCATCTTAATAGCCCTGTTAAAACCCTTATTGTTTATTTTTAAGGGTGAGAAAGAAGACAAGATAACAGCGTTTTTTGTTGAAAGAGCGTTCGGGGGTGTAACTAGTGGAAAACCAGAAGACAAACTTGGTATACGGGGATCAAATAGTAAGTACAGTATTTCTATAAGCCCAATGTGATTAAAATAAAGATCTATATTTCGTTTCGTGTTTTTATTCTTTCAATGGCCTACACTACATGAAGATCTAACCGGTTGTAGTCGGAGGTTGCGTCAGGGGTCATACTAGTGGCTTTTGATCCTATGACATCAGACATTGGTTAATCAATCAGCACTGACGTTTCTAGTGGTTTACCCACAGTTCCGTGCATGGCACACCAAGAAGTCGCCGTTTCATTCTTATTCCTCACATCAACCAGAACGCCGGTAATATAACAACTCTTCCAGATCCTAGTGTAGTAAAGACAAGTAAAACGAAATTTTGAACTATAAAAACGAAATGAAATGAAATAGAATCTGTGTTTTAATCTGATTGCTATAAATCTGTCTTTTTTTTTAATTCTAAAGTCCCCGATACTAAACGACAATATTGGGGACAATACACTACAACTAAGGTATCATGTAATTCTGTACTTAATGTTTATTTTCAAAACATTGTTGGGCAGCTGTTCAAATTCATTGGGTTTCTACTGTCACATAGTTTAAAATGGTCTGTCTAGATTAGAAAATGAGTTTTTGGTTTATAATTGTTTACTTTCTCAAAAGGCGTTGAGAGTAATTAATTACTGAACACCGCTCGGAAAAGTAAACAGTTATAAACACAACATGGATTATCTAATCTAGACAGACCAATTTAAACTACGTTAAAACAGGACAAGTTATACAGTAGAATCTGTATGAGAAGCCACTCCTATTCAGCGACATCTCCTTGTATGCGGTCACAATAAATTCCCCCCGTAAAAATTCTATTGTTTCATCTCTTTATTCAACGGTCACTCCTCTAACGCGGCCAGTGGTCACTATTTTACTAATAAATTCAACAAAACATCGCCCATTCTACTGCCATTGTGGGGGTTGGATGGCTGAATGGTTAGCGTGCGCGCTGTATCATAAAGTCTGTCATTGAGTCGACTGGCGTGGTTTCGAATCCCCGGTTGTACGTGGCAAGGAGTAGGGTCGCCTGTCCAACCTCGTGGGTTTTCTCCGGGGCCTCCGGTTTCCTCCCACTGCTAAAGACCCCTACGCGCAAGCGAATTATGTAAATAAAATTAAACCATATGTTAGTCCCGAAATGACCTAGTTTGTGTCGAGTGGACGTTAAACCCCATTTCTCTCTCTCTCTCTACTGCCATTGTTGAATGATACCATCTTGTCATACCCGCTAATCTCGTGAGTAGTAGTTAATTAACTGGACCCCCCTCTGATCAGGTAAAAAGAAATGTAAAAATAACAATCAACCCGGGATTATCTGTCAATTAATCTTTTGTTTTATTAAACGACTAACCAGATCATTGTTTTCATGCATAACGACACATTATTTGATACTGATTGAATAAAATAAAAATACTGAGTTTTGTCACGATCATCTAGTATCTCTTTTCCATTGCCACTTTGATGTTAAACAGAAGTTTTAGCGCCTCCTATAATATTACATACAGAGTTACTCCCCTGTAAATAGGTGATAAAATCAGCCATGGTTTTTTGTTCATGTGCTTTTTTTGATAAAATAAAATTCATTCATCGATTTTCTTCACAAAAATAGATAAATATTATCAAATGCATCACAATGGTAGACAGCAGTATCGAAGGTTGGTAAAAAATGACAAGTTTACAGAAGTTATGTCCGAGACTTGAGTAAAGAATTTTCGTTCGGCGCAAGATTCAGCGACGGTCAAATTTACCGATGCAAGTATTGATGTTCGCTTCCAATGCACCCAAGCGTAATTAATTTATGTCAGTTATTATTATTAACAATGTGTGAAGTATATTCTGAAAATATTTTTATTATTGACACCATGTGAAGTACATTTTGATAATATTGTTATTATTATTGACAGCGTGTGAAGTACATTTTGATAATACACCGGTACCAATTGATAATGTTATTGGTGAAGTAGGAGGGGGCTTTAAGGTAGGAATTTATTTGCACCTATTTATTTAATTCGGGAGGTATATTGTGATGGTTCTAAAGACCATAGGCGTACGAGCTGGGGGGGCTGGGCCCCCCCATTTTGGGCACCAAATACTGGGAAAATTTGGGCACAAAATTGTACTTTGTAAAAGTTGTATAAAAAAAATATTGTGTTCTTGAATGTGTCCAATTTAACAGCGAATTTATTATTATTATGTAACATACTAAGAACCTAACTACATTTTTTGGGCACCAACCACCACCGCCCCCCCCAGTGAAAAATTTCCCCGTACGCCTATGCTAAAGACAATCGTTCTCCAATACTGCAAACCTTTCTTACAGACTAGGGGGTTACTTCTGCTAGACCTTGAGAGTATGTATCCTTCTGACAGTTAAAGATACTGTTGTAAACAATAGCAAAATAGGTTCAAAAATGCAAAATATTTCAGGTGCAAAGCCTGCGACATACCCCACCCCCCTTGTTTTGGCTGAGCTGGTCCCAACATGCCTCTGCCTATAACTGAAACAATTTCCCCTGTGATTCTACTACTTAAGAGGTTTGACAGAACACTGTCAAAGGTAGAACGCTTTCATCGGATTTGGAGAACTTTGTCGATTGATTGGAACTCTGTCTCTTAATTGATGGAACTCTGTCTCTTAATTGACGGAACTCTGTCTCTTGATTAGTAGAACTGTCTCTTGATTGGCAGAACTCTCTCTCTGTCTCTCTCTCGAACTCTCTCTCGAACTCACTTGATTGGCAGAACTCTTGCAATTTCAAATTTCCCAAACTTACAACCAAATCCCCTCTAATTAATATTTAACGAAATATATCATGTTTGCCTTGAATATATAAAATATAAGTGACATACACAGTGGTCGAGAAATATGAAATAACTGTAGAATTGTCTTATGTTTCAGGTAGCTATGAATATATTAAATAGTGGTAGATTTAGTATGGGAAGCTCATCGGCAGGTGCACTGAAACGATTGTTAGGTTTGTTAAATTAAATACATATTAGATTTCTAATACCTTATAGACTGATAGTTGTCATGGAAACTTAAAGCTAGAAGCCCAGCACAAATTTGAAAATTTAAGAAAGGAACCCTCTTGGGTTTCCCTTCCACATTTTACCAGCCTGTTATTTTTTGGCATATTTGGTTTACTGTAGAATATCATCAAGATATCTGTTTAGTACTGTCCAAATTTTCGTTTTTATTTTTTAAGTGTTTTTATACATAAAAAGTATTATTCTTTGAAATGTAAATTGTTTAGCTTGGGCAAGCAGTACATTGCACTATCAGTCAGTCAAAACTAGAAACATAATATTATTGAATTGAGAGCACTGCCTACCAAGTCAGCGAAATATCAACAATTTTTTTATTTTTTGAAATTTAGTCTATTTTTAGAGAAATTAGGAATTTAAGACTTAAGTCAGTGAATTTAGATATTATGTGAATATTATTTATCTGTGTGAACAGGTATGACAGTAGAACATGCTACAACAAGAACACAGTTTGGAAAAAAAATATCAGAATTTGGGTTGATTCAGGTAATCAAATCAATTTACGAATAATATCTAATGTGTATGATATGAAATGGGGTTTAACGTCCTTTTTCCAGAATTAAGCTGTCAGTGGTTCTTTTACATGCACCACCCCTGTCCTGCATCACTGATGTAGGGAAACCTAGCTGGAAAATAAAGATAAACTTTCTTAGCAAAAACAGGGATTGAGCATTGTCTTACTCACTGAGCCACTGTGGCTTTTACCATGTTACGTACGTCTATTTCCTGGCCTCCAGACCAGATATTGGGATCTACTTTAAAAGCCGAGGGGGTTGGATGGTCGAGTGATTAGCACATGAGGTCTGTTATTCAGTCAACTGGCGTGGTTTCGATTCCCCGTTTGTGCATGATAAGAAGTAGAGTGGCCTGTTCATGGGTTTTCTCTGGTTTCCTCCCACTGCTAAGCAAATTATTGAAGTAAAATTGAACTATATGTTAGTCTTGAAAATACCTGGTTTATGTCGAGTAGACGTTATACCCCATTTCTCTTTCTTTCTTCGTAAGGCATAGACGTGGTTTGTGTCGAGTAGACATTAAACCCCATTTCTCTTTCTTTCTTTGAAAGGCATATGTTAATTGAACTTATTAACACAAGGTACAATTCTATGGATACACAACTATTAAAGATACATTATGGGAGATTTTTATAGAGAGTTGGCCATTCTTGCTATAACAGTTCAAAAGTAGATGATGAAAGAAGAATATATTGAAAAATTCTGTTAAATTACTTTATTCTGAACATAGTTATCATCGTTGTAATATTTGCCTAGAAATGGTAGCGAATTGTGTCTTCACCTTCGCTGATCGTTTGATTGACAGGCGTTAACTCCACCTACATATCTCGTTTATCAAGTAAAGTTTTCAATGGCATACCGAAACGCTTTACAGCGGGCCTCGCTAAGTACACTCTATCATTTAGCCTCGATCTAACTGACGTATTTTCATCAGGTTACCCCTTATTTGATTTAATCAATTAGTGAAATCCTATTTAAATCTGAGCTGTAGCCGAGCCATCCGTGGGTCTACAGAGTTGATTTTGGTCTTGTTGTTTAAATAAAGATCTAATTTATAATTTCTTTAACATCTAAAGCCTAAATTAAGACTTGCAATAATCAGATTTAGCTCTTGCATAATGCATGTTTAAGTTTAATACTAATTGTGTCAGATATTGAACAGTATTTTTATTAAATATTTTTAGGAAAAAATTGCAAAGATGGCTCTCAAAATTTATGCCATGGAAAGTATGGCTTACCTTACTGCTGGTGTAATAGACTCTTATGAAAAACCAGATTTATCAATTGAAGCAGCCATGGTTAAAGTGAGTACAGTGTTAAAATCTTAATCAGATATTCAAATAACATTCCAACATTCTTTAGAATATTCGAATAACATTCCAACATGATTTAGAATATTCGAATAACATTCCAACATGATTTAGAATATTAGAATAACATTCCAACATGATTTAGAATATTCGAATAACATTCCAACATGGTTTAGAATATTCAGACAGCTTTTCAACATGATTTAGAAATAACATTTGTATTAATATTTAGAATTTTTGCTCTTGAAATTAATGGTGGCATTATATTTCATTAATTAGTATGTTTGGCAAGTTATTAGATTCACATATATGTATTGTACTTAAATCAACATATTATTATATATAAAAAAGAGTCATAATGTGCTAAACATTCAATTCTAGGTTGATAACATATATCTTGTGGGAAGTTTCTTCGGTATATTTCCATTTTCCATATAAGGGTGGGTTTCAACGTCATTAGCCTAAATTGACCAATCTCTTTGATTATTTACATCATATTTGACCAATTGGATAATACTGAACGTCAAAACCCAAGCTACAAAACTATCATATTTGTGAGCAATCACCAGACAGCAGACAGGTTCTGGAAGGGAAAAGATGTAGCAGTTTCTATCAGCAGACTCGCCCATCGAGTCTTGCTGGCTAGTGTTTGAGAATGACTTTATTATTGTAATCTATACTATGCTTGTATCCATGTATCCGGCTATGGTATATAAAATGTAAAAACGAACTGTTGCATTGTTATAACTACTGGGAAAAAAAACGTCTTAAGAAAACAGTAAGAAGTAAATACACAACGTGAAGGGGAAGAAAGACGACAGGTGAAAATACTAGACGATCACAAGGCTACTAAAATATGTAGTAAGAAAAGATGCATGGGTCGTACGCTGGAGGTGGCGACCGGATTAGTGTCACCCGCTCTCCACGTCTGACAAAAGACCTATGGTGCTACACATTCCAACATGATTTAGAGAGAGAGAAAGAAATGGGGTTTAACGTCCACTCGCCACAAACTAGGTCATTTTGGGACTAACATGGTTTAATTTTATTTACATAATTAGCTTGCGCGTAGGGGTCTTTAGCAGTGGGAGGAAACCGGAGGACCCGGAGAAAACCCATGAGGTTGGACAGGCGACCCTACTCCTTGCCACGTACAAACGGGGATTCGAAACCACGCCAGTCGACTCAATGACAGACTGTATGATACAGCGCGCGCACGCTAACCATTCAGCCATCCAACCCCCGAACATGATTTAGAATATTCAGATAGCTTTTCAAGTAGTCCTACACAATGTATCTTTAATGTCTGATGTAGTAATGACACGATATACATGTGTCATTGAATCGATGTATCAAGATACATCTTATCACGGCTCACATATTGGATCATGAGACGCTGAATTGATGTATAGCTATTCTTTTTTATGTTTTTATGTGTACCATAATGCATTTCAATGCCATTTGTAACAAGGGACTCGAAGAACAAGGCTAGACATATTCCACAACTAATGTCAAACGATGACGTCATATTCTTATCTGGATAGCATGCGCAATAAATACCATCGCTGTAGACTGGAATAACCAGATGCTAGAGATTGTCATTCGATTGAGACTTCTGGAATATTTAGCGAACATAACTCATTTAAAATTAGAGTAAAAACGGAAACGATTGAATGTAAATCAGTTTATATATATCCATATTACATTATTATATGCGTTGCGACCCATTCGTTTCAATTTCTAGATCCCAAATATTAGTGATTTAGCCCCTTTAAATTGTTTCGGTCCTTATTTTGATCCATATCAATATCATGAAATAAAACAGTTTAATTTCTTCAACATCAACAAGACTAAAAATATAAATTATTCATTTATCTTGCAATCTGATTATAATACATCTATATTTCGTTTGGTTTTTTATACTTTCGATGGCCTACACTACATGAAGATCTGACAAGTTATAGCGATAGGTCACGTCAGGGGTCAAAAGACCGACTTATGACCCTATGACGTCAGACATTTGATTAACCAATCAGCATTGATGTTACTAGTGGATTACCCACAGTTCCGTGAAAAACACGCCTAAAGCGCGTCGTAACAGACCGTTTATCCCTGACACCATTCAGAACACAAGTTAAATAACAACTCTTCCAGATCCAAGTGTAGTAAAGACAAGTAAAACAAAATTTTAAACTATAAAAACGGAACGAAATAGGATCTGTGTTTTAACCAGATTGTCTATCGTGTTGTTTTCCTGGTATATGAATCGTATCGTAATACCTGAATTGCAATATGTATTGTATTGTGACTGCAGTGACAATATCCAGCACTAGCCTGATGACATTATTTTCAAGATCTTCAGACGTGATGATTTGTAGATTTGTAACACATTGTTTGAATTTGTTTGTTTTTAGATTTATAGCTCTGAAGGGACATGGATGTGTGTTAGTGAATGTCTACAAATACTGGGTGGTCAAGGCTATATGAAAGATTATCCATATGAAAGATATTTACGCGATGCACGAATTCTCTCGATATTTGAGGTATTTATTACGATTATATTTTTATATGAGGAGCCACGGTGGCTCAGTGAGTAAGACTTTGGAGATGCACGATTGAACGTTCCGTAGTTTTAAATTCTCTCAATTCTAAAAAAAAGTGTTAATTGAGTGAAAAGGAGAATTTCGGAGTAAAACGCATGTGCCGACTGCATAAAAATATCTCAACCAATCATGACAGCTGAAACATATTTGTTGCTAAAAATACGTCACGATTTACTCACACATCCTTATCTGTCGTGACTGGCAGAACTGCGACAGGGCTGAATTCCGTATCACTTGATTGCAATTCTGTCAAATTCCGAATGTTCGGAACTGACGTTCAAGCACCCCCTTTGGCACAATAACCTAGAGGTAATATGTTCGATCCCTGCATTGGCCGAGAAATTCATTTTTATTTTCAAGTGTGGTTCCCTCTTGTCAGTGGCGCAGGACAGAGGACCTGGCGAGGAACAACGTATAGTCATTCTTATGGGCCGAAAAACCAAGGTCCTGTGTGCATGTAAAAGATCTCTAGACAGTTGGAATTCGATGTAAGAGTAGGGTGTAGCGCCGCTGTCCAGGTAAAATTTTCCTCATTGCACATGGCATGGCGTATGCCTGTCTTCATTAGCCCACTCGGAGCAGAACAGTAGGACATTAAACCCCATTTTATTTCATTAAAACATTTTTGTTACTGGTCAAAGGGAAATAACTTCTAACATTAATCCCTTGCTGATTGTGTAGATTCTTGTAAATGGTTTAATAGTCGAGACTGAAATAGCGTGTAATTGTTTGTGTGTGGTGTGGTCCACCTGCACTTACTTATAACTTTAGAGAGAGAGAAAGAAATGGGGTAACGTACACTTGACACAAACTAGGTCATTTCGGGACTAACATATGGTTCAATTTTATTTCAATAATTCGCTTGTACGTAAGGCCCTTACGGTAAGGGTCTCTAACATTGGAAGCAAACCGGAGGACCTGGAGAAAACACATGAGGTTGGACAGACGACACTACTCCTTGTTACGTACAAGAGGGGAATCGTAACCCCGCCAGTTGACTCAATGACAGACCTTATTATACAATGCGCAGGTGCTAACCATTCAGCCATCCAACAACCCCCTTACTTATAACTTCATACAATATGTACCTAAAAATCACGCTTACCAGTGAATTATTTATTTATTTAATTTGTTTTACAGGGAACTAACGAGATTTTAAGGTTACTTGTGGCGTTATCAGGTTGTCAACATGCTGGTAAAGAACTAAAGAATCTTGTTAAGTAAGTTATTCAAAAAACAATCTGATTAAAACACAGATTCTATTTTGTTTTGTTTTTTATGGTTCAAAATTTCGTTTTACTTATCTTTACTAGTTGTTCTATAACCTGCGTTCTGGATAATGTAAGGGATTAGCCAATGAAACGGTCTGTTTTTGACGTGAGATGTACGGAACTGTGGGTAACCCACTATAAGCATCAACACTGATTGGTTAATCAAATGTCTGACGTCCTATGGTCAAAAGCCACTCATATGTATTTTAATCAGATTGTTCAATAAATTCTTGAAATAAAGAATGATACAGATTCAATCAAGAAAATATTGATGATCCTCACTGTTCACAGCTTAATCCACATTAGAATGTATTCAAATCTATTATTTAAAGGGCTTATCTCTCTATTTTTGGGCGTTAAACTCCATTTTATTTCATTTCTCTATTTTTTGGAACGTTGAAACAGATGAAAATGGTTCTAAAACACATATTAATGTAATATAAATGTATGTAAAGTGATTTATATTCAATTTCTAATCAACGTTTGATAAAATATGTGAACAGTTCAAGTCATTTATGCCTGCTTAGTCCATTTTACATGCTTTTTGAATTATTATTTTGTCGTTTTTGAATCAGCCTTTAATTTCGAATATTATGGAAATCATTGAGTTAGAGACTTAGCTCCTTTAAAATTTAATTAAGAGAAAACTATCAACTGTAGATAATCTCCGAGCTTAGATTCAATCTGATTTAAAAGGGGCCCATCATAAGATTTTAACGAAGATTTATAGGTGTTTCAGGGGTTGGATAAATGTTGATAAATTTTCAATTTATCATATCTTAGTATAAATACTGTCACTATAACCCAAGTATCATTTGTAATCTTATGTATCTAGCACTAATTTCTTTCACATTTGTTTCATATTCTTTCGAAATTGGCATATCATATCTTAACTTCTTGAATTATGGCCCTTGATTGTGCAAAAAATCACTTGTTCTTTTAGCTTGTTCTCTGTCCATCTCTTGCAAAATGTGGGCGTATTTTGCATGGTTATTTACTTAATAGAACTTGGAGCTACAATGGCACTGCCTCACTAACCAGGAGATACCTTGTATGATTCCGGCACCGGTAGAGAAATTTCCTGGTTTCCCTTGTTAGTGGTGCAGTTGTCCTGTGTAGTTGGAAATCAAAAAAAGATTAGGTTGGAACGTCAATGTTCGGGAATAATTTCCCTCGTTGGCCCAGATGGAGCAGTTGGAAATCAAAAAAAGGTTAGGTTGGAACGCTAATGGTCAGGCAAAATTTCCCTCAGTTGCCCAGATGGAGCAGTTGGAAATCAAAAAAAGGTTGGATTGGAACGTCAATTGACAGACAAAATTTCCCTCGTTAGCCCAGATGGAGCCGAAAATTAAGACGTTGAACCCCCGTTTCATTTCTTAGCATTAAACTCAGTAATTGTGTAACCATAAAATTGTACCTTGTGTTAATATGTTCAATTACTAAATGTCAATCAAAGAAGATACTAAATCATACTATATGTCTTTTGTTTTGAATTTACAGAAAATTACGAAATCCCGTGATGAATCCAGACGTTTTGGTAAAAACAGCCTACAGGAAAATAATGGGGAAGCATCTGGCAGGGGATAGAACGCCTTTTGCTTTGGATGAAGAAGTCCATCCTAGTTTAAAAGTAAGATTTTTGTTAAATGACGACAATAGAAGGAGATGTATTTTTTTTGTAACCATTTCATTTCAATAGAAAATTTGAAATCATCTAAGATGCTTATTTTGAAACCAGTTTAAAATCGACAGGGGGGTGGGGAGAGGGTTTGTGTTCGCACATGCTATTCCAAACCCAGTTTAACTATTCTGACCTGGTTAGTTTAAGGTAAGAGTTAATTACACATGGTCACATGTCATCATTTGCCAGGTAGATAGTTTATTGTACGTCCCAAAGCAAGCTGGAGCTGGCAATTTTAAGCCAATCTGTTCTGACGGGCTGGCAATTTTAAGCCAATCTGTTCTGACAGGCTGGCAATTTTAAGCCAATCTGTTCTGACAGGCTGGCAATTTTAAGCCAAGCTGTTCTGACGGACTAGCAATTTTAAGCCAATCTGATGGCCAAGATTAAGATAGTTTTTAAGCCTTTTTCGAAGACGGGTACAGAACTGAGTTCTTTACACTGGTTTATTTACCCCACCTTTATGTTCAAACGATGGACTGAAACTTGTTTAACGATCGCCGGGGATTTTAAACCAATTTAACTTGTAAGTTTTCTCAAGTGCCTTCAGTTTCCTCCCACTGCTAAGGAGCCCTACGCTCAAGCGAATTATATCAATTAAATTGAGCCATATGTTAGTCCCGAAATGACCTAGTCGGTTTCAAGTGGATGTTAAACCCCATTTCTTTCTCTTTCTGCACAAACAGGGCTAATGAAGACGAGCGTACACCACACATTGTTAGATTCTAGAACCCTGGGGTGGGGAGGGGCGGTGGATGGCCAAATGGTTATCAGGTCTGTCATTGAGTCATCTGGCGTGGTTTCGAATCCCCAGTTGTACGTGACAAGGAGTAGGGTCGCCTGTCCAGCCTCGTGGGTTTTATTTCAATAATTCGCTTGCACATAGGTGTCTTTAGCAGTGGGAGGAAACTGGAAGACCTGGAGAAAACCCACGAGCTTGGACAGGTGACCCTACTCCTTGTCACGTACAACCGGGCAATCGAAACCACGCCAGTCAACTCAATGACAGACTTTACATCAGATACGTACAGTATAAATATTGGATAAAAAACAAATTTATCGCCAGAATGCAACAATCTACATAGCAAGTACATGTGATTTAGCTGATGTGGGTGTATGTTTTGTTGCCTGGCAACCTATATATATTACAGGAGGAAGCTGATAAAATAGATGTTTCAGTAAGAATGTTACAAAGTTCTTCAGATTATTTGTTGGTCCTACATGGTAATGTGAGTACCAATTGTTTTTTATAGATTAGCCCACTGTTAGCTTGTGCCCCCATATTGTTAAGGCTGTTCTGACTATTGCAATATGGTAGTATGTCCCATATTGTTAAGGCTGTTCTGACTATAGTAGTGTGCCCCATAATTTTAAGGCTGTTCTGACTATTATAGTGTGCACCATATTGTTGTTCTGACTAATGTAACATGCTTCACAATATGAAGTCTATTCTGACTATGGTTGCATGACCCACAATGTTAAGTTTGTTCTGACTATGATAGCTTCAATTCTAGAGACAGAGTCTAACATATGGCACAATTTTATTTGAGTAATTCGCATAGGGATCTTTAGCAGTGGGAGAAAATTGCATGACAGACCTTATGTTCTAAAGCGCACATATTGGATCATTCAACTGACCCCCAATCCAACATCACCCCAATCTGATAAAAACACAGATCCTATTTCATTTCGTTTTTTATAGTTCAAAATTTCGTTTTACTTGTCTTTACTACACTAGGATCTGGAAGAGTTGTTATTTAACCCGTGTTCTGGATGATGTGAGGGATTAGCCAATGAAACGGTCTGTTACGGCGAGTTTTTGGCGTGAGGTGCATGGAACTGTTGGTAATCCACTAGAAACATCAATGCTGATTGGTTGATCAAATGTCTGACGTCATAGGCCCAATAGCCGCTCGTATGACCTCTGACGCAACCTATCACTACAACCGGTCAGATCTTCATATACGGTAGTGTAGGCCATTGAAAGTATAAAAAAATCGAAACGAAATATAGATCTGTATTTTAATCAGATTGAAATCACCCACAATTCTCTTCATTATATTTACGAAAGAAAATTGTTTATCTATTTATTTAGAAAATTGTAGATGACCAGATGAATTTAAAAAGACTGGCTGATATTGCTATAGACATCTACGCTATGACGGCTTGTATAGGCAGAGCATCAAGATCCAGGTGTATAGGACTACGGAATAATGACCACGAGGTAATTATCTTTCATAATACTCATAATCATCATCATATATTCAAAGAGGGGGATTAGATGGCCGAATGGTTAGCATGTGCGCGCTGTATCATAAAGTCTGTCATTGAGTCAACTGGCGTGGTTTTGATTCCCCGGTTGTATGTAACAAGGTGTAGAGTCGCCTGTCCAAATTCGTGGGGGTTTTTTTCTGGGGCCTCCGATATATCCTCCCACTGCTAAAGACCCATGTTAAACCATGTGAACAATAAAAGTTATAATCGTATCTGTATGAAATTTATATGCATCATTTATATGTCAGTAATTTCTGTTATATACTTCTAGAGTTATGGCCCTTGTTTTACTTTGAACTCCCTGTGAACACTAACGACAAAAGTTTTCATTCGATCTGTAGGAGGTTTATATGCATTAGTTAAATTAAGTTATAGAAAAAGCATGTTGAATTTCAACAATTTTCAGAGTTAAGGTCCTTGTTTCAGTTTGTAGAACCTTTTGAACTCTCAAATGACGAAAATTATAATCTGATCTGTATGGAATGGTGTTGTAAATGCCCCCCATTACCTACAAAAGAATAAACATGCCACAACCCCTGTCAACCGATCGAACGATTTAGCTGCTGTGGGTGGGTGTGTTTAATTGCCTGGCAACCTATCTTTAAATTTGTATGTAGAAATTATAAACAAATAGTATTGTTTGGGATTTTTTCTTCCAGTTTTTGTTAACCAAAACATTTTGTGAAGAAGCACATCGAAATGTTAAACAATTATATCATCAAATAATTGAAGGTAAGTCACTTTAATAAAACCTCATTTTTAATTAAACCTTATACTTTTAATAAAGGGGTTTGGATGGCCATTGGTTAGCGCTTGCACACTCTATCATAACATTTATCATTATGTCAACTAGCGTGGTTTCGATTCCCAGGTTGTATGTGACAAGGAGTAGGGCATCTGTCCAACCTCATTGGTTTTCTCCAATTTATTGAAATAAAATTGAACCATATTTTAGTCCCAAAATGACCTAGTCTGTGTCAAGCGAACGTTGAACCCCATTTCTCTCTCTCTCTCATTTTTAATAAAACCTGATTTTAATAATAAAATAGTGGCTCAGTGAGTAAAATGTTGACTCGCTAACCTAGAGGTCCCATGTTCAATCGGCGTGCACGTAAAAGATCCCTTGGCAGTTGGAATTCGATATAAGAGTAGGCGATAGTGCCGCTGCCCGGGCAAAATTTCCCTCATAGCACACTGTATGGCGTAAGCCCGTCTTCATTAGCCAAGGTTAGGAGCAGAACAGTAGGACGTTAAACCCCCATTTCATTTCATTTCATTTCCATGTTCGATCCCTTTGTTGGTCAAGAAATTTCATTAGGATTTTCTGTCATTTTGTTTAAGTCAGGATTTTCCTGTCAACTTTTTGACATATTTAAGCCATTAAGGTAAATCATGTTAAATTGAGTAGTTAATCCTACAAATTAGGTGTTTAACTTCATAAAAGGGTTGATCACTTAAGTACATGTACCTAATCAATCCAGTCTATTATCAACAATAATTGAGATGAATATACACTCAGTACAGTCAATTACCTAATCAATCCAGCGTATTATCAACGATAACCAGGTTGAGTGGTAGTTATACACTCAGTACAGTTAGTATATTTTGGATTTTTGAATATCATTCACCATAACTTGATGTCCGATTAGGCATATTCCTGATTGGACGTTTTGAAAATCATGTAGAACATGTCCGGATTATACAGACGAAGTAACATCCTTGGAACAAACTTTTGTATGTGTTGAAGATCCTGTTAAATGAGCCATTGAACTCTATATTCTATAATCATGTTAAATGGATCGTGATCTGTTAAAATTGTGTCTGCTTTTTGTTACAGGTAAAGTAAAGAATTTGGACCAATCATATCATCATATAGCAGATAAAATATTTAAAACAGGCGGTTACGCAGCAGAACATCCGTTAACACGAAACTGGTGAATGTCAAATAAGTTCAAAAGTGTTTTATAAATAAACAAACTAAAATTGTGTATAAAATGGCTTCCTGCTTACATGTAATTCTCGTGGATAAATTATTAAGGATGAAAAGAAACAATATGTAAATATTATTTTAGTAAACAGTCAAGATTGCGTTGGATAAATATATTGGAAATATTGATCCATGACTTGATGGATAAATATATTGTAAATATTGGTCCATGACAATACATGATCCAGTGCTACATGACTTGATGAAGAACGGTAGATATTACATGTGTGTTATGTACGGGGATATCAAATTTTCCTGAATTCTGGGGATCAGCGAGGGAGAGTGTTTTATATATGGTATTAAAATACAGATGTGACGTCATTCTTTGATGTTGGAGTACCATTATTTCAAATAATCGTACGGGCAATGTGCCAAGCGTAACTTGGTAAAATATTGAACTCGAGTGACGTATTTCATTGAAAAGCACGTGCAAGTGTCTGTATTTTAAGTTATTTAATGGTCTCGAGCTTAAGACATTGCGTAATATATTGTAAAAACATTCGGGCCTCACGGCCCTCATGTTGTTACAATATATTACTTAATGTTTCGCTCTCGACCATTAAACCACACATAATGGTTTGTGGATGGAGTCATAGTTTTTGTCGATTAAGAATGCAGTCTGTTGATGTTCTTTTAGTAACTGGATAGAGCAATAAACTATAACACATACTTATCGAAGAACAATTACTGATTTATTTAGGCGACGTTTCGAAGAGAGTATTCTCTCAACATTTTCAAGCAAGTACAGTAACAATGTATAGGGCAATCATATATAGACAAGCAATCTATCTATATATATATATATAATTGCCCTACACATTTGTTACTGTTATAGTTTATCAGTTTGTTGATAATGTAAAAATGAATGCTGATCCATGTAAATAAGATTACCCCACGAAAGTCAGGATTTACTAGGGCTTGTCGGGGAAACACAGGTGGCAGCGTTCTCGATTTTCTACCTCAGTCAATTGTCAGGCCTCTTGTTTTATCCCTAATATCTTGTTTAGCATATGAGAAAATTCTGTATCAGAGATATGGGTGATTTTAGCATTAGCATTTAAAATGGTTGCACACCCCTACTAAAGTTTTTTAAAGTATTTGTACGAGCATTTAAAATAGTGGCGCATCCCTGCTAAAGATCTTTAAAGTATTTGTACGATTTTAAAAGCATTAGTCTAGGTCATCAGGATGTCTGCCTGGAACATTATACAAGGCTAGAAGAATATGATCAAATTCAATATTTCTTTGTGTTCGTAACAAATCGGGGGGTTGGGTGGCCGAATGGTAGCACGTCAACTGGTGTGGTTTCGAATCCCCGGTTGTACATGACAAGGAGTAGGGTCGCCTGTCCAACCTCGTGGGTTTTCTCCGGGTCCTCCGGTTTCCTCCCACTGCTAAAGACCCCTACGCGCAAGCGAATATTGAAATAAAATGAATACCATATGTTAGTCCCAAAATGACCTAGTTTGTTTCAAGTGGACGTTAAACCCCATTTCTCTCTCTCTCCCTCTCTATCAGATTAACAGCCAATTAAGATGTTTTATTGTCCCCAGCCTTTTGTTTTCAACTTTGTGTTGATGATCATTAGATGTATAAATTGACTGAGTTGGATGATGATCCTTAGGTGTATACCTTGACTGAGTTGGATGATGAGCAATAGGAGTATACCTTGACTGAGTTTATTGAATTTCATTAGGTGTGCCTTTGCAGAGATACATGCAAGCAATTTGTTTTGTTGATGCTTTGATTATAATTGAACACAAGTCATGAAAATGTGTGTATTGCTGTTATACTAGGAGCTACTGAAATTATTTAGTGAAAATAAAAACAAACAATGTACACACTTTAACTTCTGTTTGAATTAAAGATATCGACTCATTGGTAGAAATATTTTATAAACTTGTGATATAAATTATGAAATAAATTTTATTTATGACATATGATATGAATATTTTAGTTTTTTCGGAGGGAAAACAGTTTCAGGGGGTAAATTATAATAATATTTATTTAGAATTGGAGGTTGGATTCAGAATGTCCGTACAACGGTCTTCTTGAAATACACAAAATATACCATAGTTAACAAGACTCGAAACGGAAATGGATTGAATCAGGGGCTTTGTTTCATGTGTTTTAACATGCATTATGCAAGAGTAAAATCTGCTTATTACAAGTCTTTCTTTAGGCCTGAAATGTTATCTAAATTATCAATTAGACATTAATTAACTTATCCAGACCATAATAAACTCTCGATGTCAAGGCTAGCCTTCGATGTAGGCTGGATTAGATTCCTATATGCCGCTAACGGCCAAAGATAATTAAATCAGAAATAGTGGATAATCAAGACTATGCTGTTTATATTATTGATTTTAGTAATGATAACCGAGACTATGCAAAAATTTCACCGGCTTCTTTCTCGGCTCATAGTGGATCAATTTGACTGAAATTTTCAGCAAATTACCTTTACACTATCTAGTTTTTAACTATTATAGCGAGAACTGCCATATCTCTTTATCTTATCTCCCATAATGTATCTTTAACAAGACTCGCAACGGAAATGGATTGAATCAGGGGCTTTGTTTCATGTGGTTTAAAGTATTTGAGCCTTCCTCTGCCAAAAATGGAAAATATCACATGGTTGCAATGCTATAATCATAATGCTCAACCAGTCTTAAACAAGTACCATAGCTCAGAGACAAATGGGGTTTAACATACACTCAACACAAACTAGGTCATTTTGAGACTGGCCTGGAAATAACGGTTTTAGATGTACCTGACAAAATGTCAGGCCCTAATGAAATAGTACCTGACATTTTCAACTTAGTGCCGGACATGTATTAATAATATCAATAAAAAAGACAAATCAGTGCCGAACAAAATGACAGGCACCAGAGGTTTAGAGCCTGACAAAGCCTGAATCTGTGCCTGACATTGTCTGTGACAGGTGCCTTATTTCCAGGCTTGCAGTTATCATTTACAAGTGTGGGATGGAAACCCCGCCACTTTACTCAAAGACAGACCTTATGATCCAAAGCACACAAAGTTAAAGATTGAACACTGATAAAATAAACGATAAAAAAATGAAAGTCTTTAGTTTTAGAGGTCTTTATGTTTGTTAATTTGTAAACTGGGTTTGATATTCAAAAGCTAATAATATACTGGCAGCTATTTCTTTGATTCCGATATTGTGCTTGGCTTGAGAGAATATTGTTGGTCCTTTTTGTCTCATCAGAGCTGCATCTCTTTCCATAACCTAAAATAAGAGGTGAAATGGGGGTTAACACCTTATTCCTAAAATATATGAAGTAAGGTTTTATCTTTCTACTGTTGTACACGTTCTGGTCTAATAAAGTCGGATATACATCATGCAGTGTCCTATCAGTATGAGGGAAATTTACCCCGGACAGTGGCACACTACAGCCTATACTTCTTTTAAATTCCAACTACCAAGGGTTCTTTAAAGTGCACGCCAATGTTGGTTTTCATCCTATACAACGACTAGACACTGTTCCCTGCTAGGCCTTTCATCCTGTACCATTCAGCATTTTCGATACAGTGCCACATCTGTGTACAATACACTTCCAGAAAATATCTGACAATTGTGATTCTGTGTCAGTTTTTAAATCCAAAGTGAAAACTTGATAATTTAGACATTATCATTAACACACCAATGTGAGAACATTTTCTAGCGACCAGTTAATTGAATAGTTGTGCAATACAAATATTATTATTATTAAAACTCTTCTGGCAAAATCCTAAGGTATTTTCTTGTCCAACACAGGGATCAATGAGTCAGTGTCTTACCCACTGAGACACTGTATCCACTAAGACACTTTACCCACTGCAACACTATACCCACCCCTGAGACACTGTACCCACTGAGACACTGTCCTAAAAATAGATGTGATCTGAGGTGTATTTATAAAATATCTTGTCACACAACAAAATGATGATTCTTGTTGGTTTATAGAATAAAATCAGGGTATTTTGTAGTCAGAATTCATATATATTTACTAAAAATTATAGCAAAAGAAAAATTGTTCTGACCTTCAGATCAGCACCAACAGCCTCAGCTAAATCTGTTTTGTTTATAACTAGTAAATCACTCTGTGTTATACCTGGTCCTCCTTTACGTGGTATTTTATCACCACCTATAAGTTAAGTAAATCATTTGTTACTCTTTTACGTGGTATTTTACCTATTGTGTTATATAGGTAAAGTAAACCATTTATAATTTGTAGTACTATCAATATTATCTATAATTAGTAACACTATTAATATTATCTATAATTAGTTGTACTTTCAATATTGTCTATAATTAGTAGCAATATCAATATTATTAGTAGTACTATCAATATTATCTATAATTAGTTGTACTATCAATATTGTCTATAATAAATAGTATGGTCAATATTATCTATAATTAGTAGCAATATCAATATTATTAGTTGTACTATCAATATTATCTAAAATCTGTAGTTACTATAAATATTATCTATAATTAGTAGTACTATCAATATCATCTATTACTAGTAGAACTATCAATTTTATCTATAATTAGTAGCAATATCAATATTATTAGTTGTACTATCAATATTATCTAAAATCTGTAGTTACTATAAATATTATTTATAATTAGTAGAACTATCAATATTATCTATCTATAATTAGTAGCACTATCAATATTATCTATAATTAGTAGTACTATCAATATTGTTTATAATGAGTATGACTATAAATATTATCTATCTATAATTAGTAGCACTATCAATATTATCTATAATTAGTAGTGCTATCAATGTATTTAGTAACAATAGTTTAATAATACTAACCTGCAACATCTATAACATATATTATATAATCAGCCAACTCTCGACTAAAATTAGCTGCTAAATTATCTCCCCCTGATTCAATAAACACTATATCTGGTTTGTATTTTACAGTCAGATCTTTTACCTCTTCCATATTTAATGAATAATCCTAAAATATAATTAATATGGATTAAATCGAGGAACTTTGTAATTTTGGGAAGAGATCTGTGTTTTTGGTAATTAAACTTTCAAATATGATAATGAAAGCACTTCTGATGTATTATGTGGCTACTAACATCTAGATTTCAACACATAGATGATGTTTCTATCATAAACTGAAGCTGAAATAGCCAAAATCCCATAAAAACTAGACATTGCTCCTTGCCACCCCCACCCCCGAAAATCTCTAGGGTCTTTTTTCGGCCAACACCTACAATCGAACCTTTGACCTCCTGGTTCATGAGTCTGCACTTTATCACTGAGCCACAATGGCTCCTAAAAGCATAAAACCGATGTTGTATTTTAGCACAAAGCAGCGCATACTTCTCTAATGGCGGCATGGGGACACCCTCCGGTTTCAACTGCTTTCATACGACATTCTGGTAGTGCTTCATTTCTCACTAAAAACTCCCAGTCTTCTCTGCAATAAATTGAAAAATTTACCTCATCATTTAATCTTATTTAAATATATGTATTTAATGTTTACACGAAGAAGAGCATATCATCTCAACCATTTGTCATAATTTCTAACAGAGTTACTGCCCTTGTTCTTTTTATACGCTTACATTTAATGTCACTGCCGTCCTTAACAACCTATTGTAGCTCCTTTACAGGTGAGAGTTTTAAAAGGATTGTTTAATAGGTAATGATAAAGCCACCTATAGAAATTCATAATTGTTCAACCATTTTCTCACTCACTCTAAGTCAAAATCCACAGTCTTTAGCATCTCAAAGATGATGTCAAATTGCTAAAGACCCCTACGCGCAAGCGAATTATTGAAATAAAATTGATCCATGTGTTAGTCCCGAAATGACCTAATTTGTGTTAAGTGGACGTTAAACCCCATTTCTCTCTCTCTCGCTCTCCATTCCCACTAACAGTGATGATTTATCTTGTCAGTGGTGCAGGTGAAAAACCGAGGTCCAGTGGCGCTGCTACAGTCTATTCTTATTTCGAATTCCAACTGTCAAGAGAGAGAGAGAAATGGGGTTTAACGTCCACTCGACACAAACTAGGTCATTTCGGGACTAACATATGGTTTAACTTTATTTACATAATTCGCTTGCGCGTAGGGGTCTTTAGCAGTGGGAGGAAACCGGAGGTTGGACAGGCGACCCTACTCCTTGCCACGTACAACCGGGGATTCGAAACCACGCCCAGTCGACTCAATGTCAAAGGGATGCGGCACAAGAAAATCCGAGCATCTTTCTACCAATTATAGGGCTAAAACTATTTGTTAAGGCCATCTCAATTTTCGTCAAGGTTGCTGAGATTATTGGCAACATTGTAGGTTAGGGCTAGGGTAAGCATTGGGGCTAGGTCCCAGGTTAGGGTTGGGATTAGCACTAGCCCTGTTTACATCTCGTGACCAATGAAGAAACTTGTAGTTGGCCTTATCAAATAGACCTAATCCAATTATTGTGTTATTATGAATGTTAGGGAAATTGAGATAGTTCACCCCCTACAACTTGGTGTAACTACACCTGTTCTCTTAACAGACAGAGAAGGTGATATATTGTGATAAATAGCATTTTTATTCACCATATTAAGTTTCAAACCATAACTTATATGGCCATTTTTGGAATATCATTAAATTATATTAGCTAGGAATATTATTTAATATCTCAGTTGAATTTTAAAGATGGGTTCCCGCGTACAAACTGGGTGATTTAATAGTATATATATGGACTAAAAACATATTCAAACTAATTAATTTGTCATAACTTTGCTTCAAATCCTTCTCAAACATTGCAATTGCAAAGGAATGTCCTGCTATAAAAATTCGATCAAACCAGGCCATGTTTACGTCACGTCTTGGGAGTCAGAGGAGAATTCATTGCATACGCAAGACGATGCTGTCTTTAATCGCTTACTATTTATTACAAATATCGAATCCTAATTAAATTCTCGGATTATCCACTAGCCGCGTCTTTTTCCCTCATTTTTATCTCAGAAAGTGTTGTACGTCTAACACTTCATAAAGTTTATCAACTTGTATATCAAGCGCTCAATGATCGCGTGTGACCTTTGACATCACGCATGTTGAAATTCCTAATCGTCGGAATGTTAATTAGGGGAACCCTTACATTTTTGTCCTGTATACGCTCCAAGAGTGTTTTTCAGGGAATCCAGTATTTTTCTAGTAAGATTGGATATCTCTACTTTCCATATATACCAAAATTACCATACTTTTATTTGAAATAACCACCCAATAAATACTTTTCTGGGAACTCATCTTTAATATTTTAAGTATATAATATACCATTTAATTATATTATTGGTTACAACACCTATATTATCTACCTGTATTGACCTGGTTTCAACACCTATATTATATACCTGTGGACCCTATAGAGGTCATAATTTTTATCCGATTTAAAAAACCGTATTATTATATCACCGTTACACCCTAAGGACGGCTGAGTTCGAATTTCGTGAAAATCGGCCCAAAATTGACAGACAAAATGGCTGCCGTTCGTTCTCAAATAGCGTAAAAATATATGGTATATCAAGGTTTTGGACCCTATAGAGGTCACAATTTTTATCCGATTTTGTTGAAAATTGAAATGTAAGTTTATAACCCAAAGATCTCGGTTCCTTTCGATATTCGCACATATTGGACCGTAACTTCCTGAATTATGGCCCCTGATTGTACGAAAAATCGCGTTTTTAGCTTGTGGACCCTATAGAGGTCATAATTTTTATCCGATTTAAAAAAACGTATTATTATATCACCGTTACACCCTAAGGATGACTGAGTTCGAATTTCGTGAAAATCGGCCCAAAACTGACAGACAAAATGGCCGCCGTTCGTTCTCAAATAGCGTAAAAATATGATATATCAAGGTTGTGGACCCTATAGAGGTCACAATTTTTATCCGATTTTGTTGAAACTTGAAATGTAAGTTTATAACCCAAGGATCTCGGTTCTTTTCGATATTCGCGCATATCGGAAAGTAACTTCCTGAATTATGGCCCCTGATTGTACGAAAAATTGCGTTTTTAGCTTGTGGACCCTATAGAGGTCATAATTTTTATCCGATTTAAAAAAAACATATTATTATATCACCGTTACACCCTAAGGACGACTGAGTTCGAATTTCGTGAATTTCGGCCCAAAACTGACAGACAAAATGGCCGCCCTTCGTTCTCAAATAGCGTAAAAATATTGTATATCAAGGCTGTGGACCCTATAGAGGTCACAATTTTAATCCGATTTTGCTGAAACTTGAAATGTAAGTTTATAACACAAAGATCTCGGTTCCTTTTGATATTTGCGCATATCGAATTGTAATTTCCTGAATTATGGCCCTTGATTGTAGGAAAAATCACTTTCTTTTTATTGTTTCACTAGGAACTAATCGGTTATCAATATCATTATTTCATTCGGAACTAATCCTTGAATATGACTGGGTAAAAGAACGGGACACTAGTAGTTATTCAATATTTTTGTCATTTTAAATTGTGTAAATGAACACATGACACTTGGAATTCGAAGTTAGAGTAGGACATAGCGCCACAGCGCAGCAGAAAGGTAGGCAGTTAAACCCCATTTCATTTCATTTTACTTCAAATAGTCGCAGTTGTTCAGTGAGTAAGAACCCTGGACAGTTACTAGTTAGAAGTCGAAATAAGAGAAGGCCGTAGCGCTGCTGTCCTGGCCAAATTTCTCTCATGGCACACTTTATGGCGTATGACTGTCTTCATTAGCCCAGTCTAGGAGCAGAACAGTAGGACGTTAAACCCCATTTCATTTCTGGTTGGTACAGAACAGTAGGACGTTAAACACCTTTTTATTTCATTTCATTGCTGGGGTCATTAAATCCATTGATTACCCAGTCGTTGCAGAACAGTAGGACGTTTAACCCCACTTCAGTTCACGTAACATACAATGCTCGCTAGCCCAATCCCTAACACATTATTGACAAAAAAATGTCCCATAGTATCTTGTTCCCTTTGGCCATTCATATTTGAGAAATACTCCATGACTTTAGATATTTTATGGTCGAATAAACATGTGAAATAATACCACGCGTGTAGAAATGTAGTGAATATAAACAATGGCTGACTTTGGATATTTGGTTATGGGGGGGCGGGGGCAGGTGCTCTGAGTAAATTTTGAAAAATCGGTGGTGTCAATATTGATTAACATTCAATTTCATCAGCTACATATCACGGCTAAATCTATTTGTTGAGGCCAGCTCAATTTTTGTCAAGGTCGCTGAGATGTAAATAAGGTTAGGACACGTGATTGTTGGTGAGATTGTAGGTTAGGGTTAGGATAAGTGTTAGGCTTGGGATTAGCGCTAGCCCTGTTTACATTTCGTGACCTATGACGAAAAATTGAGCCTGCCTTATCATTTAGCACTAACCGCTACATCACCCCAACTAAGGGGGGTTGGATGGCGGAATGGTTAGCACGTGCGTGCTGTATCATAAGCTCTGTCATTGAGTCAACTGGCGTGGTTTCGATTCCCCGGGTGTACGTGACAAGGAGTAGGGTCGCCTGTCCAAACTCGTGGGTTTTCTCCGGGTCCTCCGGTTTCCTCCCGCTGCGAAAGACCCCTATGCGCAACCAAATTATTGAAATAAAATAAAACCATATTTTAGTCCCGAAACGACCTAGTTTGTGTCGAGTGGATGTTAAACTCTCTCTCTCTCTCCCCCCCCCTCTCTCTCTCTCTCTCTCTCCCTCTCTCTCTCTCTGTTGGGGTTAGATCCGCCACTGAATATGGTATTGTATAATATCTGCAGTATAAACTAGATATAGTCGACCTTTAACTTATATATATATCTATTTTAAAACCCCTTGACACGGTTGAAAACACAATTCAAGCTATCTTAAAAGTACAACAAACTTATGTGGAGAGAGGCGAATCGGGTTTAACATCCAACTCGAGACAAACTAGGTCATTTCAGGACTAACAAGTCGTATGTTTTATTTCAATAATTCGCTTGTCTATAGGTGTGGGAGGAAACCGGAGGACCCAGAGAAAACCCACGAGGTTGGACATGCGACCCTTCCCCCCACCCCACAGACAGAGCAGGTGATTTATTGTGATTAATGACATTTTTATTCACGATATTAAGTTTCAAACCACGACTTATATGACCATTATATTCACTAGGAATATAATTTAATATCTCAGTTGAATTTTAATATTTTAAGTATATAATATATCATTTAAATATAACATTGGTTACAACACCTATATTATATACCTGTATTTACCTGGTTACAACACCTATATTATATACCTGTATTTACCTGGTTACAACACCTATATTATATACCTGTGATTACCTCGTAAATATAACATTGATTATATACCTGGTTACAACACCTATATTATATACCTGTGATTACCTGGTAAATATAACATTGATTATATACCTGATTACAATACCTATATTATATATCTGTAATTACCTGGTAAATATAACATTGATTACGTACAATACCTATACAATATACCTGTGTTTACCTGGTTACAACACCTATATTATATACCTGTAATTACCTGGTAAATATAACATTGATTACAACACCTATATAAAACACCTGTATTTACCTGGTAAAGATGTCATTGGTTACAACACATACACCACGAGAATCTCTCAGGTATTTACATAAAGCTAATACTAGGGCTGTTTTACCTGATCCCACTGGACCACCAATACCCACAGTAAAAGCTCTCTAAAAATAAAAACATTTACTAACATGTGTCATTTGAACCTTGTCATGTCTGGAAAAACATTAAGCAATCTGATTAAAATACAGATGTATATTTCGTTTCGTTTTTTTATACTTTTGATGGCCTACACTACATGAAGATCTGACAAGTTATAGTGGAAGGTTGTGTCAGAAGCTTTGAAAGAAAGAAAGAAAGAAAGAAATGGGGTTTAACGTCCATTCGACACAAACTAGGTCATTTTGGGACTAACACATGGTTCAATTTTATTTCTATAAATCGCTTGCGCGTAGGGGTCTTTAGCAGTGGGAGGAAACCGGAGGACCCGGAGAAAACCCATGAGGTTGGACAGGCGACCCTACTCCGTGTCATGTACAACCAGGGATTCGAAACCACGCCAGTTGACTCAGTGACAGACTTAATGATACAGCGCGCACGTGCTAACCACTAATCTATGACGTCACACGTTGATGTTTCTGGTGGGTGGGTTACCCAGTTCTGTGTGCCTCACGCCAAAAACTCGTCATAACAGACTATTTCACTGGCTAATCCCACCCATCATCCAGAACACGGGTTATATAACTACTCTTCCAGGTCCTAGTGTAGTAATTAAAGACAAGTAAAACAAAATTTTGAACTATAAAAAACAAAACGAAATAGGATCTGTGTTTTAATCAAATTGAACATTAAGTGAGGAAAATATTTCTACTTGTCTACATTAAACTGGCTAATGTAGACAGACATACGTCGTCGTGTAGTGCGCTATGAGGGAAATATCCATCCGCCAAGGAACAATTAACGTGACGCAACATTTATACACAGGAATTCGATTATATCATCCCACACGCCGCCAAGCGTAAAAAGTATCGAGCCACCCTGGCTTCCCAAACACGCGCCAAGGGATTCGTGTATATATATATATATATATGACGAAAAGTACTTTAAAATGTTAAAATGTTATTAAACCATTGTTGAAATCAGTTTGTATCAGCATACCGTGAAACAAAGTAGTGCAGCTTTACGGTTGTGTTAATATTTCTGGATATATATATATGCTATATTACGTCTGTATACGTTATTAAAGTGCTTCTTACAGTCGTAATGTGGCAGAACAACGCAACAGAATTCCTTCGACAATTTTGTCTGTTGCGCCATAACGACCCCCATGGCTGGCTGAATATTTAGCAGTTGCATGTTGTATCATAAAGTCTATCATTGCGTCAACTGGTGTGGTTTCGATTCCCAGGTTGTACATGACAAGGAGTAGGGTCGCCTGTCCAACCTCGTGGGTTTTCCCCGGGTCCTCCAGTTTCCTCCCACTGCTAAAGACCCCTACGTGCAAGCGAATTTTTGACATAAGTTTGAACCATATGTTAGTCCCGAAATGAACTAGTTTGTGTTGAGTGGACTTAAACCCAATTCTCTCTCTCTCTCTCTCTCTCTCTCTCTCTCTCTCTCTCTCCTCTCTCTCTCTCTGGTCAGTGGCTTCAGAAAGTAGAACCATAAACTCTCTCTCTCTCTTTCTCTCTAGCTCTCTCCCCCCCCCCACCCCCTCCCCCCACCCCCGGTTTATTAGCCCAATCGGTGCTGAAAGTCTTTCATTTAATCATTTGATGAATACGTACCTGATCCCAGTCTGTTCTGTAAAGTGGTTTATCTCTATCTATAAAACTACCAGGGTCATCTAAAACTTCGTGGGTATGGCCGTGTTCGTGTTCATGGGAGTGGGAATGGGAATGGTCATGGGAGTGACCACTGGTTTTTTCCTTTGTTGCACCGGCTGTAACATTGACAATTATTTGAATTAATTTAATACCTTATTTCTTTTTAATCATCTTAAAAATACATTTTATAAGATTTAGATAAAGGGCTGATGGTTCTCGCTATAATAGTTCAAAAATAGGTAGTAAAAAATGTCAGATTTTCCGGCGTGGTTCTCCCTTGTCAGTGATGCAGGACGGAGGGGCTGACAAGGAAAGCTGTCTAGTCGTTCGGATGGGACGAAAAACCGAGGTCCCGTGTACACATTGGCGTGCACGTAAAAGATCCCTTGGCAGTTGGAATTCGATATAAGAGTAGGCCGTAGTGCCGCTGTCCGGGCAAAATTTCCCTCATAGCACACTGTATGGCGTATGCCCGTCTTCATTAGCCCAGGTTAGGAGCAGAACAGTAGTACGTTAAACCCCATTTCATTTCATTTCATTTCATTAGTAAAAAATGTTTATATTGAAAATTTCATCAAATTACTTTATTCTAGGAGAAGTTATGACTAAGAGCTAGTGATCGGATATTCGAACAAGAATACTATTCGAATATTCGAAGGGTCTTGAAATTTGTATTTGAATACTATTCGAATATTTTCAATTTCTAATATAAATATATTTAAAGTGGTTTATATTCAATTTATTATAATTTCTAATTAATTATGAAATACGTGAAATTTCGGTTGACATGTGAACAATGCACAAGATTATATTTTAGCAATTGCCAGTGGAATTTTTACGTAAACTGCCAATTTGTACACAAAACCTCGGCCTTCCATGACATTGCAACAAGTAGACGCGGACCTCAACCATACTCCAGTCATCTGCAATCTCCGTCAGATGCTCGTTTAGTTTATCCGAGTTATGTGAACTTGGACATGATTTCATTTCCAGAGTCTTAGCCACCATCTCCCAATCTGGTGATACAAAATAAGCGGTTAAATTAATGCAAGACTCATTTTGTTCATCTGATGTCCATACATCTGTGGTCACAGCGGCTAACTTCTGACTTGAGTCATTCCTGATTTGACGTTGTCGGAACGAACGGCATCATAGATTTCGTCCTTTCTTTTTTTGAGTGTTTTACTTGACCGCAAATTGTGTGATGGATTCAGGGCTTCTATCAATTCCCGAAAATGGTAATTGTCAAAAAGAGAGAGGAGCTGATAATGCTTGGCTACAAACTTGATCAATTTCTCAGTGATGTTTTTTGCTGCGCTGAATCTTGTCATACTTCTTGCTATTACATGAAGAACTTGTGTTGAACCTTTTAATTGGACGAATCTTGCCTGACCCTACGTCCCGTGCAGAGGAGGAAGAATCTGGAGCTACGTAGCCATGTTTCAACTTCATGTGGTTCCAAAGATTAGCCTTGATGTAATATTAGTCAAGACCATGGAGGTGTATATATTGTCAATATATACACCTCTTTGGTCAAGACAGCCAACTCCATTGCGGAACTAACTGGCTAACCAAAGTAGGTAACACGCTACTTACTCAATAACTGTCTCTGAAGACGGTAGATCTATGTAGGGGTAGCACCCTTACAAGCTGCGGTTAGGTAATCTAATTAAGCTTTGAATGTAAATGTGGCAAGGAAAGTCACCTTTGATAATATTTGAGAGCAAATAGAATAAATAATAGATATTTGAAAATATTCGAATATGGTAATTGCTATTCGAATATTCGAATATTATATTCGACGAGCGAATATTCGAATATTCGTGCCGAACATGGTCTTGATTTTCACTGCTACCGTTGTTACGATAATAAACAAAGTCTCGATTACCTTTTTTTGGATTAAATTATTAAAAATGGCAATCGTGTTTCAATCTCGATTATCCATTTTTGAATTAAATTATTAAACATGCATTATGCAAGAGCTAAATCTGATTATTGCAAGTCTTAATTTAGGCTTCAGATGTTATAGAAATTATAAATTAGATCTTTATTTAAACAACAAGACCAAAATCAACTCTGTAGACCCACTGATGGCTCGGCTACAGCTCGGATTTAAATAGGATTTCACTAATTGATTAAATCAGATAAGGGGTAACCTGATGAAAATACGTCTGTTAGATCGAGGCTAAATGATAGAGTGTACTTAGCGAGGCCCGCTGTAAAGCGTTTCCGTATGCCATTGAAAACTTTACTTGATAATCGAGATATGTAGGTGGAGTTAACGCCTGTCAATCAAACGATCAGCGAAGTTGAAGACACAATTCGCTACCATTTCTAGGCAAATATTACAACGATGATAACTATGTTCAGAATAAAGTAATTTGACTGAATTTTTCAATATATTCTTCTTTCATCATCTACTTTTGAACTGTTATAGCAAGAATGGCCAACTCTCTATAAAAATCTCCCATAATGTATCTTTAAATGGCGATCGTGTTTCAATCCGTTCAAAATCACAACCACCCGATGAACCAGAGAAAATGAAATGAAATGGGGTTTAACGTCCTACTGTTCAGCTCCTAAAGTGGGCTAATGAAGACGGGCATACACCATACAGTGTGCTATGAGGGAAATTTTGCCCGGGCAGCGGTGCTACGGCCTACTCTTATATCGAATTCCAACTGCCAAGGGATCTTTTACGCTCACGCCAATGTGTACACGGGACCTCGGTTTTTTGTCTCATCCGAAGGACTAGACAGCTGTCCTTGTCAGGCCCTCCGTCCTGCATCACTGACTAGGGGAAACCACGCCAAAAAATCTGGATGAACTTTCTCGGCCAAGCCAGCGTCTTACCCACTTAGGATGAACTAGAGAGTTGATAATAGGCTTTTTATGTTAATAAATGTCAACATTTAAAACCAAAAGACAGATGTGCAATAGGCACATCTAGCTTTTACATAATGCATGTTTAATGAATGTGTTGTGATTTGTCAGATCAGGTCAATGTAAATAAATGAAATAAAATGGGGTTTAACGTCCTACTGTTCTGCTCCTAAACTGGGCTAATGAAGACGGGCATACGCCATACAGTGTGCTATGAGGGAAATTTTGCCCGGGCAGTGGCACTATCGCCTACTCTTATATCGAATTCCAACTGCCAAGGGATCTTTTACGTGCATTCTAATGTATACACAGGACCTCGTTTTTTCGTGTCATCCGAAGGACAAGACAGCTGTCCTTGTCAGGCCCTCCGTTCTGCACTCAGGTCGATGTGAAATGGAATGTGAAGTTTAATGTCCAACTGTTCTGCACCAGACAGGAAGATAAGGTCGAAATTATTCCATTGACTTGTTTGCTGTTTGCATTGGTCCCTATCAAAGGATAAACTGGCATTGGTTGTTTAAAGGGGAAAATCAACGTTTTTCAACAAAGTGTCCGTAAATTTTAAATATGCATTAAGAAATAATCCCCTCGTTGGTCTTCTCCTTTAACGTTCCAAATATAGTCAGGCTGAGACAGAAGGGTTTTTTTTGGCGAATTTAGGTTTAAATACAAAAATATTAAGATAAAGACATATTCATAAAAATATTTCATGTGTTCAGTCAAATGACAAAAACTAGGATATGTATAATTCTAACCAACCTTGAAAAAAGTTACAGTTTTCTGACGTCATCCTGTTTGATGGAGTTATAATATTCTAAAAAAAACAAAAACATTTAATAAGCCACTGATACAGTCATATATTTGTTGATATTATGACAAGACTATTAGAGAGAGAGAGAAATGGGGTTTAACGTCCACTCGACACAAACTAGGTCATTTTGGGACTAACACATGGTTCAATTTTATTTCAATAATTCATTTGTGCGTTGGGGTCTTTAGCAGTGGGAGGAAACCTGAAGACCCGGAGAAAACTCATGAGGTTGGACAGGCGACCCTATTGCTTGTCACATACAACCGGGGAATCAAAACCCCGCCAATTGACTCAATGACAGACTGTATGATACAGCGCAGCGCGCACGTGCTAACCATTCAGCCATCCAACCCCCTGATAAGACTATTAATTAATGAAATTGGGTTGAACTTCCTAGTTTTCTGCACCTACCGGGATAATTAAGACAGGCATGGATGCGCCATACAGTGTGCTATGGGGGCCTGGATAGCAGCTTTACGGCCTTCTTGTATGAAATGAAATGGGGTTTAACGTCCTACTGTTCTGCACCAACTGGGCTAATGAAGACAGGCATACACCATGCAGTGTGCTACCTGTGTAATTTTGCCCAGACAGCAGCATTTTCGCCTACTCTTCATGTACCCCTTTTCGAACTATCCGAAGAACTAGAAGCTGTTCCTTGCCAATCAGTCTGTTCCTTGACATGTCCTCTGTTACTTGCCAGACCCTCTGTTCCGCATCACTGACAAGGGGACATATTGCATCACGTTGAGAAATACTGAGATACTGTCTCGATCAACATTGGAATTCGACCTACAGGTTAGTGAGCTAGTGCCTTACTCACTGAGCCACTGCGGCCCCTTGTATCAATAAAAAGGGAGAGAGAAATGGGGTTTAACATCCCCTCGACACAAACTAGGTCATTTCAGGGCTAACACATGGTTTAATTATTCGCTTGCACTTGCGCAAAAATTAGGCCAGCCTTAACAAATAGATTTAGTCCAAAGTCCATTGGGTCAGAACTAAAATTAAGGCCATCTGCAGATTTCATCAAAGGTCACGAGATGTAAACGCAGGGTTTGATTGTGGGTTAGGGTTGGGATTAGCGCTAGCCCTGTTTACATCTTGTGACCTTTGACCAAAACTGAAGTTGGCCTTATCGATTAGATCTAACCATGGATTTTGAGAATATCAAGCGAAGCTAATTATAGACAGACAGCGTAACTGTCATATGATCCATTATATCAAAAGTGAATCAATTTATTGACAGCTGGTGCACTGTCTCAATCAGATATGTTCAGTAGACCATGATATCCCGTTCCAGATATCGGCATGAAATATAGGTTTTATTTAAACATGTGTTACAGAACAAGAGACGTGTAGAGTAATTCAAGTCACACATAGATCAGTCTATCAGATATTATTAACATATATAGAATTTATTTAACACAACCTATTTTGTAACTATAACAGCCTGTCTGTAATATTATTATAATTTATTATACAGTAACATATGGGGAAATACTATTGTGTTTAGGTCTATTCTGTTTCCATTCAATTTAATTGATAATCAAATTATAATTGTTGAGCATGAAATTTATTTTCTACTAGAACGGCATTTCCCAACCTCTGGGTCGCGAGCACTTTTCGTGGGGTCGCGGACTAGACTGAGAACTTTAAAAAAAAAAAATGCTATCTTTTCATGTAATCTATCTATACATCTTCAATAGAAGGCTTGATCTCGCTTTAACTCGTACATCTTATCAAGGCCTTCACGTAACACTCTACAATCTACATTTTTCGTCACTAATTTCGATTGGTCTAGGACCCAGCTCTAGACTTCTCAGATTCCTCGATAGAAAATATTATCGCGAATACCAAGTCTCGCGCTTTCCAACTGAAATATCCACCTGTGATAATCGAGTTAAAAAGTTCAAGGTTCGTTCAATGTCAAGGTTGCTGGAAATTTCCAAAACAAAGAGACTTGCCGCTGCCAATTTTCATGCAAATAAATACTTCTCTTCTAAAACAGTTTCGATTGCTTTTCCATGAGTTTTTCAACTGAAAAAAAAACCTTTTAACGGCTGTAAACTTGTCTATTCATTTTTTGGTGGAGATCGCAATGTTTGTATTTGGATATGTGTTTGTATTACGACCTCTGATTGGACAACGTTATTGTTCACGTGTCTGCAGTAAAGGGAAATAACGTACCTAAAAGTTTGGAAATTTCAGACAATTCTGGCAACGGATAGAAGTTGTAAAACTGCGGCCGTTGCTTCGGGAACATGTGATCTATACAGCTCTTGCCACATTGCTAATCGATTTACTCTCATGGCCACGATTTGTTTCATCGGTCTATCATTGTAAAATGTGACTTTGTTCTTCGAGGGATCACGATCTGGTCTTGAGTGTGGAATGGGGTCGCCACCCAAAAAAGGTTGGGAACCTATGTACTAAGGTAAGGATAACCTTAGAATTAGTTCTATAGATTATTACGGTATATAAAACTTATGACAAATGACGGCTTTGCTGATGTTATAGCAAGGTATATATATAGAGCTATGAAAATAAGAGATGACTATTTAGGTGAAATTTGAATAATGTGTTAACATTTTATATCCATTTCCTCTTTTTTGTTTTCTCCAATATGTATTTATTTTATTTTATTTAAACTTATTTGTTATTTATATTTTTATGTCACATGTAATATAGGCTGTAGGCCTGCTACTGATGTTAAAGATACATTATGGGAGATAAGATAAAGAGATGGCAGTTCTCGCTATAATAGTTAAAAACTAGATAGTGTAAAGGTAATTTGCTGAAAATTTCAGTAAAATTGATCCACTATGAGCCGAGAAAGAAGCGATTGAAATTTCTGCCTAGCCTTGATCATCATTACTAAAGTCAGGTCGATAAACAGCATAGTCTTGATTATCCATTTAATCGTTAAATCGTGAAGGAGAGTTATGCAGTAAATCGGCTCATAATCCATTAAAGATTGCAGGCTAGCGATGCCATCTAGAGTTGATTATGGTCTGTATAGGTTAATTAATGTCTAATTAATAATTTAGATAACATTTCAGGTCTAAAGAAAGACCTGCAATAGACAAATTTAGCTCTTGAATAATGTATGTTTAATTGCTAATACTGCTGTTGTTTTATTGCAGGGGATCACGTGGCTAAGTGGGTAAGACGCTGGCTCGCTAGTCTGGAGGTCGGGTGTTCGATTCCTGCATTGGCCGAGAAAGTTCATCCAGATTTTCCAGCGTGGTTCCCCCTTGTCAGTGATGCAGGACGGAGGGCCTGACAAGGACAGCTGTCTAGTCTTTCGGATGATACGAAAAACCAAGGTCCTGTGTATACATTGGAATGCACGTAAAAGATCCCTTGGCAGTTGGAATTTGATATAAGAGTAGGCGCTAGTGCCGCTGCCCGGGCAAAATTTCCCTCATAGCACACTGTATGGCGTATGCCCGTCTTCATTAGCCCAGCATAGGAGCAGAACAGTAGGACGTTAAACCCCATTTCATTTCTGGCCAATGCTGGGATCGAACACACGACCTCCAGGCTAGCTAGCCAGCATCTTAACCACTTTGCCACAGTGACCCTGTCTAACCAAGTAAGTTAACCTACATTAAGTTATACTCACATATAAAGAAACCCAACTTACCTGGTGTCACCTACAGTCGTTAATATATAATAACAAACAATCCAACGAATCGTTCACAATATCCGTGTATTAGTAGGATGATGAACGGGGCTGTGTAATATCTGGGACAATTGTCAATAATACATTGATTAATGCAAAACACCGCCACGTTCCGATATCAAAACAACAGAAGTTCAACACGAACTGTTTTCATGAACTAACCATCTTACTGTAAGTTTAAGTGACATGGTATACAGTAATCCTATAGCCTTGACTTTTGTTGTGGGTATAGCTTCACTGACACTATATTCAAATCTCTTCTTACCTTGTTAAAACACAGGACAGGTCATAAATCTCAACCTTGTCGTTAGCGTATCATGTAGATATACATATACACATGTATGTCCTACTTGTGTAGAACTTATGTTTGTCGAGTAGTTTAGTGTAGTTGTATCTTTGACTTGACGAGATTGTATATTGTATTTAACAAGCTTTCGTCATAAACAGAACTTTATTCAGGTAGGTTTTACTAGATTTATATGGATTTACTACTTTCTAGTTTCAATATTCTTACAGGTATTTTTTTTTTATAAAACTTCAAGCACGTGAAATATCCCTTATCATTTGGAATTCGATGTAAGAGTTCTCCGTAGAGCCGCTGTCCGGGGAAATTTCCCTCATAGCACACTCAGGGGCGGATCCAGGAAATTTTGCAGGAGTGGGTTGGCCAGGTTCCTGAGACAATGTATCTCCCCCCCCCCCCCACATGGTCTCTATCGTCATTTTGGCGTATATACATACACATATATATTATTGAGCTTTTTAAACAGAGAAATCAACATCTCGTTTGACGTCAATTTTTATTATGAATTATTACAATGACGATTCAATTTCATGGAAGCAAATCATTAATTGTGATATCACATAATGTCTATATCATTATGTAGCTGAGCGGGGGGGGGGGGGGTCGACCCCCCCCCCCCAAACTCCCCCTCTGGATCCGCCCCTGACACTGTGTGGCGTATGCCCGTCTTTATTATCCCAGTCGGAGCAGAACAGTAGGACGGTAAACACAATTTCATTTCATTTCTCATATTTGGAAGCTAGTTTAGGTGTATTGAGATACATAGGCGTAGGAGCCGCCCCCCCCCCCCAAAAAAAAAATAAAAAAAATTCGACGACCTTTTTTTTCTATTAACGTATAGAGAAAAAATATAACTCACTTATTTCTATGAGATCCACACTGCCCGAAAAGTATTTTCTCGTCTTTTTCTTGTCCACTGCATGCCCGAAAATTTGCCCGAAGCTCTCTTATGATAGGTATGTCCGAAAAAACGGTATTGCCCGAAAATAGGTATTGCCCGGAAAACGGCAGAGGAAACTAGCCAAATGGAAAACTGCTAGGAAACAGCCAGTTGCCAGGGTGGATTCGCCCGTTTTCGGTGGTGCGGCAGTGACCAAAACACTATATCAGCTGATATATATATATATATATATATATAGTGACCTTGCCCTTCGTTGTTCTTAGTATATTATCTTAAGATGTTTACACTTATCTGTGTACATCAAGCATGCAGAGGTCTATGCCTGTACACTGTACATGTCATTCTCTCAAACCACCCACTGTGGCGGTGTATAGTAGAGTATAATCCATACAGTTACATTATACATTGCAGAAGTAGAGGTACCTACTAGTATATCGCATTTAAAACTTTTGATTCAGTACCGGACTTTAAATTGTTTCCAAAAATTAAAATTACTAGCTATACGGATGAGACGATATTTCAGTGTTTTCATTGATTTAAAACTAGTACACGTACGGTGAATGTTGCTATTGTTTGCTCGGGAAAATAAAGAAAAATTGCAATATTTTGGCACATCAAAAGTTGAGAGTCAAATTTAATTGGATTAGGTATGTATGTTGTGTACTATTATGTGATGTTGTGTGTTGTTATTGTTGTGTACTAATCAGTAGGACATGCACGGTGCGCGACACTAAAATATCGTCTTATATTATATGTCTTCGTAAAACAAAAGAAGCAGAACGAGGTCGTCATTCAATTCATTTAGATCGGAATCGCTACCGCCTCGCCCTCGAAAACGGACTTATCGTTATCGTGTGAAATGTAGTGTTTGCCGAAAAGAAATTGACTCTGATTATAAAGAAAAACACAAGGTAACCCACTCGGGGAAGATTTCGGGCAATTTTCTCTTATGTCCCCCTGAATTACTTTGAGCTCCTACGCCTATGTTGAGATGGATATATTCAATCGTAACAGTTCTTTTTTGGCTTTATTGAAATTTTGATCGAAAACTTTAAAGATTGTCGCAGTGAACTCCTATCGAGAGAAGTTTGGACCTTTACTATTACAGGTTACAATAAAAGTCTTGTCATTGGGTCTGGATTGGACACAATTAATATTTCCTTGTGATACACAGCAGAGTTAGAGGGGTCTACCTTAGTGCTGTATTCTGGGGATTGTGGCTTATTCCAACACTATACGACGATATGACTCAGATAAATAGTTTTAATTGTACTTTTAGTAAACGAGTGTCCAAAACTGGCTAACGGTCACAATAACGAGATAGGTATTGCTAGGACGGGCCGATTACCAGATTAAAGTTAAAGTAGAATATAGAACATATATACGGGGATCACGTGGCTAAGTGGGTAAGACGCTGGCTCGCTAGCCTGGAGGCCGGGTGTTCGATCCCTGCATTGGCCGAAAAAGTTCATCCAGATTTTCCGGCGTGGTTCTCCCTTGTCAGTGATGTAGGACGGAGGGATTGACAAGGAAAGCAGTCTAGTCGTTCGGATGGGACGAAAAACCGAGGTCCCGTGTACACATTGGCGTGCACGTTAAAGATCCCTTGGCAGTTGGAATTCGATATAAGAGTAGGCCGTAGCGCCGGTGCCCGGGCAAAATTTCCCTCATAGCACACTGTATGGCGTATGCCCGTCTTCATTAGCCCAGTTCGGAGCAAAACAGTAGGACGTTAAACCTCATTTCATTTCATTTCAGAACATATATACATGTACAAGCGAATTGGGATTAAAATAATTATATAATAAGAAATGTTAAATTGCAAGGAAACAGATGTTTAAATAGAGAAGACTATATGTAATGAATGTATGGGGTTGAACGTCCGACTGAGCTAATTACAGTGTGTCATGAAGGATATTTTGCCCGGGAAGCGGCACCATGGCCTACTCTTCTATCGAATTCCAGCTGTCAAGTGATTTTTTTTACGTGCACGCCAATGTATACACGGGACCTGCGATACGGCTAGCTTGTTTGCACTGGTCGACTGAACATCTTCATTACGAAACCATAAAAGAAAATAAACTATCTTGATAGACAAATAAAAATAGCTGCTCAACTAAACATAAAAATTAATGAAAATATGGAAGACCAAACAGCTCTTTATTCAGTGTTCTTATTTCTTAGTTCTTAAATCATGGTCCTTAATTCTTATTTCTTCATTTCTATTCTAAAATAGATATTTGTTTCCTAAAATAGATATTTGTTTCCTAAAATAGATATTTGCCTAAAATAGATATTTGTTTCCTAAAATAAATATATATTTGTTTTACAAATTAAACATTAGTGATACCAGATCTGTAAATTGTATCTTTGATTTAATTGTAATTTAATGTCGATATACGCCTTTCTATCAACCTGAAACGATTTTATTATAATTCATCTCCTTACGAAACTATTTATAAAATTATAAGTACATTGTTTAAAATAAGTACATTGAGCCTCGTTTTTTGTTACTTTATCAACTTGTGTTGATACTTTTTGATATAAAAAAAGACTGGTAGGAGATTCTCTATTTATATCAATCTTTAAATTATAAGAAGGAAGGGTTTAGTACAGCTACTGTTTCATCGTTTAGTAAAGTCGTTCCGCGGCCCACCGCTAGCGTCCTCTGTCGTTATGATATTCAGATTAGATTCATTTGGAGAAATGTTTTGGACAATAGTTTTGCAAGATTTGTAAATTAGTCTAATAGTACGTAAATTAGTGTAATAGTGAGTAAAATTAGTGTAATAGTGAGTAAATTAGTGTAATAGTACGTAAATAAGTGTAATAGTACTTTAAATTAGTGTAATAGTGAGTAAAATTTGTGTCATAGTATGGCAAATTAGTGTAATAGTATAGGAAATTAGTGTAATAGTGAGTAAATTAGTGTAATAGTACGGGAAATTAGTGTTATAGTGAGTAAAATTAGTGTAATAGTACATAAAATTAGTGTAATAGTATGAGAAATTAGTGTTATAGTGAGTAAAATTAGTGTAATAGTACGTAAAATTGGTGTAATAGTATGGGAAATTAGTGTTATAGTGAGTAAAATTAGTGTAATATTACATAAAATTAGTGTAATAGTATGGGAAATTAGTGTTATAGTGAGTAAAATTACTGTAATAGTACGTAAAATTAGTGTAATAGTATGGGAAATTAGTGTTATAGTCAGTAAAATTAGTGTAATAGTACGTAAATTTAGTGTAATAGTACGATAAATTAGTGTAATAGTACGGTAAATGATTGTAATATACTAAACACAAAAAACGTCAGTGCGATTTCAAAATCAGAGAGAGACACTTTAATCAAATCATTCTAGAAAACGACTTACTAAATGGATCAAAGCAATTTTTTGTGAAATGTATGTTGACACATTAGTGATTAATTCATCACAATTCCAAGACTCTCATCTGTGAACAGAACAGTTCTCCATTGCCGGTGTGGCCAGTTCTGGTGTTGAGAACACTTCTTGGGCTCAATTCCGTGTTTGGGAAGGAGCCTTATTGCCCAGGTAAAGATGGAGATGTGGTCACACATATACAATAAAACATTTGGCAAGTTTTATGCAATGCGTCTATTCAGAGTAATATACCAACCTGACGTTTCTTTTGCTGCTTAGTATAGTACGGTAAATTAGTGTAATTGAACGTTTAATTGGTGTGGGCAGGACGTTAAATTAGCGTAGATTAGTGTAATAACACATTGAATTAGTGTAATAGTACGCCATAATAATTCTGTTAATTTATAAGCTTTATATCCCAAATCACGATTCATGATTCAATACGGTCGTAATATAAGTATTAAATAGCAAATTACCCATTTGTGTCCATGACCCATCAATTTTATTGGTTTATAATATAAACAAATAAAACATATTAATTGTAAGCACGTACAGTACGGAAAATGAAATGAAATGAAATGGGATTTAATGTCCTACTGTTCTGCTCCTATGCTGGGCTAATGAAGACGGGCATACGCCATACAGTGTGCTATGAGGGAAATTTTGCCCGGGCAGTGGCACTATCGCCTACTCTTATATCGAATTCCAACTGCCAAGGGATCTTTTCGGTGCATTCCAATCTTGGTTTTTCGTCTCATCCGAAGGACTAGACAGCTGTCCTTGTCGGGCCCTCCGTCCTGCATCGCTGACAAGGGGGAACCACGCCGGAAAATCCGGATGAACTTTCTCGGTCAACGCAGGGATCGAACAATACAGTACGGAGGGGGTGGGGGCATGGGGAAAGAGAGTGGGGGCTATTGCAAACTGTTCCTTCAGGCCCTTCAATGTTTTTGTTTCCGGAGCATATCACATAAACCGTCCATGATATCTTTATGAAACTTTGTAAACACATCGACCAATTATAATAATCACAAATTCTTCGAATTTAATATATTTGACTTCATTTTTGAAATGGGGGAGGGGGGGCAAAATGTTTTTGTAATATAGATTTATCAACAGAAAAAAAAATGTTTTTGGCACTTCCCAAACCTTCCGGCATTCTTGCTTTCCAGAAGCCTATTGAAGTGCTGCTTGTGCATGATTTTCTTTTTTTCGGAAAATATCAAATTTCTCACGGCATTATCACCGTTCAGGTTGATTGTTTAATATTTAATTAAAAATAAATATATATCAACTCATAGATAATTTCTCGTTTTGACAATATCTCATTAATAACAGGGTCATTAATTAGATTTCGTGGATTATAATAATCCGCGGATTTGAACCATTTCTATTATAGATTTCACTTTTAGTTTACAAGCGACCCCCCTTCTCTCTCTCTCTCTCTCTCTCTCTATCTCTCTCTCTCTCTCTTATCCCCCAAATCATTTTAATTTATTGTTCTATATCACTCTATCACTCCATTGTGGAAGGTTGTTTTATGTCTTTCAGATATAGTTACGATACCAAACCAAGATGCGTCTTGCACCACGGGAAATAGAGGGTCTGATGGTCTTCCAGGCAGGCTCATTAGCACAGAGACGTCTGGCTCGTGGAATTCGCTTAAATCACCCGGAGGCAGTGGCGCTGATTGCTATACAGGTATACACTATGTCTTTTGTATTTTTGGGAACCACGGTGGTTCGCTAATCCTTAGGTCGCGTGTTCGATGCCTGCATTGGCCGAGGAAGTTCATCGGGATTTTCAGGCGTGGTTACCGCTTGTCATTGGTGTAGAACGGACGGCCTGGCTAGGGACAACGTACATTCGCTCGGCTGGGACGAAAACCGAGATCCCGCTAACACATTTACGTGCACGTAAAAGAACCCTTGACAGTTGGAATTAGATATAATTATAGGTCGTATACGCGCCGCTGTCTGGACCAAAATGTCCCTCATAGCACACTGTATCGTGAATGGCCGTCTTTATTAACCCAGTTGGAGCAGAACAGTAGGAGTTCAACCCCGGTGGCTTTGGGATTTGGTATTCAGTCACTTCTTACAGCTGTGGATTTATACACTGCCCTTCCCGTAATCCAGGGGGGTGGATGGCTGAATGGTGCTGTATCATAAAGTCTGTCATTGAGTCAACTGGCGTGGTTTCGATTCCCCGGTTGTACGTGACAAGGAGTATTATTGAAATAAAATTGAATCATATGTTAGTCCCGAAATGACATTGTTTGTGTTGAGTGGACGTTAAACCCCACTTCTCTCTCTTTCTCACACCTTACAGCTGTGGATTTGTACACTGCCCTTCCCGTAAGCCACAGAAAGAATATGCATGATGCTGTTTATATATTGTAGATGCAAGAATTAACACGAGATGGCTTGTCAGTTTCAGATTTGATGGATCTTGGGAGACAAATGTTAGGTAGTATGAACGGATATTTTACTTGGATATTCTTAACTATCGTAGTTCGTTGGGTATACCCATGAACGGATATTTTTCTTGGGCACTCTTAGATACGGTAGTTGTATGGGTACACCCCTAACTTTTACTCACTAACCAAGCCGCTCAGGGATCGATTCCCGTGTTCTTCGGGATTTCCGAATCGGGTGCCCCCTTTTCGGTGGTGCAGGATTGAGGAACTAGCAAAGAAAAATGTCTAGCTGTTTGGATGGAACGTAAACCCCGGCCCCGTGTACACACTGACTTGACACCAAAGAATCCTTGTAAATGGAATTCGAAATAAAAGTAGACCGTTGCGCTGCTGTCCAGGCAGAATCTTGTTCGTAACTTTGAGGCTATGATAATGATCTTGGGCCTGATTCACCAAAACTAAAATATGTTAAGAATATACCCCTTTCATTGGCTAAGAGCTAAAAATCGTACAAACATTTTAATTCTTAACCAATGAAACGTTTGCATTCTTAATATATTTTTGTTTAAGTTTTTATGATTAAACACCCTGATCTTTTAGTTTTTATCAGTTGGTTAGCTCATAACCGTTTGAACGACTTAGCTGCTAGTTGGCGTATGTTTCGTAGCCTGGCAACCTATGTTTTAATATATTTTTGTAGGTAGGAATCAGGTACTACCTGGAGTTGGTGACATGTTGAATGAGGTACAAGTCGAGGCTACATTCCCGGATGGAACAAAATTGGTAAGATACATTATATACCCACATTTAATATGGTTTTGTATTGTCGTCACCTTCGCCCGACTCTCATTTCGTCGATTCATGCACAAATACTTGTGAACAGGTCTTATCGATTTTTTTTCCTGCACTGTCTAAATGTAAGATAAGATAATACGCAATTGTGTCTTCTTATTTCGTAATAAATCATTATGCAAATGATAAAATAATATATAGAACTAGCGGTTGACTCAGCGTAGCACGTTGATAGTCATGAACCTGAAGTAGCGTTACTTCCCGGTCCTAGCCAATCTGATTAAAATACCGATCTATATTTCGTTTCGTTTTTTTATACTTTCGTTGGCCTACACTACATGAAGATCTGACAAGTTATAGCGATAGGTCACGTTAGGGGTCAAAAGACCGACTTATGACCCTATGACGTCAGACATTTGATTAACCAATCAGCATTGATGTTACTTGTGGATTACCCACAGTTCCGTAAAAAAAGGCGCCTAAAGCTCGCCGTAACAGACCGTTTCATTGGCTTATCCCTGACACCATTCAGAACACGAGTTAAATAACAACTCTTCCAGATCCAAGTAAAACGAAACTATAAAAACGAAACGAAATAGGATCTGTGTTTTAACCAGATTGGGTCTGAGCTACCCATATACACCAAATTTCAGCCTCGGGAGAGCCCTAGTAGCCGACAGCCCTAACAGACAGACACAGACAGACAAACAAACAAGTCACAACTAATAATATAGATATGTGTTGAGTTTGTCTGTAGAATGGATCATACTCGGGTAATTTTGCCTGTTTCTGATAGATGGGTTACGTATTCTGCACAGTGATGGGTCCCAAGGCAACCAGTCGGTCCAAGGGCTCCAAGATACCCAGTCCTCCCGCTGTATGTAGGCCTACGTATGTACTCTTTGATCTATGTTTGCCATCATATGAACTTGGCTCCGAGCACTACTCATCTCCTTAAATAAAAAAAAACAAGGCTGCACCAATTGAAGTAAGATCAACATGGAACTTGGCATGCTTTTCCCTCGGACAATTGTGCATCGATAGACGAACTTCGATTGTTGATATAAAATTACAATTCGATGGCATTATGATTATGGCGGTGACTGGTCCATAGTACGTGCGTAATGTTTGTAGCAGTATTTGGGTGAATTATTATACAATTTCTATGTTTTTAGATAACGGTCCATACACCGATATGTCGAGATGATGGCGATCTCGAGTTGGCTTTATATGGAAGTTTTCTACCGGTTCCAGATAAAGCTGTTTTTGCAGAAGATAATCGGGTATCACTATCATATTGTTTCATTCGGAACTAATCGGTTATCACTATCATATTATTTCATTCGGAACTAATCGGTTATCACTATCATATTATTTCATTCGGAACTAATCGGTTATCACTATCATATTGTTTCATTTGGAACTAATCGGTTATGACTATCATATTATTTCATTCGGAACTAATTGGCTATCACTATCATATTTTTTTCATTCGGAACTAATCGGTTATCGCTATCATATTGTTTCATTCGGAACTAATCCTTAATCACTATCATATTGTTTCATTCGGAACTAATCGCCTATCAATATCATATTGTTTCACTCGGAACTAATCAGCTATCAATATCATATTGTTTCACTAGGAACTAATCGGTGATCACTATCATATTGTTTCATTCGGAATTAATCGGTTATCACTTTCATATTATTTCATTCGGAACTAATCGGTTATCACTATCATATTATTTCATTCGGAACTAGGGGGGTTGGATGGCTGAATGGTTAGCGTGCGCGCGCTGTATCATAAAGTCTGTCATTGAGTCGACTGGCGTGGTTTCGAATCCCCGGTTGTACGTGACAAGGAGTAGGGTCGCCTGTCCAACCTCGTGGGTTTTCTCCCGGCCCTCCGGTTTCCTCCCACTGCTAAAGACCCCTATGCGCAAGCGAATTATTGAAATAAAGTTAAGCCATATGTTAGTCCCGAAATGACCTAGTTTGTGTCGAGTGGACGTTAAACCCCCAATTCTCTCTCTCTCTCTCTCTCATTCGGAACTAATCTTTGAATATGACTGGGTAAAAGAACGGGATACTACTAGTGATTCGATATTTTTGTCATTTTAAGTTGTGTAAATGAACACATGGCACTTGGAATTCGAAGTTAGAGTAGGGCATAGCCCCACAGCGCATAGTAGGCAGTTAAACCCCTTTTATTTCATTTTATTTCAAATAGTCGCAGTTGTTCAGTGAATAAATGCCCTAGACAGTTACTAGTTAAAAGTCGAAATAAGAGTAGGCCGTAGCGCCGCTGTCCTGGCCAAATTTCTCTCATAGCACACTGTATGGTGTATGCCCGTCTTCATCAACCCAGTCGGGGCAGAACAGTAGGACGTTTATCCCCCACCCCCCTTCAGTTCACGTTACGTACAATGCTCGCTGTCGTCCAAACACTAGCTGTTCTGCTCCGACTGGGCTACCCCAATCCCTAACCCATTATTGACAAAAAATGTCCCAAGGTATCTTGTTCCCTTTGGCCATTCATATTGGAGAAATACTCCATGACAGCGATATTTTATGGTCGAATAAACACGTGAAATAATACCACGCGTGTAGAAAGGTAGTAAATATATACAATGGCTGACATTGGATATTTGGTTATGGGGGTGGGGGTGGGGGCGGGGGGGGGGGGGGTCCGGTGCTCCGAGACTATTTTAAAAAATCGGGGGTGTCAATATTGATTTATGGGCATATTTGAACCCGAATATAACATTCAATTTCATCAGCTACATAGCACGGATAAATCTATTTGTTAAGGCCAGCTCGCTGAGATGTAAATAAGGTTAGGGCACGTGATTGTTGGTGTGATTGTAGGTCAGGGTTAGGGTAAGCATCGGGGCTAGGTCCAGGATTAGTGTTAGGCTTGGGATTGGCGCTATCCCTGTTTACATCTCGTGACCTATGACGAAAAATTGAGCCGGCCTTATCATTTAGCACTAACCGCTACATCACCCCAACCAAGGGGTGTTGGACGGCCGAATGGTTATCACGTGCGTGCTATTTCATGAGGTCTGTCATTGAGTCAACTGGCGTGGTTTTGATTCCACTTTTGTACGTGACAAGGAGTAGGGTCGCCTGTCCAACCGCGTGGGTTTTCTCCGGGTCCTCTGTTTTCCTCCTCCTGCTAAAGACCCCTAAACGCAAGCGAATTATTGAAATAAAAAAATAAACCGTGTGTTAGTCCCGAAATGACCTAGTTTGTGTCGAGTGGACGTTAAACCTCATTTCTCTCTCTCTCCGCCACTGAATATAATATTGCATAATATCTACAGTATAAATTATATATATATAGTCGACCCTTTACTTTTATATCTATTTTTAAAACCCCTTGACACGGTTGAAAACACGATTCAAGTGGCCATATCTAAACTACTTTAAAAGTACAACAAACAATTGTTACCTATGTGGAGAGAGGCGAATGGGGTTTAACATCCAACTCGACACAAACTAGGTCATTTCAGGACTAACAAGTCGTATGTTTTATTTCAATAAGTCGCTTGTCTATATAGCTGTGGTTGGAAACCAGAAGACTCGGAGAAAACCCCAAGAGACTGAACATGCGACCCTTATACTTCTTGTCAGGTATAAGCGGGAAATGGAAACTAATCTATTGCAGTTGATTACATGACAGACCTGATGTAACGCGCGCGTTAAATCATACCCGCACGCCCACCCCGTTATCTGTTTACTCATATGGCGATTCACAGGGGTAGCTGCTGTGCATCAGTGAGTAAGGCGCTGGATCGCTAACCTGGAGGTTCCGAGTTTGACCCTATTTCGCTCTCATTACATGACTACATTTGCCATTATTCTATAATTACACGCACGCCAATTCGCCATGTTTATATAATTACACGCACACTTATTCGCCATTTTTCTATAATTACACGCACACCAATTCGCCATGTTTATATAATTACACACACACTAATTCGCCATTATTCTATAATTACACGCACGCCAATTCGCCATGTTTATATAATTAATTCGCCATTATTCTATAATTACACGCACGCCAATTCGCCATGTTTATATAATTACACACACACACTAATTCGCCATTTTTATATAATTACACGCACACCAATTCGCCATGTTTATATAATTACACACTCACTAATTCGCCATTATTCTATAATTACACGCACGCCAATTCACCATGTTTATATAATTAATACGCCATGACTACATTTGCCATTATTCTATAATTACACGCACGCCAATTCGCCATGTTTATATAATTACACACACACTAATTCGCCATTATTCTATAATTAGGCGCACGCCAATTCGCCATGTTTATATAATTAATTCGCCATGACTACATTTGCCATTATTCTATAATTACACGCACGCCAATTCGCCATGTTTATATAATTACACGCACACTAATTCGCCATTTTTCTATAATTACACGCACACCAATTCGCCATGTTTATATAATTACACACACACTAATTCGCCATTATTCTATAATTACACGCACGCCAATTCGCCATGTTTATATAATTAATTCGCCATTATTCTATAATTACACGCAGGCCAATTCGCCATGTTTATATAATTACACACACACTAATTCGCCATTTTTATATAATTACACGCACACTAATTTGCCACTGAATACTGTTTTAATTGGAATAAATAATTCACGTATCTTTTATTTTCAAGACATCTTTAGCAAGTGTAACCCGAAACAAGTATGCACCAAATTCTATTTCTGGTAAAACATCTGGTACTGTTGTGGCTCCTGTTGATGTTATTCCCGGGGAACTGGTCACTAGAGCTGGTGAAATAGTCCTTAATAAAGGCAGAAAAATGGTGGCTTTAAAAGTTACCAGTGTGTGCGATCGTCCTATACAGGTATGTTTCTTCTCTGTTGAATAACCAAGGGAAAACGTATAGTCGTTCGGATTGGACGAAAAATCGAGGTCCCGTGTACACATTGTGCACGTAAAAGATCCCTTGACAGTTGAAATTCGATATAAACTATGTGAAGGACGGAGGGCCTGGCAAGGACAGCTGTCTAGTTTTCGAATTGTACGAAAAATCGAGGCCACGTGTACACATTGGCGTGCACGTAAACGATTCCTTGGCAGTTGGAATTTGATATAAGAGTAGGCAGTAGCGCCGCTTTCCGGACAAAATTCCCCTCATACCACACTGTATGGCTATGCCCGTCTTCATTAGCCCAGTCGAAGCAGAACAGTAGGACGTTAAGCACTATTTCATTTAACTTCATCTACATAATAATGTACCATAGATAACTGTAAATGGTTGTTTTGTAGGTTGGATCTCATTACCATTTCATAGAAGTGAACAAGTTCCTCATATTTGACAGAAAACAGGCATATGGCATGAGATTGGTAGGTCTTATTCTTTATACTTGTTGAACGAACAATAATTTATTTATAAAGTGGGGGGGGGGGGGTGAATGGCCGAATGGTTAGCACGTGCGTGCTGTATCATAAGGCCTGTCATTGAGTCAACTGGCGTGGTTTCGAATCCTCGGTTGTACGTGACAAGGAGTTGGGTCGCCTGTCCAACCTCGTGGGTTTTCCCCGGGTCCTCCGGTTTCCTCCCATTGCTAAAGACCCCTACGCCCAATCGAATTATTGAAATAAAATTGAACCATATGTTAGTCCCGAAAGGACCTCACTCTCTCTATTTATAAAGTATGATTGTCGAATGAAGAAAAAGAACTGGTGCAAGATTAAAGATACATTATGTAAGATTTAGATAAAGAGATCGCCATTCTTGCTATAATAGTTCGAAAATAGATCATGCAAAAAGAATATATTGAAAATTACATTCAAATTACTCCCTTGCAAGCGAAGATATTAGCCTGTGAAGGTTTGACAAGATGTGTGCATTAATTGCAACCACCGTACTGGTTGTTCGAAGCAAAGCCTCGATTTTCCATTTGTAATTAAATCAAAATATGGCTGAACCGTTCAAATCTACTTAATACCCGAGATATCAGATGGCATCGAGAGTTGACTATGGTCTTGTCATGTTAATAAATGTCTAATTAATAGTTTATATAAAAAATACCTGCAATAGGCAGATTTAGCTCCTGCATAATGTATGTTTAAGTAAGGAAGCCTATATGACATTGTGCTCGTGGGTAAACATATACACAGAATGATGGGAAGATTTATTAATTCCCATGGTATAAAAGAATTAGGGTACTAAGTATTGTAATTCTCTGGTGCTATTAACGAGTAATGAAGTATGAATGTTACTGGATAATTGTGTCTGTACTTCAGAACATACCAGCCGGAACAGCTGTAAGATTTGAACCTGGTGATACAAAGACTGTAACTCTTGTAGCCATAGCAGGAAATCGGTAAATATTTATTATTAACACAAGTGTTGTGTATGGTGGCTGATCGGTATCATGTCGCGATGTCGACCGTCATAAGGCGACAACCCGACATCACGCCATTTTCACCCGACAAAACATTTTCACCCGACACCACGACGTTGAAAATGTTGTAATGTCGCTTAAAAGTGTCGTATTGTAATATCGTGATGTTTGTTAAAATGTCGTGATATCAGGTTGTCGGGTTGTCCTGATGTCGGGTTAAAAGGCGTGATGTCGGGTTGTCGCCAGTCACCATAGTTGAATAGATTCCAAATCCCGATTTTGTCGATTAATACCTTTTTATACTCCCACATTTTCATGTGGACGTATATTGTCGTCGCCCCTGTCCGTCCGTCCGTCCGTCCACAATTGTTTGTGAACAGTCTACAGGTCACAATTTTTATCCGATTTCAATGAAATATAGGTTTATCACCCTAAGATCTCGGTTCCTTTCGATATTGGCATGTATTGGACCGTAACTTCATGGATTATGGCCCCTGATTGCACGAAAAATCACGTTTTTAGCTTGTGAACACTGTAGAGGTTACAATTTTTATCCGATTTGGTTCAAACTTGAAATGTAAGTTTATAACCCAAAGATCTGGGTTCCTTTCGATATTCGCGCATATCGGACCGTAACTTCCTGAATTATGGCACCTGATTGTTCGACAAATCGCGTTTTTAGCTTGTGGACCCTATAGAGGTCATAATTTTTATCCGATTTAAAAAAAACGTATTATTATATCACCGTTACACCCTAAAGACGGCTGAGTTCGAATTTCGTGAAAATCGGCCCAAAACTGACAGACAAAATGGCCGCCCCTCGTTCTCAAATTGCGTAAAAATATGGTATATCAAGGTTGTGGACCCTATAGAGGTCACAATTTTTATCCGATTTTGTTGAAACTTGAAATGTAAGTTTATAACCCAAAGATCTTGGTTCCTTTCGCTATTCGCGCATATCGAATTGTAATTTCCTGAATTATGACCCTTGATTGTAGGAAAAATCACTTTCGTTTTACACTGTTAAAAATATTTTGGTTATTTTACCCTAAAATTACGGGCAGCAAAAGTTGCCCCTAAATCATAGGTAAAATTACACCATTAGTTATTTAACAATTTACTGTAGAAGGACACATCTGTTAATTTACATTTCTTGTAAAAATACATCACAATGTTAATTTACATTTCTTGTAAAAATACATCACACTGTTAATTTACACTTTTGTTAAAAATACTAATATTGGTAATTTTACATGCAAGATTCGAGCAATAGCCCCGGTGTAAAATATTTCGTATTAATATCACTTCAATATATATTGAATATCGATAATCCTGTTTGGTAGACGAGAGCATGGTTCCAGGTTTTCAGATGTAAGCTCGCGGTACTATCTATTTGCAGGCATTATAACCCTGTTTTACAGACAGTCCGGCTCAACTAACACTGGCCAATCGGTTTAATTTACCGTCTTCAAGTGAACTTGAAAACGAGATAATACAACCTACGGCCAGAAAGTCAAAACATTTTTTTATGCATTTAAGAAGATACTTACAAACTGATTAACGTACGCTAAATATCAATACACTTTATAGATCTTATAAATAATGGAAACTAGATATACATGACATGCAATATACTAAATTTACAAGATGTGATTGTCCATATTATGGTTAATAAATTGAAATGAATACCATATGAAGATAATTATTAGGAATGTTTCGTTTCTATGGAATACTAAAATACAATAAGAGATAGTAAATTTACCGAATAAGTAAATTTACCGAATAAGTAAATTTACCGAATAAGTAATAAGTAAATTTACCGAATAAGTAAATTTACAAAATAACGTGAATAAACGTAAGTCTGTAAAATGACATGCTGGCTATGTTATTTTCCGTTCAATATTTTAAGGTAAAAACAAATTCTTTAACTGCTGTAATTTTACTTATATTTCTTACCTAAAAGTAAATTACATAATAATGTGAACAACCGTAAAATCTGTAAAGTAACACGCTTGCTGCGTTACTTTCAGTTCAATTTTATTACATTATATGTATTTTTACAGGATTTTGAATATGTCTTTGATTCCATCGCCACTTATTGTCAAAAAGACATGAAACTCGATAAACATACTTGAAACTCGGTAAAAATACATTAGACTTGGTAAAAGTAGTATATGTTGTAAAATATACCGATAATTGAGGTACAAAAAACCCTTGTACTACTGTAATTTTACATACATTTCTGACAGTTTACCTGGTGGTTGTCGTAACATCATTTGCTATTTGGTTGTGGACTTCAACGGTCACTGTTAATTGGTTGTGTGTTGAGAAATGTTAACAAAAATATTTCAAGGTTTGCTTTCATTACTATTGAATAAAACATTTCTGTGATTTCAATATTTTACGACAACCAATTTGGGCTACGGTATATAGCTTGTTTTCTATCCATCTCTCGAAAATGTGGGCGTATCCTGCCTGGCAGCCGCTGGTTTACAAATAGAACGGCTAGCGGTTCAATATCTCATCAACTCTTTACTGACGTCATTTAAACTCGAATACACGGTAACTTTATTCTCTATGCCCTATGATAAGCTGTGCACAGACGGGCGGGGGTGAGGGGCAGGGGAATTCGTATGCAAGGGATAGTGATTTTTTCCGAACAGAGGAGAGGAGTTTCCTTATGTTTTTCTTAGAATTTTAACTGCCAAGATATTTTTTACCTACACCGGATATCGGTTTTCCATCAAATCCGAACGGCTAGACCTGCACCCTCCGCACAGAATTACCTCCCCTGACAAGTGAGAAGTATGCAATATATTTATAATTATTATATTTTAAGAGTCATTCATGGTGGTAACGGTTTATGTAGTGGTCCAGTAAACGAAGCCTCAATCTTGTCAATATTCGATCAACTGGTAGAGAAACAGTTTGGACATCAAGAACAAGTAAATATTAGTCTTTATACACATAGATCTATATTACTATTATATACATCGCCTCTTTAAAATAGATTTAGACTATATGAGAGAGAGAGAGAGAGAGAGAGAGAGAGAGAGAGAGAGACGTCCACTCGACATTTCGGGACTAACACATGGTTCAATTTTATTTCAATATTTCGCTTGGGCGTAGGGGTCTTTAGCAGTTGGAGGAAACCGGGGGACCCTGAGAAAACCCACGAGGCTGGACAGGTGACCCTACTCCTTGTCACGTACAACCGGTAAATCGAAACCCCGCCAGTTGACTCAATGACAGACCGTATGATATAGCACGCACGTGTTCACCATTCGGTCACCAACCCCCCCTATAAAAGTTGTGTAATAGTATGGTGGACATGGTGCCTTCAATACATTTTTTTCAATTTGTATTAAATTTGTTCCCAATCTGATTAAAATACAGATATATATTTCGTTTCGTTTTTTTTATACTTTCGATGACCTACACTACATGAAAATCTGAATGGTTGTAGTGGGAGGTCGCGTCATAGGTTATACGAGCGACTTTTGAACCTATTACCTCAGACATGTGATTAACCAATCAGCTTTGATGTTTCTAGTAGGATACCCACAGTTCCGTGCATCGCATGCCAAGAACTCACTACAACAACCCGTTTCATTGGCTAATCTCTCACACCAACCAAAACGCGAGTTATGTAACAACTCTTCCAGACCCTTGTATAGTAAAGACAAGCTGGTCGATTTGCCCAAATTTTTACACCTTTCGCATCGGTACGAAAACGAACATATGTTCGTTTACGTTTTCGTATCCTCTAACACGCGGTTTCGCAATCCGACGTAAGATAATAGCTAGATGGCGTTAATTTCCACTCCATGAACTTCTCGGTCAAGTCAAAGTTTTCAATCGATTTTTTGGCAGATGTACAACAAATCAAGTAGAATATTGCTTTTGAGCACATTCTACGAACTCTACACAATCAACAATATACACAAAGCATCGAAAAATGGTGGAAAATTCATTATATGAGACAAGAAACGTATTCGTTTGCATACCTACTAAATCCAGCTCCATACGCGTAACGTTTTTCAGTGGCCGAACACTCATTACGGATTGATGTTACAGGTACACACGAATCGGTGACGTTTTCGTTTTCGTTTTCGTATTCGTTTTCGTACCGATGCGAAAGGTCCACGAGTACGAACATATTTCCAACACCGAGCTAACTTAACAGAAATATGGCTGTTTTAATAACAAGGTTGTTTATGAAGGATTTTGGTTAATTTAGATTAATTTTCCATCCTTGACCATCTTGCCGGAATGTAGGAAAGTGCACTCCACACCACACCCCAACTCCGCATCCCAACTCCCTCGGAATGTTTCGCACAAGATTGGTTGTCCAGTGTGTGTTCAATCTGTGTTTTTCTAGATTGTATATTGCTAATAAAATAATTTTTTTTACAGAAAGAGGTTCTTCCTATTCGAGCAACTACTATATCTCATGGTTTATATGCACGAACGTATGGTCCTACTACAGGTGATAAGGTAAGGCTTCATATAACAATCGTAACATTCTAACCACGTATGGTCCTACTACTGCATCCCAAACTTAGGCTGTCTGACTACAGTTAGCTCCACCTGAGAACAGGTACTCTCGAGATATGATGTAGATAGATCACTGGGTGCAGTATGCTACTGCTGGTGATAAGGTAAGGCTTCATACAACAACCGTGGGTCCGTGGGTACGGGACAATTTGTCCCCTGACAACTCGTTGCCGGACAATTCGTCCCGTAGGACTTTTCGTCCCCTGGGACTATTCGTTCCTGGATAATTTGTCCCCAGGACGAATAGCCCTATTGGATGAATAGTCCTATGGAACTAATATTCCCGATACGAATTGTCTGGGGAGGAATTGTCCTCAAGGACGAGTTTGCTGGTAACGAATTGTCCGGGGACGAATTGTTCAGGGACGAATTGTGCTAGAGCCAACAATCGTAACATTTTACCCCCCCCCCCACGTCTTTAATACAAAATGTTGATAGTATATTTATAGAGTATATTATATTTATATAGATTAGGTTAGGAGACACGAGTTTGTTCATTGAAGTGGAGAAAGATTTTACAGTTTATGGTGATGAATGTACCTTCGGTGGTGGTAAGGTGAGTTTCGAACCAATACGAATTAATAATCTAATAAAATCAGAGATAATTATAGTCAGTAACTAAAAGTTATACTCTTTAACTATTAATGCAGGACGGAGGTCCTGACAAAGACAGCCGTCTAGTCGTTCGTATGGGACGAAATACCGAGGTCCCGTGTACACATTAGCATGCACATAAAAGATCCTTTGACAGTTGGAATTCGATATAAGAGTAGGCCGTATAGTGCCGCTGTCCGGGCAAAATTTCCCTCATACTCACACACTGTATGGCGTATGCCCGTCTTCATTAGCCCAGATCGGAGCAGAACAGCAGGACGTTAAACTCTATTCGATATAAGAGTAGACCGTAGCGCCGCTGTCCGGACAAAATTCCCCTCATAGCACACTGTATGGCGTATGCCCGTCTTCATTAGCACAGTTCGGGGCAGAACAGTAGGACGTTAAACTCCATTTCATTTCATTTAATTTCTTTAACTAGTTTAAACGGTATTCTTTTATTATTTTTGAACACAAATTTTATATTCGTTTTTATTCGGATTTTGCGAAAAGGATCCGCGATGGCTTTTGCCTTGGGTATGACACTTGCTCATGAAAGTAAGGGGTTCAATCCCGATTTTGGTCGTGAGTTCCTCGGAATTTTTCAGTCTATTTTTCCTGTGTCAGCATGGAGGATCCGGTACATCGGATGGAACGAAAAATCGGATATATCACTGGCACAATTGGAAATCTAATTAAGAGTAGAGGCCGTACCGCCGCTGTATGGGCAAAATTTCCTTATAACACCCAGTATGCCGTATGCTAGTCTTCATTAGGACGTTAAACCCCATTCCACATCATTAATCCAGACCACTGTCTGCTCGTATTTATGTCACTTGACAATGTCTGTCAGTGTACTGTCCATCTATCGTTGAAGGAAAGGATGAATCACCTGGATTTGGTTTGATTTCAGGTATTACGAGAAGGAATGGGTCAAGCTGCCAACAGATCGAGTAAGGAAGTATTAGATACTGTCATTACTAATGCTTTGATAATAGACGCTAAAACTGGTATCATAAAAGCTGATGTTGGCATCAAGGTAAACGAGTTTCTCATATATTATATACCCCAGCACTTTCTTAAAACGTCCTAGTGTCTAGTCTGTCGGAGGGAACAAAAAGCCGAAGCAGATGCCTTGATTAATGGAATTCGACGGAGTATAGGTGGAAACTACTACTGTCTGGAAAACATTTCCCTCACAGGACACTGCTTGATTCATTAGCCCGATTTGCTAGGGAGGGTTCTAGTGCTTTAACGCGTGCGCGTGAAATTTTAAGGCCTGTCATTAAGTGGTTTTGATTCTTTGGTTGTACGTGACAAGGAGTAGGATCGCCTGTCCAACCTCGTTGATTTTCTTTGGGTCCTCCGGTTTCCTCCCACTGCTAAAGACCACTACCGGTAAACAAATTTTTGAAATAAAATTGAACCATGATAGTCCCGGAATGACCTAGTTTGTGTTGAGTGGACGTTAAACTCTCTCTCTCTCTCTCTCTCTCTCTCTCTCTCTCTCTCTTCAGCGAAAATAGGCAAAATATTTTTCTGCCGTTTTTATTCATCATAGTGACCAAACTTTGACCCATAGTTCTCCCAGTCCACTGGATATTATTCGTATGACCACTCCGCCCTGTTTGCTGTTAGATCAGTGATATTATTCGTATGACCGTTCGCTGTTCATTCAGAGATATTATCCATGAACTTAAAATATGAGGAAACAGTCGATTCGGTGTTTCTAGATGTTTGTAGGGTAATATTCTATTTTTGATGTTTGTTTGGTTTTTTTATATTTATGTAGGATGGTCGAATTGTTGGAATAGGGAAAGCTGGAAATCCTGATGTCATGGAAGGTGTTGATAAAGTAAGCCTAGTATAAACATGTGACAGACCTATCATTTGATTACACCCTCACCCTCATTCCCCATCCCCCTCACCCTCATTCCCCGTCCCCCCACCCTCATTCCCCCCCCTCCACCAATTTCTTTCACTTGAATTTGTATTCTTTACAATGTCCGTGCGTGATGTGCCCTGTGTCGGCTATATTTTTTACAATGTCCGTGTCTGATGTGTGTGGTGTCCATGGGTTTTGTCTCTTGTGTATCTGCTTGTGTGTGGTGTGGTCCACCTGTATTTACTCTTACACTAACATTCTATATTGTGCACAGGAGCGTAGCCACGGTGAAGAAAGGGTCAAGAACGATCATAAGGGTAGTTTAAGCGGTACCCTTAATAAAATTTGTAGTCGAAATGGGCTGTAGTCGAAATGGGACGTAGTCGAAATGGGAGTGAACCGTTTAAGCCGTGTTCTCGTTTGCCATGTGTAACGCGTATTGGACAGACATGGGAAGTCTGACAATTCGTTCAAATACTACGCAAAACCAACCATCACCTGTAGGGCATTCTGAGTGCTGTGAAAAAATTATAGAACTTCTTTGTTAACAATTTCTGTTTACAGAATCTAATTATTGGTGCGTGTACTGAAGCCATAGCAGGCGAAGGGTTGATATTAACGGCCGGTGCTATTGATGCACATGTACATTTTATATGTCCACAACTTGCTAGAGAAGCTTTAGCTGCTGGTATAACTACACTAGTTGGTGGAGGAACTGGTCCAGCTACTGGTACTTGTGCTACCACATGTACACCAGGCCCTAATCATATCAAGTATGTCTAGTTTTTTACTGTCATTGTCGTGACAAATCAAGTTGGATGCCTTGATAAAATGTGGATTTTATGATAGAAACTTGTCGGTGTCATGATGAAACCATGTCGGCATCGTGACAAAAATCTTGTCGCGTCATGATAAAACCTTGTCGGCGTCATGATGAAACCATGTCGATGTCATGATAAAACCGTCTCGATGTCATGATAAAACCTATGTTGGTGTCATGATAAAACCGTTACGACGTCATGATAAAACCGCCTCGATGTCACGATAAAACCATCTCGATGTCATGATAAAACCTATGTTGGTGTCATGATAAAACCTTATCGATGTCATGATAATACCTTATCGATATCATGTTAAAAATCTTGTCGCCGTTATGATAAACCTTGTCGACTTCATGATAAAACCTTGTCGATGTCATGATAAATCCGTCTCATCCTGATAAAACCTTGTCGATGTCATGATAAAACCCAGTCGACGTCATGATAAAACCTTGTCGACGTCATGATAAATCCGTCTCATACTGATAAAACCTTGTCGATGTCATGATAAAACCTTGTCGACTTCATGATAAAACCTTGTCGATGTCATGATAAATCCGTCTCATCCTGATAAAACCTTGTCGATGTCATGATAAAACCCAGTCGACTTCATGATAAAACCTTGTCGACTTCATGATAAAACCTTGTCGATGTCATGATAAATCCGTCTCATCCTGATAAAACCTTGTCGATGTCATGATAAAACCCAGTCGACGTCATGATAAAACTTGTCGACTTCATGTTAAAACCTTGTCATGTCATGATAAATCCGTCTCATCCTGATAAAACCTTGTCGATGTCATGATAAAACCCAGTCCGATGGCATGATAAAACATTGTCGATGTCATGATAAAACCGTTTCGATGTCATGATAAAACCTTATCGATGTCATGATAAAAACTCTGTTGCCGTCATGATAAACCTTGTCGACGTCATGACAAAACCATGTCGGTGTCATGATAAAAATAGATTACATCTGGCGGTCGCTGTCAGAGACGACATTTCCTCGTGGCATACTGCATGGCGTAAGGCTAACCGCCATTTCATCTCCTAATTGACGTTTTAATTTCAGACACATGCTTCAAAGTACAGACGCTTTTCCTTTAAATTTTGGTTTCACTGGTAAAGGCAATACATCAGCACCGGGAATAGCTGTTGACTTAAAAGAACAGATTTTGGCTGGAGCGATTGGGTAAAGGACCAATGTATAAGATTTATCGAAATAATCATTGCTAGGTTTAAACTAGGCTTGTGCCCAAACCTGTAGCAGGAACTGGGGGTGTCCAGTAAAGACAAGGTTGCGGTCTTGTGTCAGTTGAAAATTTCATGACTGTAGATAATAAACCAGTCAGAAATTCATCAGAAGGCTTGAACACAAGAGCGTGGTACTGAACCTTTGGCATTAGACCCTTCTGTCTATCAGATGGTTTTCTTCCAAATTTATATTGCCCATGTATCATGATGTTTGGTAATACTATATGTATATGCACATAACGGACGACTGGGTGGCAGTATGACCCAATCGCTGACCCCGTGAGTGTTCCACCTCGGGCTCGAGAATTTTGGGTTTTTTTAAACTGACTGTAAATGGTGCTTTCTAGGGTATATCCTTGTGTTTCTAGCGTGTACTACCAGTTTAGCATGTGGCCGCCATACCAGTCCATCAAATACGTAAATACAAGACTAAAAAGGGCCCCCAAATTAAAAAAAGGACCCCTGAACTACGGGAAAGCTTCTTCTGGTGGCCGCGCCCACGAGCTTGCCCTTCTCACAGTTATGTCCACCCCCTGATGCACAAAATATATACATAATGTATGGCGTGCACGTAAAAGATCCCTAGTGCTGCTGCCAGGACAAAATGTCCCTCATAGCACCCTGTATGGCGTATGCCGTCTTCATTAACCCATTCAGAGCAGAACAGTAGGACGTTAAACCCCGCTTCACTTCGTTCAGTTTTCAAAGTTCATCGAACAATTAATTCACTTTTAGCAAGTACTACAATTTCTTTCCGGCGGACGATAGCCGAAACATTTCTGCGTATGCCCGTCTTCATTAGCCCAGTCGCCGGAGTAGGACATTAAACCCCATTTCATTTCATTTCATTTATATACATAATGTAGCTCGAGTTTTGTATTTTAGATTGAAATTACACGAAGACTGGGGAACAACACCGTCTGCTATCGACACGTGTTTACGTGTTGCAGAAATATATGACGTTCAGGTAAAATCATCATGACCTCTAATTCATGCTCCCTTGTATAATGGACAGATAGAAAGACAACCCTATTTGTCTATTCAACGTCATTATACCAAATATTAACATGCTTTACCAGGGCCGTAACTAGCTCAGAGCAACGAGAGGGAAGGGAAGTGTTCTCAGGGGTGCTGTAAAATTGACGGACAATGTATATCTATTGTTTTTATGGTCAACAATTTTTTCACGGGGGGAAGGGGGGCGGCGAAACTTTTTGCAGGCCCCCACCCCCCAATAGTTACGGGCCTGTGTCACGTAAAAAACAGTTTGGAATGTAGAATGTTCCAAAGAGTCCGCAAATTGAAAAAACCTCGTGGCTTTTCTCCGGTTTCCTCCCACTACTAAAAACCCTTACGCGCAATCGAATTATTGAAATAAAATTGTACCATATGTTAGTCCCGAAATGACCTAGTCTGTGTCGCGTGGACGTTAAACCCCATTTCTCTCTCTCTCTCTCTCTCTAAGGGCCATGCTGGTCGAGCAGTACGATATTGAACTGAACTATTGACTAGAATGTCCCTGTATCGAATCCCGGCGTTTCAAGCCAGGGGTGGTGCCTTTTGGGCCGACGGAAAAACTGTACTTGGCCTTTCGAATGGGTTCTTGGCCATTCGAATGGGTTGGAAATCGACATTCAGCCGTGTACACGACAGTAGGCTGAAACGCGATGATCTCGACAAAATCTCCACAAGTAACCATTTAATAAAATATAGGTAAAAATAGTGTCCACAAGACTTTTAAAAATCTTATTTCATTTGTCTTTTCGTTTGGGAGCCACAGTGGCTGTGCGAGTAAGATGCCGGCTTGCTAGTCTGGAGGTCGCGAGTTCGAACCCGATGTTGGCCGAGAAAGGTCATAGGGATTTTCCAGCGTGATTTCCCTAGTCATTCGGATGGTATGAAAAACAGAGGTCCCATGTACACATTGGCGTGCCCGTGAAATATCCCTTGGCAGTTGGAATTCGATATAAGAAAAGGTCATAGCGTCGCTCTCCGGGCAAAATTCCCCTCACAGCACACTGTATGGCGTATGCCCGTCTTCGTTAGCCCAGGTTAGGAGCAGAACAGTAGGATGTTAAGCCCCATTTCATTTCATTTCATTTCATTTCTTTAGGTTATGATCCATACCGATACGTTGAACGAGTCATCGTGTGTTGAACAGAGTATAGAAGCCTTCAAGGGTCGTACAATACATGCTTACCATTCAGAAGGTGCTGGAGGTGGCCATGCTCCTGATATAATTAGAGTTTGTGGTGTGAAGAATGTTCTGCCTTCCAGCACGAATCCTACCAGACCGTATACTATAAATACTATAGACGAACATCTAGACATGTTAATGGTCTGTCATCATTTGAACAAGTACGTACATCTATTGTTTAATTGGGGGTGGCGCAGTGCCTAAGGCGCTGGCTAACTACCCTGCATTATTTTCGCTTGCCAGTAGTACGGGGTGGATAGCCCGTCAAGGGACTAGTCATTCGGATGGCACGATAAACCTAAGTCCCATGCACGTAAAAGATTAGACGGAAACGCTCGGGCAAAATTCCCCTGTGACAATGTATGGCTTATATCATGTCTCCATTAGCCCGGTTGATGACCACAAGTGGGACGTTAAACCATATTTGCCTTCACTTGATTTCATTCCTTATTGGAAGGAATGGATCTGTAATCTTTCCTTTGGCGGCGGGGGTGGGGTGGGGGTTAACGCTTGCACATTGCATCATTAGATCCCTGGTTTTCTTCCACTACTAAAGAAATAAAATTGAATTATATGTTAGTCCCGAAATGACCTTGGTTGTGTTGCGTTGACGTTAAATTCTCCCTCTCTCTCTCTCTCTCTTTAGTTTCTGTTACGGCGAGTTTTGGGCGTGGGTAAACGGAACTGTGGGTAACCCACTAGAAACATCAACGCTGATTGGTTACTCAAATGTCTGACACCATGGGGTCAAAAGTCGCACGTCTGACCCTTACGCGACCTCCCACTACAACCGGTCAGATCTACATGTAGTGTAGGCCTTCGAAAGTATAAAAAAACGAAACGAAATATCTATACTAATATTTGTGACTGTCGTTTGTCTGTCTGTCTGTTCGGGGTTGGCGGCTACATTAGGTCTGCCCCGAGTCTGAAATTTGGGGTATAGGTGTAGCTCGGACCGGGGAGTAACATAGGCCAGGTGGCGTTAGTCTACCACTTCCGGTTTTGGAGTTATGACCCCCGAGCGAAGCCGGTCTGTTCGGGGTTAGCGGCTACACTACGTCTGCCCCGAGTCTGAAATTTGGGGTATATTGGTAACTCGGACCGGGGAGTAACATAGGCCAGGTGGCGTTAGTCTACCACTTCCGGTTTCGGAGTTTTGACCCCCGAGCGAAGCCGGGCATTCTTCTATATTTTAATCAGATTGTGTTTCTATCTCGAACTTTCCAGGAACCTAAAAGAAGATGTAGCGTTTGCTGAATCTCGTATTAGAGATGAGACGATAGCCGCAGAAGATATTCTACATGATATGGGCGCCATTAGTATGATGGCGTCCGATTCTCAGGTATCTCCATCCGTAGATGAAAGTAGCTAAGTCTCTTACTCAATATCATCCAAAATCGTCGACATTGAAAACACGAATTATTTGTCAATTTAAATCAACATTGATGTTGTGATTTTACGGGGGAAAGATGGGCTTCTCATATCCAGTAATTAAGACAAAATAAACATTTTACCGTTACCATGGTGCATTTCAGCGCCATTTTTAACAAGGGACTTTTTCTATTTTTCTTTCATGTTCTCTTATCTAGTGACAGTCAATTTTGTTTATGAATTGTCAGATATCCTTTCACAGTCCCATACAACAACTTTTGGTCTTCGAAGGAATTATTAGTGAGCAGAAATTCGCCCATGTACCTGTTATCACCCGTCAATTCAGTCAGTTATAATAGAGGGATAACTCGTGTTTTCCTTTTGCGTTCGTCACTTCCTATTGTTGAAACATTGATTACCCATCCATCGTAGCAATGATCTCTGTAATAAAATTATATTTGGAACGTGTTTAACCAGTTCTATCACATATGTGATAATGACTGGCACCAATATTGTCCTTTAAATGATCTTTATTTATATTATTCTATTTTCAACACAATATCCTGTCATTCACAAGGGGATCACGTGGTTAAGTGGGTAAGACGCTGGCTCGCTAGCCTGGAGATCGGGTGTTCGATCCCTGCATTGGCCGAGAAAGTTCATCCAGGTTATCCGGCGTGGGTCCCAACTTGTCAGTGATGCAGGACGGAGGGCCTGACAAGGACAGCTGTCTAGTCGTTCGGATGGGACGAAAAACCGAGGTCCCGTGTGTATTGGCGTGCACCTAAAAGATCCCTTGACAGTTGGAATTCCATATAAGAGTAGGCCGTAGTGCTGCTGTTCGGGCAAAATTTCCCTCATAGCCCAATTCGGAGCAGAACAGTAGGACGTTAAACCCCATTTCATTTCTGTCATTCACATATATCTCCACCATTTGTCAAACTGACTACGGTAACAGATGTAACAGTACAGTAGAATCTGTATTACGCAGCCACTCAAGGGAATTCCCATGACTGGCCGCTTAACTGAAGCGAGAGAGAGAGAGACAAATGGGGTTTAACGTCCACTCGACACAAACTAAGTCATTTCGGGACTAACATATGGTTTAATTTTATTTACATAATTCGCTTGCGCGTAGGGGTCTTTAGCAGTGGGAGGAAACCGGAGGACCCGGAGAAAACCCACGAGGTTGGACAGGCGACCCTACTCCTTGTCACGTACAACCGGGGATTTGTAACCAGCCCAGTTGACTCAATGACAGACCGTATGATACCCGGAGAAAACCCACGAGGTTGGACAGGCGACCCTACTCCTTGCCACGTACAACCGGGGATTCGAAACCACGCCAGTCGACTCAATGACAGACTTTATGATACAGCGCGCACACGCTAACCATTCAGCCATCCAACCCCCCTTAACTGAAGCGACCTGTTAATAAAATCTCAGTGTTTGTTAGTGGTGACGTCAAGTAAATTGTACGCTTGGATGTATTGAGAGCAAATATCAATACTAGCGTCGGTACATTGGCCGTTGCTGAAACATGTATATCATTGAGTTGGTAAATTTTGAGCTTTGGGAAACATACTAGAGTTAATTTGTGTTTGATTATGATTAGAGTGAGAAATGGGCTTTAACGTCCACTCAACACAAACTAGGTCATTTCGGGACCAACACACGGTTCAATTTTATTTTAACAATTCGCTTGCGCGTAGGGTTCTTTAGCAGTGGGAGGAAACCGGAGGACCCGGAGAAAACCCACGAGGTTGGATAGGCGATCCAACTCCTTGCCGCGTAGAACCTGGGAATCGAAACCACGCCAGTTGACTTAATGACAGACCTTATCATACAGTGCGCACACGCTAACCATTCGGCCATCCACCCCCCGCCCCCCACCCGGTAGGATAGTAAATACAGGCAATGAGTAGAGTAGGTTCAACTATAATTATATTATATTAAATACAGGCAATGGGTAGAATAGGCGAAGTTGTAACCAGAAATTGGCAAACGGCTGATAAAATGAAATTATTCCGCGGTCAACTTAAAGAAGAAAAGGTAAGACATGGCCCTTGCATAGCCCCTACAACATGTTAAGGTAAGACATAGCCCCTACACGTCACCGTATGACATAGCCCTATACGTCAAGGTCAGACATTGTCCAACACGTCACGGTAAGACATAGCCCCCACTCGGCAAACCACAGCAGATTCCAGTACCCTACATCTAGCCTCGGCTGTATCACGAAGTCCGCCATTGGAACTTTCAAGTTCCCAGATTACCAACGTCGTTGCCCATGACGACGCCTTTGAAGAATGTTTTATCATACAAATATTTCAAAGTCTGAAGCTGTTCATCTTTCAAGTTTATCAGATTTACTTCAAACAAGGTAAACTTTGCACTGAGAATTCTAAGCACGCTTCGAACGACGCAATTTTGATAACTTTTTTTTTAAAAGCGGCAAGTTTTCCTAAAGTAATAAGTAAACCAGTGCCGCATCCCAATTGTATAGGCGTTGGTACATTTACCGCACACAGCCGAGGCTAGGTGTAGAGTATAGGAATCTGCTGAGGTTTGCCGACTGACATAGTCCCAACATGTCAAGGTAACCCTTAGCCCCTACACGCAATGGCGATGTGTCTATTTTCCGAGGCGGGTCCTCGGGCCTGGCTGAGAGTCAAGCCTAAATCTAGCTACCTTATTTAAGATTGAAGCACTTATGGCAAATCGGACCAGACTGTGCACTCTCGTCATTTTCATGATAATGGTGTCTCCGATTTGTTGTTATAGAGAGACAATGGTAATGGTGTCTACTATTTTTGTTGTTATAGGGAGACAATGATAATGAACGTGTAAAGAGATATATAGCCAAGTATACTATAAACCCAGCTCTGGCTCATGGTTTCGGCCATTTAATAGGATCAGTTGAGGTCAGTTTATCTTAAATACAATATTTCCGTTTACCAATTTTACTTACCAATGATTATAATATGAAATATTTCATTAAAGGGATATATACATCCCAGATGTAATTTTACATGTGTAATAGAAATGTTTATAATATTACATATATCATTAAAGGGATATATACATTCCAGGTGTAATTTTACATGTGTAATAGAAATGGTTATAATATTACATATACCATTAAGAGGATATGTACATTCCAGATATAATTTTACATATGTGATAGAAATGGTTATAGTATTATATGTATCATTAAATGGATATATACATTCCAGATATAATTTTAAATATGTGATGAAAAGGTTATAATATGACATATATCATTAAAGGGGTGTATAAATTCCAGATAAAATATTACATATATCACTAAATGGTTAAATACATAGAAAGGGTTATAAACAGATTCCTAATTTAATTTTTACATAGAAATCTTTGCCATGACTTGATTAAATGGAATCGTTTATTGTTAGGGACTGCTGAAGTAGAGAGCAGTAATAAGCTTCAAAGGATCAATGAAATTCAATTTTGAACTTTGATATTCATGGGCCCCATAGACTCTTATGGGCCCTGGGACGGCGCACCGACTGAACGCCTCTCTCGTGGGGCGTAGCCATTATAATCACTTGGAGACGTGATTGAAGAAACACATATTTAGAGTGACGAAAAGTGTTGTTTAACGTCCTACTTTTCGGCTAATAAGGACGCACATGTGCCACACAGTGTGTTATCAAGGACATTTTATGTGCACGCCAGCTAGATGCTGATCCTTTCCATGTCAACGGTCCATCACCCCTGACAACGGGACACCACGCTGGAAAATTCTGGGAAACCTTCAAGGCCAACACTGGGATCGAGCCCTGGACCTCCTTGTTAGAGAGCCAGCGCCTTACTGAGTCACCGTGGTTCCCTGACGTGTATGACGTAGCAAACTAATACCAACTCATGATTAAAATGAACAATCTGATATAAAAACAGATCGATATTTCGTTTCGTATTTTTATACTTTCGATGGCCTACACTCCTACATGAAGATCTGGCCGGCTGTAGTGGAAGGTCGCGTCGGGCGTCATACGAGCGGCTTTTGACCCTGTGACGTCAGACAGTTGATTAACCAATCAGTGTTGATGTTTCTTGAGGGATGCCCACGGTTAATCCCTCAAATCAACCAGAACGCGGGTTATATAACAACTCTCCCAGATCCTAGTGTAAAAAAGACAAGTGAAATGAAATTTTGAACTATATAAAACGTAACGAAATAGGATCTGTGTTTTAATCAAATTGTAAAATGAAGTTTGATCTGAATGTCATGAATATACATTTATGCTCTAATATTGTTTTAGACTGGTAAGTTAGCTGACTTGGTCCTTTGGAGTCCAGCATTTTTTGGTGCAAAGCCCAACATTATTATAAAAGGTGGACAAATAGCTATGGCAGAAATGGGTAAGTTGCCATGAATAGAACTCTGAATTCTAGTTCTAACACATTTTTATGTGTCCCAAGAGGAAACAGAAAGTTGATCTTGAATGCCAACCGGGTAGAAACTTTGGTTCCGTAGATAGTGAAGCCATTGTCCTATTATGTAGATTAACGTCCAGTGGACACAAACTAGTTCATTTCGGGACTAACATATATGGTTCAATTTTATTTCAATAATTTGCTAGGCGTAGAGGTCTTTAGCAGTTGGGGGGCGGAGGACCGGGAAAAACCCACGAGGTTGGACAGGTGATCTTACTCCTTGTCACGTACAACCAGGGAATCGAAACCACGCAAGTTGACTCAACGACAGACCTTATGATGCGGCGCGCACACGCTAACCCTTCGGCCATTCAACCCCCTCTAGTAATGAGTAATACCCTATATTGTCAAATGTTCAGTTCATCTCTGTAAATACTGATAAAACCATTCTTAATTTATCCTTCTCAAATTCATGTCCTTATCAGGTTAAATTATAATAGGTTGTTATATTCTGTTGTATATTATAATAGATTGTTATATTCTGTTGTATATTACAATAGGATGTTATATTCTGTTGTATGTTATAAAAGTTGTTATATTCTGTTGTGTATTATAATAGGTTGTTATATTTTGTTGTATATTATATTAGGTTGTTATATTCTGTTGGATATTATAATAGGATGTTATATTATGTTGTCTATTTTAATAGGTTGTTATACTCTGTTGTATATTATAATATGTTCTTATATTACAATGGGTTGTTATTATATGTTGTAAATTATAACAGGTTGTTATATTCTGTTGTATATTATAATAGGTTGTTATATTCTGTTGTATATTATAATAGGTTGTTATATTCTGTTGTATATTATAATGGGTTGATATATTCTGTTGTATAGTATAGTAAGTTGTGATACTCTGTTGTATGTTATAATAGGTTGTTATATTCTGTTGTATATTATAATAGGTTGTTATATTCTGTCGTATATTATAATGGGTTGATATATTCTGTTGTATAGTATAGTAGGTTGTGATACTCTGTTGTATGTTATAATAGGTTGTTATATTATGTTGCACATATCATGTTGTATATTATAATAGGTTGTTACATTATAATATGTTGTTTTATTATAATAGGTATGCCGAATGCTTCCATACCAACACCAGAACCAGTAAAACAAAGAAAGATGTTTGGATCTTATGGTAAAGCTATCGGTGGACAGTCGGTTGTATTTGTATCTCAGGTAAAAACCAAAAACCGCGATGTATCTGGTTTTGAAAAGCTACAAAAAGAATATATGTTAAACTGAAACTGGATTCGATACCCAAAAAACAATGGATTCTAATTCTGGATTTGGGATCACAGAATGGATTCTGGATACAAATACATTCGGTGAAACTGTTACTAGAAAACGAATGAAATGAAAGGGTATTGAAAGGCAATCAGCACCAAACATAAAGTGAAATATATTAGTCAGGCTAAATTATAAAACAAAAACAATATTTAAATGCATAAATAAAAGCAATTATCACAGTTCTGAATATTTAAAAATTAAAAACTAAATATCACAATATTTAAAGCATATAAATATTTAAAAAATAAATCTGAAAAGAATACATATATAATAAAAATATGTCTCTTTTAAATTTTCTAAGATTTATCAATATAGACCTAAGACCTGATTGACCAAATAAAAAAAAAATATGGAACGCTTGCCTGTCATAGTACTTAATATTATACTAAAATTGGAACGATACAGAGAAAATTAGTATAGCCCCTGTCTGGGCCGGATTAAAACTCACCGAGGCCCTAAGCATTTAAATGATTTTGGTGACCCAATATATATCTAATTCAAAATATAGACGATAATAAACCAGAAACAATCGCCATGCACGTGATTAGAGTTTTTCTGGGATTTTATAAACGTCATTATTAATTGCGACAAAACAGGTGGTAAAACAGGAGCGGATCCAGAGGGGGGGTTTGGGGGGTCCCCCCCCCCCTGCTTTATCCTTTATCGTCAGATGGTGCGACAGGATGGGCACTCAAAGCGCGAGATAATGATATAGAGATATGTGACATCACAATTAATGCTTTGCATCAATAAAATTGAATCACAATGTCATCGTATTAATTCATAATAAAAATTGACGTCAAACAGGATGTTAGATTTCTCTGTTTCAAAAGATCAATGTGTATGTATATACGCCAAAATGACGATAGAGACCATGTATTTCTCAAAAAATTTCAAACCGACGGGGGGGGGGAGGCGGGGGCGGGGGGGATACAGTTTCTCAGGAACCTGGCAAACCCCCTCCTGCAAAAATTCCTGGATCCGCCCCTGTAAAAACAATGGAAAGCTAATTGCAAGTTCTTAATTAATTTTTATATTAAATATTTTGAATTTGGTATTTAACAAAGCAGACATTCTGTGGTGCCCCTATTACCATGTTGCTCTAAGCACGTGCTTACTTTGCTTGGCCCCCAGCTCAAGGATACTGGAAAATAAACAAACATTTGCATGTATGACGGTGATTATTTATTTTCAGGCAGCGTTAGACGAAGGATTAGTAGCTGGATATGGATTAGATAAATCAGCCGTTGCTGTGAAAGGAACGAGATCTCTAAATAAAAGTAGTATGATCAGAAATGACTACTGCCCTCACATTGACGGTAGGTACATGGTACAGATGGGCCGAGTCATATAACGCATGCGGAGTCACGTGGTTTCCCCACATCAGTGGAGCAGTGACAAGGAACAGTGTCTGTTCGTTCGAATGGGACGAGAAGTTCGTGTACTCGTTGGCATGCACGTAAAAGAGCCCTGGATTTTCGGAATTCGATGCCGAGTAGGCGGAAAATTCATTGTCCGGGCCAAATTAAACGCCCTAGCATTGCACATACTAGGGCCATAGACAAACCATGTTCCTAAAGCAACGACTACGAGTTTTACAACATGGACGTAGTTAAAGGGAGATCAAGCCTTCTATTGAAGATGTAGACAAACATAACAGCATGTTAGTCTCAAAATAACCGTAGTATTGTGTTGACGAGACGTTAAACGCCGTTCCTTAACCTGTATCTATAATTCTACTTTTACTTTATCTATATAGTAGTACTCTTACTTTATTTACATAGTCCTACTTTTATTTATCTATAATTCTACTTTTACTTTATCTATAGTACAACTTTTACTTCGTCTTCAGTACTCCTTTTACTTTATCTACGGTACTACTTGTACTGTATCTATAGTAATTTGTTTACAGTGCTACTTTTACTTCATCAATGGATATACATTTACTTTGCCAATAGCACTACTTTTACTTTATGAATGGAACTATTTTACTTTATCAATATCACTACTTTTACTTTATCAATGGTACTACTTTTACTTTATTAATGGTACTGATTTTACTTTATATATAATACTACTTTTACTTTATATATAGTTCTAATTTTACATTATTATTTCTTGTTGCAGTTAACCCACAAACATACAAAGTTCGCATATTGGAAGAAGGAAAAGAACCGGAAGTGCTAACATGTCCACCTTCTAGCAGATTGTCGCTTGCTCAAAGATACTTTCTTTATTAGATATGTGTAGATAAATGAATACACAGTATTAGAAACGTTATAATCAACTATTTAAAGGGGCCAAGGCTTTAACTCAATATCATCCACAGTCTTCGACATTATTGTAAACACGACTTATTGGTCAATTTAAATCAACATTCATGTGTTATCTTACCCTGAAAAGTTGGGTTTCTGATATTCAATATTTAAGACATAGAACATTTTAAAATTGGCACACGAATCACGTGCCAGAATGCCTTTGAGTGCCATTTGTATGAAGCGACTCGATGAATGAGGCTAGACATATCCCTTGTATATAGGGGAATACTACCGGTGTAGACTGGAATAACCAACGCCAAAGACTGCCATTCAATTCGGACTCTTCGCATATTTTCGCCGGAAATAACCGATTAGAAATTACAGTTTATACATATTATTACATTATTATATGCGTTGCGACCCATTTGTGTCCATTTCTAGGTGCAAAGCAATAGAGAATTAGCTCCTTTAACATTGATGTCTACAGTTTGACAAAGTTGCAAAACAAAAACCCACCTATTTATTGGTGGAGACTAATAATATGTATGATCATTATTTCAAAACAGTTCATGGGACAGTCGACATGCCAAGTGAAAGCGACGCTTAATATTTGCCTCTACCATTGAACTAAAACAGATTCAGTTTGTCAAATCCGTTTTTCCCAAGTGCTTGTCTTCAATGGGGAAATAACATGAAATGGGGTTTAACGTCCGCAGTGCCGGATTTACATGAAAATGACTTCACCGGCACGATATGATTATTTAATATTTAACATGATCGGTTAAAAGTAATATTTACATTTTTGTTTTGTTGAAATATATTTGAACCAGCAACTGGTTCCCAATACTCATCTTGTTGTAATTCTTCCCAGAGGCGAAGAACTTCGAATTTCCATGGACAATTGATCATCGTTTTTTGATATGACGGCACAATTTCAAGATGGTCTCGATCACGTCATGCTCGGTTACTGGTCCCTATATTGCTGTCATTCCTAATTTTTAAAGATACATTCTCACGAAAGTATGGCAAATTTGGTATAAAGGGAAAGTAGAAACTTCCAATCGTACTAGAAAAATACTGGATTCCCTGAAAACACCCATGAGTCAAAATGAAATGAAATAAAATAGGGGTTAACGTCCTACTGTTCTATTCCGAACTTGTCTAATGAATACGGGCATACGCCATACAGTGTGCTATGAGGGAAATTTTACTCGGACTACGGCCTATTCTTATATCGAATTCCAACTGTCAAGGGATCTTCGACGTGCACGCTAATGTGAACGTCCCATCCGAACAACTAGACAGCTGTCATTGTCAGGCCCTCCATCATGCATGACGTCATTTATACTATTAGTAGAGAAGCATACCATCGGGGTTTAGGGGAGAAATGAAAAGGGGTTTCGCGTCCTACATTTCTGTACCGACTGGGATAATGAAGACGGACTTGCGCCATAAAGTGTATTATGCGGGAAATTTTGCCCGGAAAGCGGTGTCTATCGACTTCCAACTGTCAATTGATCTTTTACGATCACGCCAATGTGTACACGGGACCTCGATTTTTCGTCCCATCCGAACGACTATACAGCAGTCCTTGTCAGGCCCTCTGCCCTGCATCACTGACAAGGGGAGAGGGCACCACGCCGGAATATCTGGATGAACTTTCTCGGCCAATGCAGGGATCGAACACCCGACCTCCAGGATAGCGAGCCAGCGTCTTACACGCTTAGCCACCGTGACCACCATATAAACTCAAACATCTAAAAGACTTGAAAAGATATTAGTGGGATATCAATTTCGACATTGATCAATTGCTATTTTGACTAAAATCAAATAGTACTAAAATATATACAAAGATACTATAACAGAATAATAAACATTTTGTTCATTTAGGAAATTTTTCAAGGGGCTCCAAGTCGTCAAAGATAAATATAATGCGCTTAATGCGCGCGAAACTGAAAATAGAATTTTGACGCCCCTGCTATAAAGCTGTATTCATAAAATTTTCGCTCGAGGAGTAAATTAATAATTAGTAAATATTCAGTTATCTTTAATGCAATCCAGTGGAGACATTTCAAAATAAACTGTTTAAGGACCAGCGGCTATCGCTGCCATGGCGAATATTCACAATGCAACAAACTCGTGTAAAAAGTGGCGGGAATTGTGAAATTATCCAGTCTCAACTTAGGCGTGGAGAAACGCGACTATCGATGACGTAGAGCACACGTTATCGATGGCTGTCAACAAACAAGTTCAATCAAATCGAAGAAAAATAAATCATGGAAACTAAGCCTACATAATTAGATTATATTGTACAGCGTAGGTCTGATAGAATAGTGAGGAATACTTCATATAATTATATCTTTATTTGTGTTTCGACCCTGAATGACCGAAATACATAAAAGCCACCCGTATTAAAATTACTCGAGACTAGGCTAGGCCTAATGACAGTTTTTCGTTAAACTATCATAAACTATAGGCCTAAAGCATTTCTTCTCCTACAAGCCCCCTCCCGTGCCTTTGGAAAAATTCTTGCCACATTTTCCTAATGTCCACAAATTTGCATGCTTTTTTCCGTATTCCACCATCTAAAATATGTATTAAAATTAAACAATCTCTAGTGTAGGGCTTATAAAGTTATAATAGTATAGGCCCTACTTGGGATGAGTAATTATCTATATATATATTTGTGACTGTCGTTTGTCTGTCTGTCTTTCTGTCTGTCTGTCTGTTCGGGGTTGGCGGCTACACTAGGTCTGCCCCGAGTCTGAAATTTGAGGTATAGGGGTAGCTCGGACCAGGGTGTAACATAGGCCAGGTGGCGTTAGTCTACCACTTCCGGTTTCGGAGTTATGACCCCCGAGCAAAGTCGGTCTGTTCGGGGTTGGCGGCTACACTAGGTCTGCCCCGAGTCTGAAATTTGGGGTATAGGGGTAGCTCCGACCGGGGAGTAACATAACCAGGTGGCGTTAGTCTACCACTTCCGGTTTCGGAGTTATGACCCCCGAGCGAAGCCGGGTATCCTGCTAGTTTCTATGATAAAACTAAAGAAACATTTTATTATAGGCTATAGTGCAGCATAAAAATCATTTGTCTAATGATGTGTAATTTCAATAGGATTCGTAAATAGCAATACCAAATACATAATACAATTATTATTGAAAGGAGAGAGAGAGAGAGAGAAATGGGGTTTAACGTCCACTCGACACAAACTAGGTCTTTTTCGGGACTAACACATGGTTCAATTTTATTTCAATAATTCGCTTGCGCGTAGGGGTCTTTAGCTGTGGGAGGAAACCAGAGGACCTGGAGAAAACCCACGAGGTTGGACAGATTATTGAAAGGATAATTTTAACAAAAAGTTTACATTTCTATGTTTTTAACCGGGGGAAGGGGGGTGGATAGCCGAATGATTAGTGTGTGTGCGCATTATATCATAAGGTTTGACAAGGAGTTGGGTTACCTGTCCAACCCCTACACGCAAGCAAATTATTGAAATAAAATTGAACCATGTGGTAGTCCCGAAATGACCTAGTTTGTGTCCATTGGAGTTAGACTCTCTCTCTCTCTCTCTCTCTGTCTCTCTCTCTCTCATCTCTCATGCTTTTAAAGGCATACAACTTAATAAAATGTGTAATTACATTATAAAACTAGGCCCTACAATTTATTAAAATGTGTAATTACATTATAAAACTAGGCCCTACAATTTATTAAAATGTGTAATTACATTATAAAACTAGGCCCTACAATTTATTAAAATGTGTAATTACATTATAAAACTAGGCCCTACATGTAGTTTAATACATAGCAACACCTTTGGACAAATCTTGGGGTAGATCAAATACATGTAGATGGTGAAATTTCAGATGACGATAAGTTTTTAAAATATTCTACATTAGATAACAATCTGATTGAAATAAAAATCTATATTTGGTTTCGTTTTTTTATCCTTTGATGGCCTACACTACATGAAGATCTAACCGGTTGTAGTAAAAGGTCATGTCAGAGGTCACACAAGTGGCTTTTGACCCTATGACATCAGACATTGATTACTCAATCAGCGTTGATGTTTCTAGTGGTTTACCCACAGTTCCGTGTATCGGACGCCAAAAACTCGCCGTAACAAACCCTTTTCATTGGCTAATCTCTCACTTCAACCAGAACACCGGTAATATAACAACTCTTCCAGATCCTAGTGTAGTAAAGACAAGTAAAACAAATTTTTGAACTATAAAAAAACGAAAACGAAATAGGATCTGTGTTTTAATCAGATTGCTATGACATCTTCAAAAATGATTGATCGGGTTAGATAAGGGCAAACTATAAAAAATATTTGCCCTGACTGAATACCGGTAATGATTGTTTATTTCAGAAAATGACTCAACTTTGTACAAAGCAAAGCTCTTTACGACCACAGACGGCCTCACAACTTAAAAATGATGACATTTCTCTTCAATTGGATACTTTGATGATCCGGCCATTGTCAGCTAATCCTATTTCAGCAGGTCAAAATGGCACCTTTCTCACGGAGGAGGGTGGTAATAATTATTCTGTCATAGAAAGACTTCGAATTGATCCTGTTCTAGATCAGTTTTCATTTAGTGTTAGATCAGCTAAAAGTAAGTAGGCCTTCCGTTTTTATTTCTAGATCAGCTAAAAGTAAGTAGGCCTTCTGTTTATAGTACCGTTAGTATTTCAATAACAAGATTGACAGATTTTGATTTTAGATATGACATCCTGATTTCAAGATGGCGGCGTGGCATTCTGCTCAGTTCCCGGTCCATAGTAGTATTGTAAAGGGGCATTATGGGAGATTAGATAACAACCTGACAGTTCACGCTTTAATAATTAAAAAATAGATAATGTAAAGAGAATATGCTGAACATTTTAGTCAAATTGCTCCACTCTGTACCAAGATATTATCGATTGAATTTTAGGCCTAGACTACTGATGTCGTTACCATAAAAAACAAAATCTCAATTATCCGTTTTGACATTAAATCATCCATCACAAAATGTATTCAAATCCAGTAAATATTGCAGGCTAGCGATGACATCGAGAGTTGATTATAGTCTGAATACTTTAATTAATGTCTAATTAAAAATTTAAATAACATTTCAGGCCTAATGTTATGCTCTTGCATAATGAAGGGTTAAACAATAGTCACAACAAACTTCGCATTTTTAAATTAAAAATAGTCGTCCTTATTCGTTAACATTGTTTCTCCAGAAAAGAAATTAAATATCAAGACAACCAAAGAAGCCTGGTTGAAAAAGACTAAGCCAGAAGATGAAAAGATTCATCCATTTGTAGATCAAAGTTTAAATGGACTGGACAACTCGGACGAATATGATACAGATATTGAGGAAGATTTCCCTAAGCCTGGTCGGTATATAATCTTTGGTTTTAGTGTAAGATTAAGATTTTCCGACATGGTTTCCCATTGTCAGTGGTGCAGGACGGAGGGCCTGACAAGGACAGCTGTCTAGTTATTCGGATGGGACAAAAAAAGGTCTTGTGTATACATTGGCGTGCACATAAAAGATCCCTTGGCAGTTGGAATTCGATGTAAGAGTAGGCTATAGTGCTGCTGCCCGGGCAAAATTTCCCTCATAGCCCACTGTATTGCGTATGCCCGTCTTCATTAGCCCAGTACAGGAGCAGAACAGTACGACGTTAAACCCCATTTCATTTCAATTCAGAATTCAGAAAAAGAGCTGGGCGTTCTGGCTATAATAGTTCAAAAAAAGATAATGCAAAATATTGAAAATTTCATTCAAATTACTTTATATGATTCTGAGCAAATTTATCAGTGTATGAAGGTGTAGCATAGATTGTTTATTATTGTAGCAATGACACTTGAAAACCAAGACTAAGTCTCCATTATCCATTTTTAAATTAAATTATTAAATGGCGATCACGTTTCAATCCATTTAAATGGTGTCCATCCGATGGGCTAGACACTTGATTATAAATGTGAATAAATGTCTAATTAATCGTTTATATAACATTTGAAGTCAAAATACGGGCCTTCAATACACAGATAGGGGGGTGGATGGCGAATGGTTAGCGTGTGCGCGTTGCTTAATAAGGTCTGTCATTGAGTCAGCTGGCATGGTTTCGATTCCCCAGTTGTACGTGACAAGTAGTAGGGTCGTGTGACCAACCTCGTGGGTTTTCTCCAACTGCTAAAGACTCCTATGCGCAAGCGAATTATTGAAATAAACTTGAACCATATGTTAGTCCTGAAATGACCTAGTTTGTGTTGAGTGGATGTTAAACCCCATTTCTCTCTCTCTCTCTCCCTCTCTTGAATTGAATTGAATTGAATTCTTTCAATTCCCAAAATAGTAACATTCAAGTGACAAGAGGGATTTCGCGCAACAATGCATGCGTGGAATGCATAAGATAATATCTGAACCCATCCTTGACAACTGAAACATATTTATTTAATTATGTCACGATTCTACTCAAACCACTGCCGTTGACAGGATTGAATTCCAACCCACTCAATTATAATCTGTTAATTCGGAACGTTCCGGGCTGACTATCGAGCTTCCCCTTTATGACTGATATTCCTTGTAAAGATTCAACTTTAAGAGTATTGTATTATTGTCCAACCTCGTGTGTTTTCTCTGGGTTCTCCGGTTTCCTCCCACTGCTAAAGACCCCTACGCACAAGAGAATTATTGAAATAAAATTAAACCATATGTTAGTCCCGAAATGACCTTGTGTGTGTCGAGTGGACGTTAAACCCCATTTTTCTCTCTCTCAATTTTTTAACAGATTAAAAATCTTTCAAATAACGGTCAGGGACTTTAAATATTATACGTAGCTGTTCTTTCACAGGCTCAAAACCGTGGTGTTGAAAAATGCGGTTCATTTTTTAATTGCAGAAAATAAATATCGTGCAGATCCGACTGGAATATATCGGTATCAGGAAAAGTGTATAAAATCAGGTTTGTTTCTTTCCATTTTTATCCATTGGTCTGAGTATTGTATCATTGCTATATTGTGATATGGTTAGCGTTTGCGCGCTGCATTAGAAGGTATGTCATTGAGTCAACTGGCGTGGTTCAATTCCCCGTTTGTACATGACAAGGAGTAGGGTTGCCTGCCCGGTTGTACGTGATAAGAAGTAGAGTTGCCTGCCCACCATCGTGGGATTTCTCTGGGTCCGCCGGTTTCCTCCCACTACTAAAGCCCCCTACGCGCATTGAATTACTGAAATAAGATTGAACCGCATGTTAGCCCTGAAATGACTTAGTTTGTGTCGGAAGGATGTTAAACCCCATTTCTCTCTCTCTCTATATTGTGATGTCAGGAACAAAATAATCTTTACATCTGATATCAATATCCTTAGGAAAATTTAAGAGTATTCTTTTTTAAAAATTAACTCTACAGCATGACCATGTTGGTTTTGTAGGTGATTTCTGCACCATATTTGATACTCCACTTAAAATATTTTACCTGTATCATTTTTAATACTTCAGTTATCCTACAGATATCATATTTAATACTTCAGGTATCCTACCGTTATTATACCTGTATCATATTTAATACTTCATGTATCCTACCGATATCGTATTTAATACTTCATGTATCCTATCAATATCATATTTAATACTTCAGGTATCCTACTGATATCATATTTAATACTTCAGGTATCCTACCGATATTATACCTTTATCATATTTAATACTTCAGGTATTTTACCGATATCGTATTTAAGAAGACATATAGGTAGAAGGAATGTTAGAATGCGTCATCATTATCTAGGAGGTGAAGCAAGTAAAGCAATAGCAGAAGCTTTAAGGGTCAGGATTAGTTTTAATATAACCCCTCAGTAATCTGTCCATGTAGAAAATGGTCCAGAAAACCTCTTGTCAAAACTTCATACACTCATAACTTTAAGATTAAAGTAATTTGACTGAAATTTTCAATATATTCATTTTACATTATCTATTTTTGAACTATTATAGCAAAAACGAACAACTCTTTATCTAAATCTTACATAATGCATGTTTAATTAGAGATGTGTTAACAGTATTCATTTGTTCATTGGTTTAAACATTTGAGTCAACTGGCGTGGTTTCGAATCCTCGGTTGTACGTGACAAGGAGTAGGGTCGTCTGTCCAACCTTGTGGGTTTTCTCCGGGTCCTCCAATTTCCTCCCACTGCTAAAGATTTCTACGCGCAAGCAAATTATTGGAATAAAATTAAACCATATGTTAGTCCCGAGATGACCGAGTTTGTGTCGAGTGGACGTTAAACCCCATTTCTCTGTCTCTCTCTCTCTGGTTTAAACATATTTTATTACCATAAAGTAAAAGGATTGGACAAAAGTTACATAAACTAACAAAAACATCCTTTCCTTTATATGAAATTATTTCAAGATAACAAAAGGTGCAAAATAAAGACTGATGCTGAGGAATAAATCTCAAGATTGATCAAAATCATCATAAGAAGTACGGGGGTCACAGTGGGTAAGACGCTGGCTTGCTAGCCTGGAGTTCGGGTGTTCGATCCCTGCATTGGCAGAGAAAGTTCATCCAGATTTTCTAGCGTGGTTCCCCCTTGTCAGTGATGCAGGACAGAGGATCTGACAAGGAAAACTGTCTAGTCATTCTGATGGGATGAAAACCCACGGTCCTATGTACACATTGGCGTGCAAGCAAAAGATACCTTGATAGTTGGAAATCGATATAAGAGTAAGCCATAGTGCTGATATCCGGGCAAAATTTCCGTCATAGCACACTGTATAGTGCATGCCTGTTTTCATTAGCCCAGTCGAAGCAGAACAGTAGGACGTTAAACCCCATTTCATTTCATTTCATAAGAAGTACCGTCTTCATTAGCCCAGTTGGAGCAGAACAGTAGGAGGTTAAACCCCATTTCATTTCACTTTATCATAAGAAATAATATTTGAGAATTACTCCATGGAGTGCAAGAATCATGAAATTTGTTAAAGATACAATATGGGAGATTAGATAAAGAGCTGGTAATTCTCACTATAATGTAAAGGGTATTTGATGAAAATTTCAGTCAAATTGTTCCACTCTGAACCAAGAATTTAGCGATAGAATTTTCGGCCTAGCCTCGATCATCATTACTAAAGTCCGTACGATAAAAAACATAGTCTCAATTATCCATTTCATGATTTTTTATCATGAATGAAAGTTGAGCAGCATATCAGATCTTAATGCAGTAAATATCGCAGGCTAGTGATGACATCGAGAGTTGATTATGGTCTGAATAAGTTAATTAATGTCCAATTAATAATTTAGATAACATTTCAGGCCTAAAGTAAGACCTGCAATACGCAGATTTAGCTCTGGTATAATGTATGTTTAATGCTGGCTGTGTTTAGTTGTTGATAGGAAATATTATTATACTATATTGTTTGATGATGTTTATTTTAAGGTTAACACAGTCACGGAGAGCTTGGATTTAAGCGATAATTATTTAAAATGTTGTGGTGCCAGGTTTATAGCAGATATGATGTTAGATAATATGTTTATTCTACATATGGTAGGTTGTATTAGTTATAGCAGATATTAGATAATATGCTTATTATACATATGGTAGGTACTATTAGTTATAGCAGATATTAGATAATATATTTATTATACATATGGTAGGTTATATTAGTTATAGCAGATATTAGATAATATATTTATTATACATATAGTAGGTGCTATTAGTTATAGCAGATATTAGATAGTGTTTATCCTACATATGGTAGGTTGTATTAGTTATAGCAGATATTAGATAATATGCTTATTCTACATATGGTAGGTACTATTAGTTATAGCAGATATTAGATAATATGCTTATTATACATATGGTAGGTTATATTAGTTATAGCAGATATTAGATAATATGTTTATTATACATATGGTAGGTGCTATTAGTTATAGCAGATATTAGATAATATATTTATTATACATATGGTAGGTGCTATTAGTTATAGCAGATATTAGATAGTGTTTATCCTACATATGGTAGGTTGTATTTGTTATAGCAGATATTAGATAATATATTTATTATACATATGGGGGCTGGATGGCCGAATGGGTAACATGTGCATGCAGTATCATAAGGTCTGTGATTGAGTCAACTGACATGGTTTTGATTTACCGGTTGTACGCAGGAAGGAGTAGGGTCGCCTGACCAACATTGTGAATTTTCTTCGGGTCCTCCGGTTTTCTCCCACTGCTAAAGACCCCTACGTGCAAGCAAATTAATTAAAATAAAATTGAACCATATGTTAGTCCTGAAATGACCTAGTTTGTGTAGAGTGGATGTTAAACCCCATTACTCTCTCTCTCTACGTCATGACATTTCTGAGTTAAAGATACTTTCCTGCGTATACACTGGGTGATTTGATGATATATTTTTTCTAAAAACATATTCTAACTAATCAATTATCAAAAAGTTGCTTCCAATCCCTCGCAAAACTCAGTATTCGGCGGTAGATGCCGCATGTTATAAATAAACTGATGTTTGACAGCTCAATTCACAGGGCCGGCGGAAGCAATTCTTGATTGAGGGTGGGGCTTCCGTCCTAGGTCCTTATAAGCGTGGGTCCAGGGGCCGCAATAAGCCCTCCCTAGCCTCCCCACTCCGCTGGGCCTGATTCATATTCATATTCTGGACAAAGTAATCTTAATGAAGATTTTGTACTCCATGTACGGAAGTGGCCTACTGTTAAGTCTTGTGTTTAATCTTGTATTTTTCAGAATTTATCAAATAATTTTATAAGAACACGAGGTGTTGAAGCTTTATCTGTTATGTTACAGAATAACACAACGTTAAAAACATTGTCTTTATCAGGTATTGAATACAGCTTTAATATTACACACGGCTATTTATATACCAATCTAATTCAAACGAAGATTCGCACTGAAAGTCGCCTTTGTCAGTGGTCTCAGTATAAATGGCCCTTAATATTACATTACTCATCGTGGACATTATTCTTATAATTTGATGGGGGTTGCCCAGTCGTCTTACTGAGCCTCTGTGACTCACCCATTATTAACGGTCAGTAGAGCCAAGGGTCATGGAACAGCAAGATATGCTGACATCTACCACTTCCCATGTGTTTGGAGAGGCAGTTGGTTGGTCGAGGTGTCTAATGTTAGCCCTATTGAGTCGCAAAATTCCGAAATCCTTCTCTTGAAAAATGTGGACGTATCTTGCATGACAACCAGTTGTTGTATGTTTTGTAGGTAATCAGTTATGTGATAGAGATGCTGGTCTATTAGTCGAAGGTATAAAGAACAACGATACACTGCAATCCCTAGATCTAAGTAATAATAATATTGGTGAATTAGGTGGAATTTATCTCGGAAATGGTTTGGTAAGTTGGTTTCAGTTATCTATCTTACTGTGATTAAATATCAAGCAGAGATAAACAATTTGATTTGTTGATGCTTAGGAACACGATGATTCAGATTCTTATCTCTGAAATGTTTCGGTAAGTTGGTTTCTGTTATCTTGCTTACTGTGATTAAATGTTCAATCATTGATAGACTAAGCAGAGATAAACAATCAGATTCTAATTGGTGTATAGATTCTTTGTATCGATACCTTGATTCATTTTAATCGTGAGCCTTTCGGCTGAGCAGTGTAATAAAAAATTTGATTGCTAGATACTTTATAAAAAGATAAATGTAAATGCAATTGATGAGTGTCGTCTACTGGCCTGGACATAAGGCATCTGTCACAGACAAAAATTATTACTCAACATTATAATATATCGTGGGCTTGGATGGCCAAATGGTTAGCGTGTGCTCGTTGTATCATAAGATCTGCCATTGAGTCAACTAGCGTGGTTTCAATTACCCGGTTGTACGTGACCAGGAGTAGGGTCACCTGTCCACCCTTGTGGTTTTTCACCGGGTTCTCCAGTTTCCTCCCACTACTAAAGACCCCTACACACAAGCGAATTTTTGAAATAAAACTGAAACATGCTAGTCCCGAAATGACCTAGTTTGTGTCGACAGGACTGCAAACCCCATCTCTCTCTCTCTCTCTCTCTCTCTCTCTCTCTCTCTCTCTCTCTCTCTCTGACAGGTGCCTTATGTGCAATCTTGGTCATCTGTTTATTTTTTATATAGGGACTGAGACAGGCAACCAGGAACATCAGCCCCACAGTTGGCATGTTCTACGCTCCAGTACCTCATTTTAAGTGAAGCCTGTTACATTTGTCCTTCCCTCAGGGGGCCACAGTTGTTCAGTATTTTCCAGCCTGGTTTCTAATGGGACGAAAGACCAAAGTCTTGTTGTTGGCAGTTGGAATTCCATAAAGAGTAGGTTGGATCCCATGTTCCTGAAGCAACGACCGTGAGATGTACGTAGTTAAGGCGAGATCAAGCCTTCTATTGAAGATGGTGGGACCCCTCCTGTCCAGGCAATATGTCCCTTGGAATATTGCCGTCTTCAATGGCCCTTTTGGTGTCACAAACTCCCATTTCATTTCCTTCCCTCGGTCTGTCAATCCTTCATGACATGAAATGTATCTCCATGTAGTTCTTTTTATTTTCAGGCCATCAATGAAAGTTTAGTTGACATAGATCTAAGCTGGAATTGTATTACAAGAAAAGGTGCTGTTGGTGTTGCACAGGCCTTGAAGGTAAATTGATCAAAGATACATTATGGGAGATGAGATAAAGAGCTGGCAGATCTCACAAAAATAGTTAAAAACTAGATAATGTAAAGGGAATATGCTGAAAATTTCAGTCATTACTAAATCATCATTTATAATTGGTACGATAAAAAAACACAGTCTCAATTATTCATTTTTGAATTAAATCATCAATGAGCGTTGAGCAGCAAATCGGATTCAAATCCAGAGAAAATCCAACACATAAGATGGCATTGAGAGTTGATTAAGGTCTTTTCCGTTAATAAATGTCTAATTAATAGTTTATATAACATTCCAGGCCTAAAGAAATGAAATGAAATGAAATGGGGTTTAACGTCCTACTGTTCTGCTCCTAAACTGGGCTAATGAAGACGGGCGTACGCCATACAGTGTGCTATGAGGGAAATTTAGTCGGGCAGCGGCACTTTTGCCTACTCTTATATCGAATTCCAACTGCCAAGGGATCTTTTACGTGCATTCCAATGTATACACAGGACCTTGGTTTTTCGTGTCATCCGAAGGACTAGACAGCTGTCCTTGTCAGGCCCTCCGTTCTGAACTACAGGCCTAAAGAAAGACCTGCAATAGGCACATTTTGTTCTGGGATAATATATGTTTAATTTCTGGTAGAAATAATTGTTTTTGATATTGCATCAGACACAAATGAAATAATATTAATTCTGTTATTGAGTGGGGTTCAAGACGGATAGATCAGCAGTGTACTCGCTAACTTTTAGAAGGTTCAGGTTGGCTTATAAAGTTTCCAGTCGGTCAAGAAAATGTGTAGAGTCGTTCGAAAGCTACAAAAAATCCCAGGGTCCTTTGTATACCACTGGTAGCCTGTTATAAAATTCATGGACAGTTATAAATCGAAATTATAGAAGACCATAGTACCAACTGTCCCTCATGATGTGTGTCCATAGTACCAACTGTCCCTCATGACATGTGTCCATAGTACCAACTGTCCCTCATGACGTGTGACCATAGTACCAACTGTCCCTCATGACGTGTGTCCGTAGTACCAACTATCCCTCATGATGTGTGACCGTAGTATCAACTAGCCCTCATGATGTGTGACCGTAGTACCAACTGTCCCTCATGACGTGTGACCATAGTACCAACTGTCCCTCATGACGTGTGACCATAGTACCAACTGTCCTTCATGACGTGTGACCATAGTACCAACTGTCCCTCATGACGTGTGACCATAGTACCAACTGTCCTTCATGATGTGTGACCGTAGTACCAACTGTCCCTCATGATGTGTGACCGTAGTACCAACTGTCCCTCATGACGTGTGACCATAGTACCAACTGTCCTTCATGACGTGTGTCCGTAGTACCGACTATCCCTCATGATGTGTGACCGTAGTACCAACTGTCCCTCATGACGTGTGTCCATAGTACCAACTGTCCCTCATGACATGTGTCCATAGTACCAACTGTCCCTCATGACGTGTGACCATAGTACCAACTGTCCCTCATGACGTGTGTCCGTAGTACCAACTGTCCTTCATGATGTGTGACCGTAGTACCAACTGTCCTTCATGATGTGTGACCGTAGTACCAACTGTCCCTCATGACGTGTGACCATAGTACCAACTGTCCTTCATGACGTGTGTCCGTAGTACCGACTATCCCTCATGATGTGTGACCGTAGTACCAACTGTCCTTCATGATATGTTATCCCTCATGACGTGTGTCCGTACTATTAATTATCCCCGTAGTACCAATTTAAATCCTCATTGATGTTGTTACCTTACTGTGAAAAGACACAGTGAACATTTTGAAATTGGCAGAATGCTTTTCAGTGCCATTTGTAATGACGTGACTTGATGAATGAGGCTAAGCATATTCCAGGGAAGAATACTACCGATGTAGACTGAAATAACCAGACACCAAAGAATGCTAGTCAATTCGGACTCTTTGCGTATTTCACCAAACATAACAGAGTAGAAATTACCAAAAAAACTGAAACGATTGAATGTAAATCAGTTTATATACATTCATATTACATTATTATATGCATTACGACCCATTTGTGTTCTGTTTTAGGTGGGGGGTTGGATGGCCAACTGATTAGCATGTGCACGCTATATCATAATGTCTGACATTGAGTCAACTGGCATGGTTTCGAATACCCGGTTGTATGTGACAATGAGTAGGGTCGCAAGCGAATTATTGAAAGAAATTTGAACCATGTGTTACTCCCGAAATGACCTAGTTTGTTTCGAGTGGACTTTAAATCCCATTTCTCTCTCTCTCTCTCCCTGTAAACTCCATTTTATTGTGTTTTCTGTTATAGAGTAATAAAGTACTAGAGGTGTTAGATATATCGTGGAATGGTATTGGTCTCGAAGGAGCTGCAGCGCTGCAAAAATATTTACCTGCCAACAAGAAATTACGCATATTAGATTTAACGTACGTGATTTTTAAATGGATAATTGAATAAAAATACACATTCATTTCTTTACGAAAAATAATGGACAAATTTTAGTTGTCTAGATATGATTCAAACTAATCATACGTGGGAGTATATTGTTGTCATCTGTGTCCAACAGCTGAAGAGCTTTCCCAGATTTGTTCAGCTGGTCAGAAATTACAGGGTTATTTCCCCTGTCATCAAGAAGCAGACTGGGTCGCTGAGTTGTATAGTGTGTGCACTTTAGACAGGGGCGGATCCAAAGTGTGGGATTGGGGGTCTAAACCCAACCCTGCTCGGCTACATAAAAAAATTGTAAAACAACACATTATGAGAAATGGGTAACGTTCGTGTACTTTATCCTTTATCGTCAGATGTTGGGATGGGATGGGATGGGATGGCCTCCAAAGCACGATATGTGATCCTCTTAATTCATAATAAAAATTGATGTCAAACGGGGAGTTGGATTTCTCTCTTTAGAAAGCTCAGTGTGTATGTATGCCTACATAATTTAGAGATGATGATGGCATCATGCATTGTCAACTGGCAAATTTCCTTAACAGGAACCCGGTAAACCCCCTTCTGCAAAAATTCCTGGATCCACGCCTGTTAGATAATAAGTTTTGTTGAGATTTTGAGATTTTTTTTCTTAAAATGTCTTGAGATTGTTTAGGAACCCTATCAAAATTCAGGTTTGACCATCGCTTTTATGCTTACTAATTACACACTAAACACCTTTTATGGAATAACAGGTAGGTTGGGTGGCCGAATGATTAGCACACTGTATCATAAGGTCTGTCATCAAGTTAGCTGACGTGTTTTCGATTTCCCGTTTGTACGTGACAAGGAGTAGGGTTGCCTGTTCAACCTTGTGGGTTTTCTCCGGGTCCTTCGGTTTCGTCCCACTGCTAAAGACCCCTCTCTGCAAGCAAATTATTGAAATAAATTTGAGCCATATGTTAGTCCCTAAATGACCTAGTTTGTGTCGAGTGGACATTACACTCTCTCTCTCTCTCTCTCTCTCTTTCTCTCCATCTCTTTTGACAGAAGACCCTTCCAAGGCTATGTGTGTATTTATTTCAGAAATAATCGAATAACAGCGGAGGCAGCCAAAAAACTAGCCATTGGCTTAAAGAAGAATCAAGTGTTGGAAACTATTATTGTAAGTTTACAATCACACTACAGCAGGGGTAGTCAGTCTTTTAGGTTCGTGGTTCCGTGTGCCAAATAACCTACAACTTGTGAAGTGCCTTATAACTTCAAACTTCATGATGGGTGTGTGGAAGAATAAATGCTTAAAATCTAGCAATTAAAAGTAATTGGAATGAAATTGACTATAACATTAATTGCGTTTCCATTATTCATTTGAAATCTCAAATTACTCATTACTTCTAAACATGTAATCTTTACATGAACATTACCATTTACCCAACCCTGGTGGGAGACAATGGGTTTACCAAGAATAAAGCAAGCACCATATTTGAATAACACACTATTTATGGATAACAATTACTATGGTTTATTTCACTGCGACATTTCAACAAGATTTCACAAGTCGTTATCAATTACTAAATGCCATTTAAAGAAGCACCATATTTATTCATCTTAAATAATCTGTCTTTTTGTTTAACTTTGAAGCTAAATCAGAATGCTATGAAACATGAAGGTGTGGAAGCCATCTTGAAAGCCGCTCAAGTTAATTTGGTATTAAAACTTATATCTTTAGAGGTAATAAATCATGTTTATATTGTTTTATAATTTTAGTATCAGTAGAACATGCAATTGAAGTGTTGAATATACACCCAGGACTATATCGCATGGTAAAATCTATTTGTTAAGGCCAGCTAAATTTTTGTCAAGGTCGCTGAGATGTAAATGTGATTGTTGGCCAGATTGTAGGTTAGGGTCAGAGTAAGCATTGGGGCTAGTTTGTTGCCAATGACATCAGACCTTGGGGTGTGCAAGCATTGAGCCATGCATGGTTAAATCTATTTGTTGAGGGCAAATCAATTTTTGTCAAGGTCACTGAGATGTAAATAATGTTAGGGCACATGATTGTCGGCATTGCGGCTAGATCCAGGGTTTGGGCTAGGGTTGGGATTAGTGCTAGCCCTGTTTAAATCACGTGACCTATGCCGAAAAATTGAGCTGGCCTTATCATTTAGCATTAACTATATGGCATGTCAGTCTTGATTGACTGGCAGTGGAAACATTACCAGTCAGTCAATTTGTATCCCATGAAATTGGAATTGTTTAGGGCGTTAACTTTTTTTTATTTAATTATTTCTGTAGTTTTGTAATCTGAATTCAGCTTTAAAACAAAGAGATATTACCAGTGGATGTTAAATCACACTCTCTCTCTCTCTCTCTCTCTCTCTTTAACACAATACATAGAGTTAAACTTAGAGTTTCTATAGATAAAATCCCTTATTTAATGATTGGAATTATAATAAAATTGGCCATTATTCTTTAGCCAAAATTTAAAGTTAACGCCCTGAAATATGACATGACAATATATTTTACCTTGAATATAAAACTGTACTATTTCCATTTTATCAACTTTACAGAGAATTCAGCGTTTTGTTATCAGTAAGTAGGCATCCTGAACGTGTAACTTTAAATCACTAATGCATGGTCATATCAATCTGATTAAAACACAGATCCTATTTCGTTTCGTTTTTTATAGTTCAGAATTTCATTTTACTTGTCTTTACTACACTAGGATCTGGAAGAGTTGTTATATAACCTGTGTTCTGGATGATGTGAAGGTTAGCCAATAAAATGGTCTGTTGAGGCGATTTTTTGGCATGAGGTGCACGGAACTGTGGGTAACCCACTAAAAAACATCAACGCCAATTGGTTAATTGGATGTCTGACGTGAAAGGGTCAAAAGCCGCTCGTATGACCTCTGACTCGACCTTCCACTACAACCAATCAGATCTTCATGTAGTGTAGGCCATCAAAAGTATAAAAAAAAAAAAAATGAAATATAGATCTGTATTTTAATTAGGTAGTGATTATATATACCAATAACTGGAAGTTTTCATCTATTTATAATATGAAAATAGGAGTTTGTGCTTCAATAGTCTGAGATACTTTCAATTTTGCAACATTTGTTTTTATGGCCCAGGTGAAGTGTTGTTGTATATTGTCGTTGAACATGTCTGTCCGTTCATCGTCCATAATTACGTGTTGGTGCTCATGTCATTAGAGTTAGCATTTGATAAACTTGAAATTTCAGCACTGTGTTTTGATTTTCAATGATTTGAAATAATTACAGGGTTGTTGCCCTTGTAAGCTTCATAAGAATAAATTAGCTGCTGTGAGTGACAATGTTTTGTTGTGGGGCAACCTATCTTTAATCTATTGGTTTGTAACATCTACTTGTCACTGTTTTTATACACCAACATTTTTGTGTGGATGTATATTATCGTCGCCCCTGTCCATGTGTCCGTTCACATTTGTTTGTGGACACTCTACAAGTCTTAATTCTTATATGATATTGACGAAACTTGAAATATAGGTTTATCTCCAAAAGATCTTGGTTCATTTCGATATTGGCATGTATCGGATCGAAACTTCATGGATTATGGCCTCTGATTGTATGAAAAATCATGTTTTAGCGTGTGGACACTCTAGATGTCACAATACAAATAAAACGAAATTTTGAACTATTAAAAAACGAAACGAAATAGGATCTGTGTTTTAATCAGATTGCAAATGGTTGTTTCGCATAAATATTAATGATTGAAAACTTATCTGACTGAATTGTGTATAAGATTACAATAGATGACTGCCTAGAGGCTATTTAGATGTTTGAAGTATATTATTATTTAAATGTGTGAATTGTATGCAGTGCATGTGGTATAAAATATAATATTATTGATGTGCCAAGGGAGATAACTGTCTTTAACTCATACATTATAATTTCACAAAACCTTTCAGAACTGTGGTGTAAGTAGTCAATTGAAGCATGTGTTATGTTAATCTTTAATTAACAATTTACTAATTTTATGTTCAACTGAGTTTGGCATATTTTATTTTTGAAGGAGCTGCCCCAGATAAAAGATCCCTTGACAGTTGGAATTCGATATAAGAGTAGGCCGTAGTGCCGCTGTTCGGGAAAAATTTCGCTCATGGCACACTGTATGGCGTATGCTCGTCTTCATTAGCCCAGTTAGGAGCAGAACAGTAGGATGTTAAATCCCATTTCATTCCCCCCCCCCACCACACGCACACACACACACTGTGTGAGTGAAGAATTTCTTGTGTTTCATTTTAATTTTAAGTCCACTCCACACAAACAAGGTCATTTGGAGACTGACATATGGTACAATTTTACTTCAATAATTCGGGCAATTAAAACCATGTCAGTTGACTCAATGACAGCGCATGCTCTGACAATTCGGTTTGAAGAATTTGTTGTGTTGTATTTTAACTTTTTATAACTCCTTTCATTTCGTTTGTTTGGATTCAATATTGCTTTCCAATTTTAATGGGAGCCATGGTGGGTTTGTGATTATGCTTTTGGCTCAATAACTCAGAGCTTCTGGGTTTGATCCCTGTGTTGGCCAAGATAGTTCCTCAAGATTTTTCTGCATGGTTACCTCCCCTTCATTGGCAGTAGTGCAGGCCGAAGGGCCTGGCAAGGAACACCATCTTGTCATTCGAATGAGTTGGCATGCACGTAAAAGAACTCTTCACATTTGGAAATAGAGTTATAAAATGACACAGATTAAAAAATTTTTTATAAAAATCATTGTTTATTTGTGATGTTTTTATGTCAAAATAAGAAAACCAATTTTTGTTATCTTGTGATTATATTTTTTTACAATCCTGTGTTTATATTTTTTTTATGTTTTTATTACAGGAAGTTGGATTAAATGCCAGTAATTATAATTTAATGCAAGAATTATGTGTAGATCGAGATCTAACAATATTACATGGAGGAACAGGCGGATATAAACGACCTACTGTAAGACTTCATTCTTTTACTATAGGGTGGGTGGAGGGGGTGGCTGTGTGGTCTAACAATATTACATGGAGGAACAGGCGGATATAAACAACCTACTGTAAGACTTCATTCTTTTACTATAGGGTGGAGGGGGTGGCCGTGTGGTCTAACAATATTACATGGAGGAACAGGCGGATATAAACAACCTACTGTAAGACTTCATTCTTTTACTATAGGGTGGGGGGGGGGTGGCCGTGTGGTCTAACAATATTACATGGAGGAACAGGCGGATATAAACGACCTACTGTAAGACTTCATTCTTTTACTATAGGGTGGGTGGGGGGGGCGTGTGATCGATCATACGGTCTGGTTTTGAGTCAAGTGGCATGGTTTCAGTACCATACTTGTATGTGACAAGGAGTAGCATCAGCGGCAGCCTAAACTTATGGGTTTTTCTGGGATCTTCTGGTTTTCGCCCACTACTAAAGAGACAGAGAAAGAGAGAAATTATTGAAATACATTTGAACCATATTGTGTTAGTCCCAAAATGACCTAGTTTGTGTCAAGTGGACATTAATCCCCTATTCGCTCGCTCTCTCTCTCTCTCTCTCTCTCTCCATATGAAGGAGTAATAATGGATAAAACATTTTAAACCAGCAGTTGCCAGGCAAGATACCCTCACATTTTGCAAGACATGGATAGAGAAATGAAATCCTACTGTAAGATGGATAGAGAACAAGCTAAAATAAAATGCACTTATTGGTACAATCAGGAGCCATAATCCAGCAAGTTACGGTCCAATATGCACGAATATCGAAAGGAACCGAGAAGTTTTGTCAAAAACGGACACTCTTCGTATTACTTACTTTTACACTATTTGCGTACAAGCAGTGGCCATTTTGTTGTGCATTTTTGTTTTGATTCACAGGAATTTCATTCTCAACCTTCATTACGGTGTAACAGCGATATATTTGAACGGTTTTTAAAATCAGATAAAAATTGTGAGGATCCACAAGCTAAAAATGTGATTTTTCGTACAATCAGGGGCCATAATCCATGAAGTTGCGGTCCTTGAAAGGAACCAAGCTCTTTGGGACATAATCCTATATTTCAAGTTTCGTCAAAACCAGATAAAAATTGTAACCTGTAGAGTTAAACACGCAAAATCTGCTTATTACAAGTCTTTCGTTAGGCCTGAAATGTTATCTAAATTATCAATTAGACATTAATTAACTTATCCAGACCATAATAAACTCTCGATATCAAGGCTAGCCTTCGATGTTGGCTGGATTAGATTCCTATATGCTGCTAACAGCTATTGATAATTAAATCAATAAAAGCAGATAATCGAGACTATGCTGTTTATATTAATGATTTTAGTAATGATGACCGAGACTATGCAAAAATTTCACACGCTTCTTTCTCGGCTCATAGTGGATCAATGTGACTGAAATTTTCAGCAAATTACCTTTACACTATCTAGTTTTTAACTATTATAGCGAGAACCCCCATCTCTTTATCTTACCTCCCATAATGTATCTTTAACCTGTAGAGTATCCACAAACAAATGTGAACTGACAGACACGCGGACAGGGGTGATGACAATATACACATTAATTTTTGCTATCGTCGATCACAAGTGTACCGAATATTCACATTAATTTTTGCTATCGTCAATCACAAGTGCACTGAATATACGATGTCGTGATGATTTATTTCTACGTTTATAGGCCATCAAAAGTACATTGAATATATTCCGGGTTTTCTTGGAGGAAAAAGGATCTGATCTGAAACGTGCCTTGGAACAACAGGACAAGGAGGAAGTTGGTGGTTTATATTCCGAAGAAGTGAAATACTGTTTAAAAGATACCGGACTGCGGCTGACCAATGTAAGTTGAGTTTTTTGCGAAGAGCATAAATAATTGGTAAATTCAAAATAACGTTTCAAGTTTGTTCCAATTAAAAAATATAATATTTAGCCATTTTATTTATAATTATAATAAATCAATTTTGACTTGATAATGCGAACATCCTACAGGGTCTGGTCGCCCCAAGCTTCCTCATGGTTATCATCGGAATCAAGAAGTTCATGGCCGTAAATTGACAAAGCTCTAGATATTAAAGGGCCAATCTCGATTATATTTTGGAGTATAAACCTGCTTAATTTTGTTTTAAAGGCCCTTAAAATCCTCTACATTAGGGCCGAGCAACTAACTCAATCAAACAAATTAAAACCGTCAGTTTTCATCTGAAAATGGAGACCTGTGTCCCAAGCTGTATTATACGGTGTCTGGATAAAACCAGACTTTCATTTTATGAAAATAATGTGTAGGTTTAAGTACAGCACTTGGGTCATGCACCGTATAGACCTCTATCTTTCGTTATCAAGTACAGCATGTGGGTCATGCATTGTATAGACCTCTAGAGGAGCAGCAATCAGTTATCAGGTCACCCAACGAAAAAAAACTGACTCGAAATCTTAAAAGGGTTCAGTGTCTGGATAAGCGGTTTTGATGTTCACCTCCAAACGACTCAATATTTGGAGCTGAAATTTTGAGACAAGGTAAATACACCATTCCTCTGTATTTTGGCGCTTAAATTTCAAACATACACAAACCCTTACTTTTGAGACTGTTCAAATCGGGATAGTCCCTTTAAGAAAAAATTCCTTATTTGAGTTTTTTCCTATCAGTTGAAATTATACCTTTTCTGCTCCATCCAGACTGATGAAGAAAAGCATATACAATGCAGTGTGCTATGATAGAAATTTAGGTCCGTACAGCACCATTATGGTCTACTCTTATTTCGAATTCTAACTAACTGTCAAGGGTTCTTTTACGTGAACGGGGGGGATCACGTGGCTAAGTGGGTAAGACGCTAGCTCGCTAGCCTGGAGGTCGGATGTTCGATCCCTGCATTGGCCGAGAAAGTTCATCCAGATTTACCGGCGTGGTTCTCCCTTGTCAGTGATGCAGGACGGAGGGGCTGACAAGGAAAGCTGTCTAGTCGTTCGGATGGGACAAAAAACCGAGGCCCCGTGTACAAATTGGCGTGCACGTAAAAGATCCCTTGGCAGTTGGAATTCGATATAAGAGTAGGCCGTAGTGCCGCTGTCCGGGCAAAATTTCCCTCATAGCACACTGTATGGCGTATGCTCGTCTTCATTAGCCCAGGTTAGGAGCAGAAAAGTAGGACGTTAAACTCCATTTCATTTCATTTTTACGTGAACGGCAATAGGTACACATGGCATCGTTGTTTTTTTATACCATTCAGACAACTAGACACTGTTCAGTTCCAGGACTTAAGACCTGCACCACTGACAAAGGTAAATCACACCGTAAAATCTCAAGGAACTTTCACAGCCAACTCCGCAGCCGATCCTGGAACCTCCAGGTTAGCAAGCCATCGCCTTACTCACTGAGCCAACGTGGCTCCATAAAGTATTTTATTTCATTGATATAAAGTATTTTATTTACATGTTAACTGTTTTTTAAATTTCAGAGACAATTAGATATGCTAATAGAAGAGATAGATGCTAGTACTACAGGCAACTTTAAATACAGGTACAGTAATTAAAGTTTCGGTTATCATTCGAGAGATTTTGAATCTCATCTCAGGTTGATCATTTGAGGGATTTGATCTCAGATTGATTATTTGAGGGATTTTGATCATTTGAGAGATTTTGATCATTTGAGAGATTTTGACCTCAGATTGATCATTTGAGGGATTTTCATCTCTGGTTGACCATTTCAGGGATTTTGATCATTTGAGGGATTTTGATCATTTCAGGGATTTTAATCTCAGATTGATCATTTGAGGGATTTTGAATCACTGACAAACTACGATACTGTGAAAGTTGAATCTCTAAAATCCAAATTTGATGAAGAGTAATTACAGGGCAAAAAGAGTTGGTTCAAGGCATAAAATTCCCATCTTTGCACACTGCATATATCCATTTTCATTCATCTGTTCGTTAAAAGCAAGAAATGGTTGGAACTTGACTGTAGGTAACTGTGGGAACTGGACAACACCAATCGTTGGTTATGTTTAAGGACCGTTTACTAGTTATGTTTAAGGGCCATTTACTAGTTATGTTTAAGGACCATTTACTAGTTATGTTTAAGGACCATTTACTAGTTATGTTTAAGGATCGTTTACTAGTTATGTTTAAGGACCGTATACTAGTTCTGTTTACAGACACTATACTAGTTCTGTTTACAGACTGTATACTAATTCTGTTTAAGGACCATTTACTAGTTCTGTGGCCCAGTCTGAGCAGAACAGTAGGATGTTTGTTAGAATTTAGCTCTGTTAATGAAGAACATTAGGACATTAAACTCCATTTCATTTTATTTACTTTCCACTTTAATTAATATATTGTTTTTAATTCCAGTGACCTCTTGAGTATCAACACTATTACAGAACATTTTAAACGTAAATATTCACAGTGTTTATCCGATAATGCAACAGTTAATTCGATGACGAAACATATGGGAAGACAAGTCACATTTACCTAAATGTTACTGCTGAATATATCATCAGTGCTCGTCTTAGCTATGCAGTAATGCAACAGTTAATTCGATGATAAAACATTTGGGAAGACAAGTCCTGTTTACCTAAATGTTACTGCTGAATATATCAACGGTGCTCGCCTTAGTTACGCAATAATTATTCAAAGCCACAGTTGTTTAGATTTTAAAAACATTATTGTATACGTTCTTTTAACTAATTATAAATAATTTACTGTGATTTATTTTATATTAAAGTGGGAGGGAAATGGGTTTACCGTTTAACATCCACTCGATACAAACTAGGTCATTTCGGGACTAACATATTGTTCAATTTTATTTCAATAAATTACTTGCGCGTAAAGAGTCTTTAGCAGTGGGAGGAAACCGGAGGACCTGGAGAAAACCCACGAGGTTGGAGAGGCGACCCTACTCCTTGTCACGTACAACCGGGGAATCGAAACCAGGCCAGTTGACTCAATGATAGACCTTATGATACAATGCACAAGTGCTAACCATTCAGTCACCTAAATCCCCTATTTGATATTAAAGCGGCTATAGTCAACGTGAATATATTATAACTAAAACCCATCCACATTGTTTGACAAAACTTGATTCTCTCAGCTACCCCTGTATTGCGTATACAAACATATTTTAAAAGACAGCTTTTGTATCCCTGGTATTCTAACACATTATAAAGATTGCTCTGTTCGTTTGTTCGTAGACTTAACGTCCCCTCCTGCAATGATAATATCCCAGACTTTAGTGGGGGGTTGGATGGCCGAATGGTTAGCACGTGCGCGCTGTCTCATAAGGTCTGTCAATGAGTCAACTGGCGTGGTTTCGATTCCCCGGTTGTACGTGACAAGGAGTAGGGTTGCCTGTCCTACCTGGTGGTTTTTTTTCGGGTCCTCTGGTTTCCTCCCACTGCTAAAGACGCTTGTGCGCAATCGAATTATTGAAATAAAATTGAACCATATGTTAGTCCCAAAATGCCCTAGTTTGTGTCGAGTGGATGTTAAACCCCATATCTCTCTCCCGAGACTTTCTCTGCTTTAATATGAAAGTTATTTTGCCAAAACTACATGTTGCTTAATGTTATAAGATGTTATTTAATCTGTTATTTGTTATATTTTGCGATTTATTATTTATTCAGGGTCAGATTTTGACATGAGCTGAATAAACTACAGTTTTAGGATCTGACAATCAGAAGGGGCCTACTAATTTAACCCAATTGACCAGGGGCCTGTTTCACGAAATTTTAACTAAGATAAAATCTAAATTTTAGTAATTTGATTGGATAATATTGGATTGATTTTAGTGCTTAGCCAATCAAAATTGATGTATGTATCTACTAAAATTTGGATTTTATCTTTTGTTAAAATTTTGTGAAACAGGGCCCTGATTTTTAGTCTCCAATTACTAAACTATTTGGTAGCCTTTTTCACTGTAAACACTCACAAAATAGGATCTAGTTAATTATCTTCCCATAGCTTAGAGACTCACACAGTATCATAGCTGGGGCCATTGATGGGTGGTCTGCCAATGGCAACACTTTTGGTCTACTGCATTGAAAATAAATTACATTTCTAGTGAGAATGACACAATTTTATTTTTCCATGAAAAAAACGAAAACCCTGTTTCACATTTTAAATTATTTTAATGTATATTCTGCTGTGTTTTTCAAGAGAAAGTCAAGAACCACCCAACAAACTAGACAGATTCTAGGTATGATGACATACAAATTGGACAGACTCTAGGTGTGTTGACATGTCTATGTTCTGCACAAATTCTAGGTATGTCATCAACATGTCTATTGTTCTGTACAAACTCTAGGTATGTCATCAACATATCTATTGTTCTGTACAAACTCTAGGTATGTCATCAACATGTCTATTGTTCTGTACAAACTCTAGGTATGTCATCAACATGTCTATTGTTCTGTACAAACTCTAGGTATGTCATCAACATGTCTATTGTTCTGTGCAGACTCTAGGTATGTCATCAACATGTCTATTGTTCTGTACAAACTCTAGGTATGTCATCAACATGTCTATTGTTCTGTGCAGACTCTAGGTATGTCATCAACATGTCTATTGTTCTGTACAAACTCTAGGTATGTCATCAACATGTCTATTGTTCTGTAAAAACTCTAGGTATGTCATCAACATGTCTATTGTTCTGTACAAACTCTAGGTATGTCATCAACATGTCTATTGTTCTGTACAAACTCTAGGTATGTCATCAACATGTCTATTGTTCTGTACAAACTCTAGGTATGTCATCAACATGTCTATTGTTCTGTACAAACTCTAGGTATGTCATCAACATGTCTATTGTTCTGTGCAGACTCTAGGTATGTCATCAACATGTCTATTGTTCTGTGCAGACTCTAGGTATGTCATCAACATGTCTATTGTTCTGTACAGACTCTAGGTATGTCATCAACATGTCTATTGTTCTGTACAAACTCTAGGTATGTCATCAACATGTGTATTGTTCTGTGCAGACTCTAGGTATGTCATCAACATGTCTATTGTTCTGTACAAACTCTAGGTATGTCATCAACATGTCTATTGTTCTGTACAAACTCTAGGTATGTCATCAACAAGTCTATGTTCTGGGCAGACTCTAGGTATGTCAATGGCACTGCCCTATCAACAAGTCTACGCTCGGGTCTGTATTTATGTTTATCTATATTTCTGTATTAAATTAATTAAAGAGGCATTATGGGAGATTAGATAAGAGTTGACAGTTCTCGCTATTATAGTTAAATAATAGATAATATAAAGGGAATATGCTGAAAATCGCTCCACTATGAACCAAGATATTAGCGATTGAATTTTAGTCTAGCCTCGAACATCATTACTAAAGTCAGTACAATAAAAAACAAAGTCTTGATTACCTATTTTAAAGTTTAATTATTTTTCAAAAATGTATTCCCGTCCGCTAAATATCGCAGGCCAGCGATGGCAGCGAAAGTTGATTATGGTCTGGATAAGTTAATTAATGTCTAATTAATAATTTTAGATACCATTTCAGGCCTAAAGAAAGACCCGCAATAGGCAGATTTACCTCTTGTATGTTTAATTTATTTGATGATAATATGTTGATCAGTATTATTAATTAGTGATATTATTAATCGACAGTGGTGTATAGAGGTTTAAAAATGACCGTGTGTCATGTAGGACCTAGTACTCAGAAACACGAGAAAGGAAGACATTTTATATTTGTATAAAAAAACAAACAAAATATGGCAGCTTGCTCAACAATGTTAATAACAAAACAATAATTTCAAATTTCAACAAAATTAATTTGATTTGATGCCTTAGGCCATTGTCCTCTTTGCCCCCCCCCCCCTTCCCACCTCTGTATGCCACTGTTAATCTGTGATAAGTCAGTATTATTATGTACCTGTATTGAATACATATTACCTGTATTCTATACCTGTATCATTATTTACCTGTATTCCATTCATGGTTAATTTATTTTAATAAATGAATATTTATTAGTCAAGCTCTTTATTTCATTTTACATAAAATAAATTGTTTTGGGTTTTTTTATAGAGGGTATACCACTAATTACTTTAGTAATTATAGGGGGGGGGGGGGGTCTACTCGACACAAACAAGGTCATTTCGGGACTAACATATGGTTCCATTTTATTTCAATAAATGGTTTGCACGTATGGGTCTTTAGCAGTTGGAGGAAACCGGAGGACCCGGAGAAAACCCACGAGGATGGACAGGTGACCCTACTCCTTGTCACGTACAACCGGGAGAATCGAAACCACGCCTGTTGACTCAATGACAGACCTTATGATACACACAAGCTAACCATTCGCCCTCCCTGTATCCATGAATTTAATGTTTTTTATATATAATCTTTCTCTCTCTAACATGCCATTTTTGTTTGGACTCAGTCTAGAATCAAAGAAGAGGGGATTGAATTGCCATTTTCTGCAGGTTATGGTTATGGTGATAGGTACAACTACAGCAGCATATATAGTTACATGTTTGTAGTATGATTCTTCAAATTTGTGTATGTCAAAATGTCAATGGTGAACCTCATACAAGCTTTGGATTGAGATATGCCTGCATGTTGTTCCATCGTTAGTGCTTAATGATAAGGCCAGCTCAATTTTTCGTCATAGGTCATGTGATATAAACAGGGCTAGCGCTAATCAAAATCCTAACCCTAACACTAGACCTAACCCCAATGCTTACCCTAACTTGCAATCCCAGCAACAATCACGTGCCCTAACCTTGTTTACATCTCAGCATCCTTGACAAAAATTAAACTGGCTTTAACAAATTGGTGGAGATCAATCAAACCAACAAAACCTTGGGGAAAAGTTTCAGCAGAGCAAATAGACTTAACATTGATGTCTATATGTCAAGATTCGGTGGTCTGATTGCAGAACGTCATAATTAAGAGTTAGCTCCCTTGAACCAATAATAAGTAGAATATAGTTTATATTTTAATGGATTTCTACAGACTCTATTCATAAACACAATAATTGGACATCCCACAATATACAACCCCAAAACGTCAAGTGAAATAGACAAATATTTTTATAAATATTTGAAAGTGATCACTTTATCACCTAGTTTAGCCAATTTGGCTCTCTAAAACGTCCATTATTGAAAAATGTTAACGTTTTTCTCAAATAATTTTGTGTGGTACAGTCCCCCTGCATTTACTATTAGACACGGTAGTCCGATGGTTCGGTGAGTTCATGGGCGTCACACATGGGTGGGGTTGGGGGTCCGACCCCCCCCCCCCCAATTGTTTTTCTGGGTAGGTCTGAATATACTTGGACCCCCCCCCCCCCTCCCCAAAAAAAAAATTAAAATTACATAGTAGGCCCTAACTTTATTTACACAACATTTATTAGGATTAGTTAAGATTCTATCTGTATAAAACAATGTACAAATTAAAACACCAAACACTTATGTTTACTTTTTGAAATGCATTTATAATACACAAAATGTAAAAAAAACCTTTGAATATCTATACAACTTTCTTGTAAATGTCAATGTGTATATGTATGTATATAGTATTGTAGTTAACAAGGTGATTGTTAAATATGCATCCTCATAAACTAAAGTTATGTGATCAAGTTTTGTTTCATTTGGTTCCTCCTCATAAAAATTCCCCTACTAAACTCTCTTTGTCGTGTTGTTCATAACTCAAGCGTAACATTCAATATGTAAAAGTCATGAAAAAAATAATAATAGGGCACCCCCTCCCTGACTTAAACATGTTAAACATTGTATTGGTGTGATGTTTTAGTTTAACCCCGTATAATATGCCAAAACAGTGTTTACAGATACAGAAAACTGAAACTTTAAATACATTTTATGGGGGTGGCCCCCACCCCCTCCCAGTGGGAGGGTGACCCTTCCACACTCTACCTATCGCACTACATCGGCTGCTGCGCGGCCTCGTGCCTCCGGCGTCACAGATTGTCAACATTTTATATAATTTCATTTGCGGACCCCCCAATATATATTTCACGGCTACGCCTCTGAGTGAGTTAAGTGCTGACCTATACTAACCTGAAGTACCCCAGTTCGATCCCGGTATGGGCCGACAAAGTTCCCCCTGGATTTTCCAGCCTAGTAACCCCTGCTTGACGTAGAATGGATCTGACGAGGAATGGCATCCAGTCGTTCGGATGGAACAAAAATCCGATGTCCCGTGGACCCATTGGCTTGCACGTAAAAGAACCGATGACGAGTAGTCGGAAACCTCACTGCCGGGTCAAAATTCCCCCTCAAAGCTCTCTGCATGGCGTATGCCCCGTCATCATTATCCTAGTTGAAGCGGAAAAATAAACCCGGGGAAGAGAGAGAAATGGGGTTTAACGTCCACTTGGCAAAAACTGGGTCGTTTCGGGACTAACACATGGTTTAATTTTATTTCAATAATTTGCTTGCGCGTAGGGGTCTTTAGCTGTGGGAGGAAACGGAGAAAACCCATGAGATTGGACAGGCGACCCTGCTCCTTGTCACGTACAACCGGGAATTGAAACCACGTCAGTTGACTCAATGACAGACCTAACCATTCGGCCATCCAACCCCGATAAAAAAATAAAAAAAAAATATTTCATTTCATATGGTAATCAGTCGCTCCTTCCTTTGTATTTTTAGTATTATTTTTTAAAAAGTGGATGCTAAATATTCTCGGTATGATACCATTTATTTTAAAATATAGCTTTTATACAGAATAAAAGATGTAAGCGGTTTGAGGGTAGGGAGTCCCGCACTGAATAATCTTCTAGGATCACTGCGGACGCGTTTCATTTCAACGTGAAGAATAATAAATAGATAATATAATTGCCTTTGTTATTCACAGTTACCAGTAGAGTACACCTTCCCATATCATATTTCCAAAACCCGTTTATCATATAAAACTGCACGTAAAGCACACCTACCGATTCTTTATCACACGTGATTCAGAAAAAAAGACGGGAATTTAGATCACCATTAGCATAACGACTTTCTAACCCCACCATCATTGAACAATAATATATAAAACTTTAAAGTAAATGTATCGTGTGACATTAACACTTTAGACATTCAATCGGAATGTTCGCTTATTGAATATAAAAGTGCAAACATAAACCTTAAAAAAAAAAGAAAAACGGTACTCATTCAGGCCCGTAACTATGGGAGGGGGCGCAAGGGGCGGGGCCGTGGAGTGTCCCGGGTACACATTGGCGTGCACGTAAAAGATTCCTTGGCAGTTGGAATTCGATATAAGAGTAGGCGATAGTGCCGCTGCCCGGGCAAAATTTCCCTCATAGCACACTGTATGGCGTATGCCCGTCTTCATTAGCCCAGTATAGGAGCAGAACAGTAGGACGTTAAACCCCATTTCATTTCATTTCATTTCTACTGAATAGTTATTGTCTGATGGAAAACAAGATCCGGTAAACGAATTTTTAAAAGTAAACGGGACGGAAAAGATTAATCATTATGAAACGTCGGACTTTAATCTTTCTTCTGTATATAGGCGAATGTTTGTTTGTTTGCTTGGCTGACTGTGTGTTCGCAAATGGTTTTTATAAATTCATATTAAAGGAATACTAATATTTGAACCTAGAAATTGACACAAATGGGTCGCAACGCATACACTAATGTGATATGAATATAAATTTATTTACATTCAATCATTTCCGTTTTTACTCTAACCTCAAATCAGATATGTTCGGCGAAATATGCCAGAAGTCTGAATCGAATGGCAATCTCTAGCGTCTGGTTATTTCAGTCTACATCGTTAGTAGATAAGAATATGGCGTCTCTGTTTGACATGACTTGTAGAATGTCTAGCCTCGGTCTTCGAGTCCCTTGTTACAAATGGCGCTGAAACACATTATGATACACGATTTGTGTACCAATGGTAAAATGTTTATTTTGTCCTAAATATTGGATATCAGAAGCCCATCTTTTCCCGGTAAGATCACAACATTAATGTTGATTTAATTGACAAATAATTCGGTTTTTTTCAATGTCGGAGACTTTGGGTGATATTGAGTTAGAAACTTCGCTACTTTAACCAGTCTTTTTAATGGCGCTCTTCCGTGGTGTGTACTTGGTACAGGTTTACTAATGAAATTGACAATTAATACTTGTTTATACTTGTTTCATTACCTTCAGCAAAACTTTTTATTTTTTCAGGCAAATCCTTAACAAAAAAAACAGACCTATTTATATGAAATGAAATGGGGTTTAACGCACCACTGTGCACCCATGGATCAAGGGGGTTTTTCCCATCCGAACGACTAGGCGCTGTATTTATCACTGATAAGTGGGAACCATAGTCAGAACTATATTTTATAGTAGGTCTATAGGCCTTTTCTACGTGAGGCTTTTTTCTGCATGAGGACCTACTCTCGGCTAAAATGTTTTAGTTCAGTCGTGGACTGAAAAGAATCGCGGATTTTTCAACCCATGTTTCCGCTAGTGAGGTGTAGAGCATGCGGGGGCTTACAGGTAAGGCACTGTCTAATCATTCGGATAGCACAGAAAAAAACGATTTTCGCATGTGCAACCGTTGGTGTGCAGTAAACAAAAAACAACCCCTTAACAGTCCTAATTCCACATTGGATGATCGAATGGAGTAGGGTTGCCTGTCCAACCTCGTGGGTTTTCTCCGGGTCCTATGGTTTCCTCCCACTGCTAAAGACGCCTATACTCATGCGAATTATTGAAATGAAATTGAACATATGTTAGTTCTGAAATGACCTACTCTCTCTCTCTCTCTCTCTCTCTCATTCGACATGATTTGTGGAAACGCACTTCCCGTTCAACTCTATTAATATTGCTATCCTATTCGACAATCCTGATATGCCACAATAAATTTCACACTATCAAAACAGTAGATATCCTGCGAATATGCATCCTCTTTTTTAAACGGAATTTTAAAGATTAGTCCAGGGAGAAAATATTAATACGTATATAGTTTTTAGTGATGGGTGAACTTTAATTCGAGTCACGTAATTAAGACATT